CACACCCATGCCGGGACAGGCCAGATGCAGAAATGATGCAAACTATTTCTGAACAGGATGCGATGCCAAGTCGCCATGTCTTGTTTTCCCTTACGCTTTCAAAACCAGTTTCCAGTTCTCCTCGTTTGTGCCGTAGCAAGCTGCAGCAGCCGCAGCAGTGTGCTTAGCCTGGTAAATAATGCATACAGTCCTCACCGCTATGCAGACAGACAAAGGCAGGTAGTGTATCAAAGAGTAATATTGTACTGCAAATTGCAGCGTAATAGCAGTAATTTAGTGCCCTGTAGGTGATCAGGGATTCAGAAAGTACCATAGCCCTATGATCTGTGCTGACTGGCAAGGTGACTGGAGGCATAGCGTGGAGTTTGACCTTTGGATTGTCTCCAACCTAAGCGAAGCCATAAAAAATTCACAAGACCATGCTGTCTCCCAGAAAATGGGTGGTGGGACAGATAAATAGGTTTTTAGTTAGCATACTCGTATGGATAAAGTGAGAGGATGAGATAGGGAGGATCCACACAGCATACAATGCACATTCTATATCCATCATCTCCCAGTGTATTGATCTATTTATGCCCATGCAGCTTATTCTAGTAAGTGCACAGAGATAATAGAAAGAAGAATTGCTCAAGAATCAAGTTAGTTAGATAAGGGCTGGGCCTAGAGTGGCTGGAGGTTTGTCTAGATTATTTCCTATTACTTGCAGGCTTGACTGAGAAGAGAGTTTTTCCATTAGGGCTCTGGCAGGGTGCTAGCTGGGGGATTTTCTCAATTAATTTCACAAGCAGGCATATGGATAATGATCTGTCAGTGTGCATGTGGGTGGTGGAGGTGAAATTTCAGCCTGCCATGGCTTCATGGACTGGAGGGCATTAACATTCTTCGCCAGGTTCCCATTTTCCAGCACGTTTGTCGCTGTTGATCATTCTGGTAGTAGTCATCCTGAGCTGGAGAAATGATATCAGGAGAAATATGCTATTTTCAGGCTCCCTACTAACTTCTTGATCAGAGGCAGCTGGAAGCGCCGAGCCATGCGTTCCCATGGAGCTCAGCAAAGAGACCTGGAAAGATGTAATCACTCGGCCCATTTAGGAAATACAAAACTACCCTGGGTTTGCAAAAAGCTGTCACTTTGCATTTGCAGAGGGGGCTTTGGTATGCAGAAGCCCCTTCTTGTTCTCCAACTTGCCGTACCCCTCTCACACCACACCAAGGCTTCTTCCACCAAAAGCAGGGAAGGTGTCCAGGTGATTCCTGGACTGTATCACTTCAAGTGCAAACCTCAGATTTCAATGCTTCTTGGTGGGGGAGCCAGGGTGGGGTGAGGAATCCTGCATATCCAAAACTAGTGTTATCAGGCACAAGCCTAGCCTATACCTTTTCTTTATGACATCTGTTTTTTCTACCTGCGGGAATATTAAAATAAACAAGATTTCATATGGAGGGGCATTCATTTAGCCAGCCTGCTGCCTAAAGCGGCAATGTCCGGGAACAGTTTTATCACTTGCTACTCATGGGATCCACATATGAGAGGGCCTGGCATGGAGAAAAGGAACCGGTAGCTGATTATTTTTGCATAAATTGGACAAGGGGTTGCTATGCTGGATTTTTGGCAAGGAAGAAGCACGACTGATCACTGCTTCGTGCTCATCCATTTGATTCACAAAAGTCTGAGATGGGGGGAAGCTTTTACTGTATGTGGCTTTCGTGGATTTTACTTCAGTATTTGACTTAAAAGACAGTGCCAGTAGTCATTTGTGGGATAAATAATCACATACCAATATAGGTAACCTTATTCACATACTTGATTGCGGATACCGAGCTGTTTCTTTTATTAGACAGACCATTTGTCTATGAAGCAAGGAAGGCTTGAGACTGGCAAATTGAAACTCCCTTGCTTATCTGGTCATCCTCATCCTATTTGGTATATATTATACAGTGGTGCCCCGCAAGACGAATACCTCGCAAGACGGAAAACCCGCTAGACGAAAGGGTTTTCCGTTTTTGAGTTGCTTCGCAGGACGAATTTCCCTATGGGCTTGCTTCGCAAGACGAAAATGTCTTGCAAGTCTTGAGATTTTTTTTTCGCTTTTCGCCCCCTTTATCTAATCTGCTAAACCTTTAATAGCCTTTAATAGCCTTTTAGCAGCTAATCCGCTAAGCCTTTAAGCCTTTAATAGCCGCTAAACCGCTAATAGCGCTAATCCGTTAAGCCGCTAATAGGGTTGCTTCGCAAGACGAAAAAACCGCTAGACGAAGACTCTCGCGGAACGGATTAATTTCGTCTTGCGAGGCACCACTGTACATATATTAGGTATATTTTCTGCACTTTTGTATATAGCCGAAGTCATTCAAACAGCTCAGTCCTAAACATGTTTATTCAGAGTTAATTGTGCAGAAGATTGCAGCCTAAGAAAAACATTTTCCCGCATTTGCAATTCACATGAAAATCCCTCAGTGAACAAAACGTACATGCCACATCAGCAATGGTTTTCTTCCATGCTGCATATACAGCATACTTTTAAAATATGTGACATCCCCCAAAGAATTCTGGGAACTGTAGTTGCCCTCCCACAGAACTACAATTTCCAGAACCCTCCATGAACTATAGTTCCCAGATTTCTTTGGGGGAAAACATGTGCTTTCAGTGTATGGTGTGTACTCTGTGGCTCATGAACAATGTTCAGAGGTGACATAAGGGTCTTCCCCGACACAGAATCATAGAATTGTGGGGTTGGAAGGGATCCTGATGATCATCTAGTCCAACCCCTGCAATGCAGGGATTTGCACCTGTCCCTTACAGGGATTGAACCTGCAACCTTGGTGTTTGTGAAGTTGTTATTCATCAGTTCTGGAGGATCCATAGGCTTCCCTCCAGAAGGCGCATCTGTAGTGAATATGCAGTGTCCACAGATAAGTCCCAGACAAAAACAAAAGCATATTTATCATAGGCCCATACTTCCTGATTCCTTAAATTGCCCCCCTCCTAACATGATGTGTGTCCCACTCCCACTGAAATACAATGATGGCCATCCCTGCCATATATCTTTTTTAGAAGCTTTCAGTGCTCACCACATTTCAAACATGCAAGAGACAAAACCTCATCAAAATGAGAAGTGTGTGTTGACAAGCGTGATGAGCATCAGCCCTGGCTGTGGAAACACGTCTTAAGAGAATTGCTCATTTCGTGGAACCAGGCAGCCTTGTGGTGGATGTACTGATTAATTTAATTCTAATTAATTCTGTAATCTCAAGCTGTTTCGGAAATCTGTGCATAGCTGTCAAGGTGGAAGCATGGAAGGTGACACAGAGACAAACCAGGGACTGAGTTCATGGGGCTTCTGTATATTTATGTCACTTGGAGAGGACATCAAGAGCAGCACCATCCAGCCTGCAGGACTCTGATAGCGTTTTCTGCCATTCCCATACTCATTGGACACACTGAATGTGCATAGCCCTGGGCAAGCCATATTGGGAATGCAACTGTATTTGAGTTAATGCCTCCCAAGACTTAATAATCAGTGATCAGACTCTTTCCTGGACCTAAATGGCTAGGGCTAGCTGGCCGCAGGCGAGATTACAGGAGTAAAGCAGAAGCGGAAGAGCACACAAACATAAAACAGTTATAAGAACAGGGGATTGTAGTGCAGAAAGATAATTACAGCATCTGCTCCACCTACCCTGTTGGCTAGGTGGCAAGGATTCACACATACACTCCTGCCTGTGGCGCAGGTCTCCTTTTTGGTCCCCTGTCACTTGAAGATTGGCAGTATCTTTTGTTCTTCATTTGGTCTTCCTGGAGGAGTCACAGCTAAGAGCTGAGGAATGGCCGTATTTCTTCCTTGATGGCCCATCTCCAGTCTTCTGTCACATTGAATGTTTCAGCCTATGACCCCTGGGCATTCTCCCATCTACCTGGCTGCATTGCGATTACCTGGACAACGCCAGCTGTCTATCAAGACCCACCTGGGTCAGAAATTCTTAAAAGGGAACTGTTGCCATACCATCCCATGTCCCCCACCTCACTGGACTGTCAAGGCTTCTACTTTACACTTCAGGAGACCCAAAGCTGATTGCAAGCAGCTGCAGGAGGAAAGATAGGCTCGGACTAAACTGTTTTAATTTTTTTGAAACAACCTTCTGCCCCCTCCATTCAGCCTGTTATTTCAGTTTAACTCTTAATAAACTTCACAATTTTGGAGTTTTGTGTGCGTTTCTACCAGATCCAAAGGGAATTTGAATGTGCAGACCATTTTGGTGTTACACTACATGTGGGTATAATTGTTCTTGTTTTTATTTTGATTACATATTCTGTATTTTGATTACGTATTCTGTGTTTTTATATTGTGATTTTATCCTGTGAACTGTCCTGAGACCTGCAGGTATAGGGCAGTATACAAATTTTAATAATAATATAATTTTTTTTAAAAAGCACCACCACAAAATAGTTTCTCAGCCCCCTTTTTTTTAAGGGGGGTACTTTGAGCATGGGTTGCGGGTGGCGCTGTGGGTAAAACCTCAGCGCCTAGGACTTGCCGATCGCATGGTCGGCGGTTCGAATCCCCGCGGCGGGGTGCGCTCCCGTTGTTCGGGTCCCAGCGCCTGCCAACCTAGCAGTTCGAAAGCACCCCCGGGTGCAAGTAGATAAATAGGAACCGCTTACCAGCGGGAAGGTAAACGGCGTTCCGTGTGCTGCGCTGGCTCACCAGATGCAGCTTGTCACGCTGGCCACGTGACCCGGAAGTGTCTGCGGACAGCGCTGGCTCCCGGCCTATAGAGTGAGATGAGCGCACAACCCTAGAGTCTGGCAAGACTGGCCCGTACGGGCAGGGGTACCTTTACCTTTACCTTACTTTGAGCATGTGTAATTTCACGTTTTAAGTTCACTTAAATCATAGCATCATCATGACTCCAGAAATAAACAAAAATAAAGTTTGTTTCAGCTGGGTTGGGCCCAATTTTAATAGTAGATCCACTAAAAATGATAAGACATGACTAACTTAGACTCTTGAGGTGTGGACTCTTGAGTACAACTCTTAGGAATCAGCACCATTTTATATTAGAAAAAGGCAATATGTATTTAAAGTAAAAAAATAAAAAAATAAACTTCTATAACAATGTGCATGCCTGACCAGCTGATCCCTGAATAGAATTGAAGAAAGGCTTCTACAGTGACCAGTGTCAGTCCTAGTAAGCCTCAGACAGTCCCAAATGCTGGTGTCAGACCTGTTTCCTGCTGCCCTCATAAACTACTGTTCTCTGGGTGGTCATTTGGAGGGCCTCCAGACTCTAAGGCCCAGGGCTTTGAGCCAAAGTTCCAACTCTATCAACACCACTGCAAAGACCAGGCGGAATATTGGCTTTGTAAAAAAAACATATAAAGGTCAATAAAAACCATCCCATCCCACATCCTTCTGCTCACCCCTCTTCTCACTCGGATTTATTTATACAGCTTCCACTACCTGTATTAAGACACCAGCCATTGGAAGGCTGTTGCCAATGCACAGAGGATATTTAGTCATTTTTCATGTCGCATATATATACATTTTTAAATACAGGATTTGCAGTCCTTGCACACCACAAAATTGCAAGCTATTATTCAAGAATCAAGACAGAAAGAGGCAAGTATTCCCCAGCACCAAAACAGCAACAATCACCTCTATACCTCCACCACCTATTTATTTACTAGTATGTCATGGAATGAACAGTAACTTGAATAACTTTGAAAAACACATTTCAACAACAGGAGCCATGTTATCCCCAGGCAAAGGGCAAAGGTTCCACTTTGGGGCTGACCTGGAAAGAATTGGGCTAGATGAACATAGTGTTTGCTGACTCCTAAAGAGGCAGTGACAGAAACAACCAAATTAGACCATTAATCATTTCTACAGCTGTAGAAGCAGTCCCTTTTAGAATTGTTGCAACACAGGAAGGAGTACAAGAGAGTCCTGCTCTTCTCATTCCCACCCCATCCCAAGATAGGACACAATGGCTGCAATCTTATACACACATGAGCAAGTCCCACTGAACTTGGGGTTTACTTTTCAACATACATGTATAGGATTACACAGTAAAGAGTGTGAATGTGTGTGTGTGTGTTTTACAAGGGATGGTAGGGGAGTTCTCCGTCACCCTTGAATCAATATGTACTTTTCTAAGGCAGAAATTTTGTTCTGCAGGATTGATGGATATTTCGTCCTATCGAAAGCCATGACAGATGGGCTGCATTCAAACCTCTATGCATTTTTAAATTGCATTTACACTCAGCTAAACAAACAAGAATAGTGTCTAAAGCAAAACTGTATTTCTTTTTATGCCCCTCTCTGCATATTATGCTTCAAAAACACCACTGGGAGCCTCAGCTGGGTTTTAGCTTTGAGCCTGCTGCATTCCCCCCAAATGCATTTTCTTTTAGCCCAGCTTTTGCTAGATTGAGAAAATGCTACAGATTTTCCCATTATTTATTAACCAAAAACAAATCAGAAATGGGAAACCCTGGATCTGCTCCATGTAGTGAGTTCTCTACCACTATTCTGCAATCTTTCAGCCCCATCTTATGCATGTTGCCAGAAGTCTTCCTGAATTTAATGGGAGTTACTCCCAGGGTCGCCTGCACAGGACCACAGCCTCCAGCTGCTTTCAGACTGTAGAAACATCATACTTCAAATCATGAACTTGGTTCAGACAGTCCTTAATCCCAGGCAAGATTGCAAAGGTTCATGGAAGCAAAAATAACATGAAATGGCACACATAATGCAAGAAGGATACTGTGGCACCTAGCATTCATGTAGCAAGCATATTTCAAGTACACAGAGTGCATCATCCTAGCAGCCCTTACAACAACCCTATAAGTCTTATAGTATAAGGTAATATTATGATTTCCATGCTGCTTATAGGGAGATGAGGCCAAGAGAACAGCTGGCAGATCTAGGCCTACCTAGCAAATTCAAGGTTAAAGTGAGCAAAGACTACTTGGTTCACTGCTCATACCCTGAGTCACTACACTTGTCACCACCACCATAGACCACTATTGTCTGGCAACCCAAATTGAGGGGTTTTGGTTCAAGGACCTCTAGGTGCTGCTGACTTGAATAAAATTGGACTTAGTCGTTCATTTATTTAGAGGTTTCTATACCGTTCTTCACAAAAAATGGTAATGGGGTGGTTTACAAAAAAGAGAAAGATAATAAAACATACCGTAATACCTACTAAACAAAACAATTCTCATAAACTACACAAATAGCACAATTTAAAAGCAGTACAAATAACTTAATCCATCTGCCACCAAAAGCGAGCAGGAAAAGGTGGGTTTATTATACCAGGTGTCTGAAAAAATGGAGCCAACACAAAAAAGGTTAGCCTCTAGTGAGCACATTTGACATGGGAATAACCAGGAGAGCTTCTTCCTCAAACCTTAATAAATGGGCAGGTTGGTAAGGGAAAATACACATGGGTTCAAAGCCCTACACATAGGAGGGTGTTCACATGAGCACTCTCTCACAATCAATGTTTACTTGAGCTCCTTTCTCACTAATGCTGAACAGAAGGTGGAAATCCTGCCCCCCCCCATGCATTCACTGAACATCTGGTGGGATTCAATACGAACACTCCTTGTCCAGCCCCTTAAATCTGGCCTCTGCCATGAATTCACTGGTGGCTTTAGGAAAGCCACTCTTCCTCAGGCTCATCCCCCAAAATGAAGATAACGATACCCACCTAACAGGGTTGTTCTAAGGATGGCGATGATACAATAGCCAGAACCGGCCCAATATTTTTTTTCTCCCCAGCCCCTACGATTGCACCTCCAGCCACCTAGGCTTAGACTTTACAAAAGTCTATGTGGGAACAAAGTTTCAAACATCATTCAATGCAGGTTTTTAAAGCTCTAACTAGAGAGTCCAACCGAGCAAAATGAAAAAATAAAAATACTCCTTTCTCGCAAGAAAGTCTCCCAAAAGGCAGAATTGCTGTGGAAAAGGAAGAGCCCCAGCAGTGCAGCCTGATGGTAAATGGAGCTCCTTGCTCTCAGTTCTAGAATATTCTTGAAACAAGAGTACTGTAATAATTAAAAACACTCACATATTTATTTTAAGTATGCTCCTCTCTTCTTATGGATTTGAGTGACCCCCTAGATAATAACAACAAGAATGTAAGGGGGACTCACCCTTTGAAATAGCCAGGCCTGCCCTGAATCCCTTTCCTGCAGCTCTTAGTCAAAATGGCTTCCAAAGGCCACCATTCCTCCCCACCCATCTGCACATAAGAGCTTGAAAGCATTGAACCTCCTTAAAGTAACAGGTCTAATTAAGCCATAGGGGTTACATAGGTACAGGTTTTGCTTAAAGCAGAACAGCAAGTCCTAAATGACAAGCCTAGAAGAGAAAGCGAGCTGCGTTTAAACCTGCATTTGTTTCCCCCCAAATCCAAACAGAATTAAAAGGGTGGGTTGATATTACGTTTATGGGCAGGGTGGAATTTGTGAGGGCTGGGGAAAATTTCCCCATATTTTATATGTTTAAAAAATGTCCTGCTTTGGTAGGAGAGAATACATTTGGTGCTGTGGCTCGCTGTTACTTGTTCAGTGCAGAGATCTATAGAGGGGAGCAGAAACAGAACAAAAAGAGAGACTAAGGTTCAAATAAGATGTGACATTAAATACATTGTTCCATTTCACATGCAGGTTTTTAAAAATGCAAACAGCTGCAGTAGCGGTGGTAGGAATTATAATCATTGGGACTGCAGCAGGCATAGAGTTTTCCTGCTAGCCTTTGAGGAAAATTCCTCTTCTGAAGGCAGTGTTGGCTTTAGGGAGTAAACCCCCCCCCCATCAATAGGGAATTCCCTCTTGTTGCAAATACTACACCTTTAGAAGAAGGCTTTTCCTCAGGACCACAGCAGAGGAGAAAGAGGTTAACTTCCTACTTCTTGCCTGCTGCAATGCTAAACATCTTCAGTTTCCTCTGATACGGTTTTGCATTTTTGAAGTGCAAAGATGAACTCCTGAGTCCTGCCTAGTTTGGCCCTAGGGGAAGAAAAAGAGAGTAAAGGGGAGGCAAAGGGACCCTGTAAGGTGGAGAAACGGAGAAGAGGCAGGAGGGGTAACATACGGTGTAGAGAGATCTGTGATGCTGTAGAGATGAGAAAAGAGTACTATGGATGAACAGAGAAATGGAGTCAGAAATACAGAGAAAGGAAAAAGAATTTTTTTTAAAAGGAGGTGTAGAGAGACCTATGAACTGGGGAAAGAGTAAAAGGGAGTAACAGATGAAGAGCACACCGAACTGTGGCTACAGAGAGGGAGAAAATAATAAGAAGAAGAAGAGTTTGGATTTGATATCCCGCCTTTCACTCCCTTTAAGGAGTCTCAAAGCGGCTAACATTCTCCTTTCCCTTCCTCCCCCACAACAAATACTCTGTGAGGTGAGTGGGGCTGAGAGACTTCAGAGAAGCGTGACTGGCCCAAGGTCACCCAGCAGCTGCATGTGGAGGAGCGGAGACGCGAACCCGGTTCGCCAGATTACGAGACTACCGCTCTTAACCACTACACCACACTGGCTCTCAAAGGGATGAAAGAGGCTGACAGAAATGTTGGTGCAGAGAAAAATTAGAATCATAGAATCATAGAGTTGGAAGAGACCACAAGGGCCATCGAGTCCAACCGCCTGCCAAGCAGGAAACACCATCAGAGCACTCCTGACATATGGTTGTCAAGCCTCTGCTTAAAGACCTCCAAAGAAGGAGACTCCACCACACTCCTTGGCAGCAAATTCCACTGTCGAACAGCTCTTACTGTCAGGAAGTTCTTCCTAATGTTTAGGTGGAATCTTCTTTCTTGTAGTTTGGATCCATTGCTCCGTGTCCGCTTCTCTGGAGCAGCAGAAAACAACCTTTCTCCCTCCTCTATGTGACATCCTTTTATATATTTGAACATGGCTATCATATCACCCCTTAACCTCCTCTTCTCCAGGCTAAACATGCCCAGCTCCCTTAGCCGTTCCTCATAAGGCATCGTTTCTAGGCCTTTGACCATTTTGGTTGCCCTCCTCTGGACACGTTAACAAATTCAGTTAACAGAAAATGGACTAAAAAAACCCCTAAGCACTTAGTTGAAAATGTGACATTGTCCCAGTAGTGATATAGCACTGTGGCCCTTTTGAATTAATAAACAGGTAAAAGTGGCCCTCAAAGTGATTTGTGCAACCTTCTTTTAAGAACTACATTTCAGTATCATCCCTCCTTGTTAAATTTCAAGCCACTTATCAATTCACTTTGCCTAAACACCTCTTCATTTTCTGTACCTTAAGCAGTATTGTTGCCTTCATCTTCCTTTCAGGTTGCTTTGCCACCCTCCGCTATAACGCAGATGACTATGTTCCGCCCAAGAACACAAAATGGTTGTATTTCAGTAGCAGCTTGTGTTGTTTTGGATAGATTTCACAGCCTTACCCAAAGGTGCCTCCTTGTCTAGTTTAATTATAAGACTCATAATTTTGGGTGTTTCTAGCTGCCTGAAATTATAAGAAATATGCTATAAGTTGGTGGGGAGTTTGGTTTTCTTGTAAAAAAATACTCTGTTTAGAACTCTGCTTTCCTTGTACTTGGGGTGGGAAAGATGCATGCTGTGCATACTAAAGGCTCAGAAGCAAAAAAAAAGATGATGAAAAGAAGCTGCTAAAATCAGAGTTTTAATGCAGTCGTGTGAGCTTGTGCTTTTAGAACATCTGGAGTTTTAGTCATTAGCATTTTTTATTATTTGCTCCATTCACCTTGCCGCAATTATTGTTAAGGAACCTAATATTATTGGTAGTTCAGCAACCACTTCAGTTATGGATCTTGGTAAAAGTGGTATCCATCTTGATGATTAATAATTGAACACTACATGATGTCAACCATCTCTCTCCATATCTATGCTGCTATTCTCCAGCTACATGATTAAAAATAATGGATTGATGAAGTTAGCTGTCTTAATTGGCTTCTAAACTTGCTGGAACCAGGGATTAAAGAGATCTGGCACCCACAAACTCCTAACACTATGATTTTCCCCAAAGAATCCTGGGAACTGTAGTATGTTTAGGGTACTGGGAATGGTAAATATGTGAGAAAACTACACTTCCCATATTTTTTGGGGAGAAGTCATGTGCTTTAAACGTGTTTTGATTGCATTTTAAATATATGGTGTGGATCTGCCCCACTAGGGACCATAAAAGCATCCCTCAACACCTCACAATTGTTTTTAAAAGGATACGACACAACCGCATCCTCAAAATATTTTGCATTTTTCCGTTCTGACAACACCATATGAGCCCAACACCATATTAAGTAACACATTATAGATACTATTTTTTGTATGAAGGAGCGAGCCAGCTAAAAGATGAAAATCGTTCTTGTTTCATGAGATAAAACGAATAGCGGGGGATGTAGGAAGATGTAGGTGATAACAGAATCGCCAGGCAGAAATAAGGTAACAATCCATGCCATGCCCTCCCTCCCCCAGTAGTGAATTCGTCTTATTCGGGGTATTTAACTGCGGCAGCATCTATCAGTCGTCGAAACGCAACGCTGCGTAACACCTCAAAGCCCTACCCCTAACTTTTTACTCGTCGGCTCTTGTGCCAGCCAGAAACCTTAGACACAGAAAGCCTCTCCTTAAGCCACGTCTCCCACTAAACCAGAATTGCTTTGCCCTTCTCAAACATGGCGGCGTGCACGTGCGCGATGGAAAGAGGGGAGAGAGAAAGGACCGGAATACCCGGGGCAAAGATGGCCGAGGAGGCTACTCGAATCCCCGCCCCCTTGCTTGAGTGAAGGGCCTATGTGGCCATCCCGCGCCTGACTCAGGAGGGAGGCGGAGGAGGAGGAGGAAAGCTGTGCGCATGTGCAGCCCACCTGTGCAACGTGGAGGGGGAAAATGCCTAAGAAGCAGGGAGAGCGCGTGGGCGTAGCTCAGGAGGTGAGGAGACCGGCACGTTGCCCGGGCAACCAGGAGGAGAAGGGGGCTTTTTCGGGGGGGGGAGCACCTTACTGAGGGCGTGGCAAGGATCCGTGAAAGATGGCAGAGGGGATGGGCGTGAATGGGGCGGGGCAGCGGGAGCGGGTTTTACAAATAGGTCAGCCTTGGGAGGGGGGAGATGCATATAGGATGGGAAGAGAAATTGGTGCTAGAATGGGGAGCGGTAGTGGCTAAGCATGTTGCACTCACCTACCCCGTGGGGTTGTTGTGAGGATAAAATGGAAGAGGAGCACGCACACTGCCTTAAGGTCCTTGGATGTGTAGTCCCTAAGTAAGGAGTGGAGAGGGATGTCTGCAGGAAATAATTGTGGATATATTAGATTGCTCTGAATAGTTGACCAAAGCACGCCTCTTCAACCAACCACGCTGTTGTAAGTGCCTGTGAGCATGCCTAGCTCAGTGGTCAAGCGCTCTGTTACGACTTAAAGCTGAAGGGACAACATCGAAATGTAATAAGTAAGCAAATAAGCAACGGACACAGATGGGTGTCTGTGGCAAACGCCTCTTTTAACTATGCTGTTGTACATTAGGTGTTGTATCTCTTATTCTTAGGACCTGATACATATCAGGTAGGGTGACCAGCTGCAAGAAAGGGCAGAGCTCTTGCATCTTGGAATAGTTTTGTAAAAGGGGAGAAAGGAATTGGTGTAAGCTTGTCATGTCATGTCTTAGCCTTAGCTTGCCATCCAGGGTTATTGTGATGATCAAATGCCACAATGGAATGTCTAGGCACCATTTTTTACCTGCAGTTGAAATTATTTATTTATTTATTTATTTATTTTCTTTAAGAATAAATTTCAAGGTGGTTTACAACACATCAAAACATCAAATCCAGAATAAAACAAATTCAAGCTTCAAGGAAAATATTTCAGATCCTTCTCTAGGTGACATTTTGCTTTCCCCAGTCGCCACCCTGGCATCCAGAGATCTCCACATAGTCACAATTGGACACATGCCAGTTGCAAAACGCGCCTGACGCCTGGTTAATTCTAACACTGGTTGGTATGGCTAGAGCTTGAAAAGGTGTAGTGAGAATGTGGCAGGCAGAAAGTTAATTGGTACAGCCTTTACAGCCTATTATACTAATTAGCATCCTAAATTGGTTACTTGTTACACTTTTATGTTACCCTTCTGTAGAAGCCCAGGGTGATGTACATGGTTTTCTCACACCCTCGCCCATTTTATCCACATAAGAACTCTGTGAAGTAGGCTCAGCCAAGATCACACAATGAGCTTCCTGTTTAGGTGAGGATTTGAAACCAGGTCTTCCCAGTCCCAGGCTGACAGTCTAATCACTGTACCAGTGTCTCAAGTGCAGGATCTTTAACACTTCTGCACCTTATTTATTCCTCGGCATAGCACTTCATGCACCTGATGCAGTCCACATAAAATCTTAGCCTTTGCTGTTTTTGCTGCAAATAATTTCTGGTTTTGGAACCTTAGTTCCGACATGCTGGAAATTTAATTCTGAATTACTGGCAAAAGGGGAGAATAATTTATTTGATAAACTCTTTCCCTCCCTCCCTCACCTGTTAGTGGGAGAAGAGTGAAGGAGAAACCTATAACTATCCTAGCTCGCTATCACTGTCCTTGTATAAAATTCACCTTCTTTGGGAAAGGTGGTGGTATTAGTTGGAAGGCGCAACTGGAATACAGATCCCTAGCTTTTTCTAGCTGGCTTGGTACCATCTCTGAGGGTGCTTGCCATGCTAGCTGCCGTTCATATCTGCTCCGCCTTTGCAGTTGGCCTTGGAGGTGTTATGTCTTCACTTCTTATACATCCTTCCTATTCTGCTGTTTAGTCCCTTGGCTTTCAGTTCAGTGTGCTTTCTGTGTAGTGAAATAATTTGGCGAGAATAATGTGGAAAGCACTGCATATGACTGAGCCAAGGGTGGAGGAGAAATATTGAAATTTCCTATCATTTGTCGTGAAGAGCCATGGTCAATATCTGAATCAATGCTTGGGTGACAAGGCACCTTGGAATTTCCCCAGTGTTACTAGGCATTACTGTTCCCCCCCGCCGCCGCCATGTTGCTTGGCTCAGTCACCATTCCCTCTCTTTCCTCCCTGCCCACCCCCTCCAACACCAGCCTAAGAAGCCAGGATGAGAAATGACTTCTAGAATTTGCTGGTTCTGCCCTTTCAGTGTTTCCATCCCATGCCTTCCTCCCTTTTGCATACCATACTCTCTCCAGAGTTGTTCGCTGCTGTTGTTTCCCCATGTTGCAAAGTCTTCAACTCTGTCTCTGCAGTTATTTAGAGCTTATTAAAACTCCCCCTGTTCAGAGGCAATGATGTGTTGATTTAATCAAAAGTATCTGCTGATCTGAGCAGTGCAACAAAACGTTGGCAAATGGGAAATCCTGGGATATAGGACCTCAAGCTCCACTAATCTTAAGTGGCGCAGGCTGTTCTGCTGTACCTTCAGTGGCAAACACTTTCCTCCTTTGCAGGGAAATCTGCCAGAGGGCCCTGCTGTGAGCTGAATTGCTTCCTTCTTCAATGCATATTCTGCTTATATCACCCAGAAACAATGGTTAAAATCTGAGTTTAATTCTAGTGTCAATGAGCACAAACTGGCTGGTAGAGTGGACTCTATATAATAAACAATTTATTACATATCAAATACTGTTTGAAATATGGGCTCCTAATTATTGCTCTGTGTAACCGCACAGAGCATGAATAGCCAAATCCCACTGAGTAGTCAGACACATAAACATGATAATGGTTCATGTCCACTATCATCTAACATGTGGCAGTATATACACAGAAACCCCCAGTGGCACAATGGGCCACTGTGTCTGGCTGTGAGCAGGATTCCTGCATTGTAGGGGGTTGGACTAGATGGCCCTTGGTATCCCTTCCAACTCTACAATTCTATGGTATCTTAAATATCGCAGTAATCCTTACAATCATCACCTCCACCAACCGTGCACACTTGGTAGGTTGATTGCTCTTGAGGTCAAGTGGCTATCAAAAATAAGAGAAATTATTTCTACAAAGTTGGGGAACCCTCTGCGTATGCAGAAGAATATAAATTTGTAAATTAATGAAAATCTAACAACAGCATGTTCAGGACCTGTGAGCTTCCGATATGTACAAAGTGTTGAGATGTCAGTTTGGAGGGTGGGGGAAAAGGGAGTATTAGCCTGCTGAAGCCCCCCAAAGCTGCTAATAATACACATATCCCCTGGGGGGGGGGCAAGGAACTCAAGAGGGTTGTGGTGATGCTGCTGTAGACGTTCCTGGAGGAAACGGATTATCTTGACCCATTTCAATCTGGGTTCAGACCCTGGTTTGGAACTGAATCTGCCTTGGTCACCCTGGGGCCCTCTATTGGGAGAGGGATCCTGTTGCCCTTACTAGAGCTCTCATTGGCTTTTGGTACCATGGTATCCTCTTGAAATGGGTATTGGAGGCACTGTTCTGCATCTCATTCTCTTGGCATCTTTTATATTTCTAGTGCTCTGAGAAAGAGAGGAAAACCTTTCTCTGTCCCTTTTCTGCACACCAGAATAAAAGGTATGTAGAGAGAGGTAATATGGCGTTTTCCCCCCAGCAACAATTTATTCATATAGGTATTCTCAGATAATTTAGAATAGCAGCATTCACCTGCTGTTTGAGGGCTTTAGCTCACTCTTTTGATACCAATAGATGGTGCATGTTTGCACTGACCCAAAAAATCTAGATTGCACTAACATTTAGAGTTAACCTTTTCGTAACAGTTTAGGATTCGGCGGAGACACTGCGCCTCATACTTGCAGATTAAAGGCGCTTTGGGGTTAAAAATTACTGTGTTCTTAAAAGGCAGTCAAACAAAAATAAGTCTGTTGAAATAGGAAGTGACAGCATCATAAGCGAGTACTTAAAAATTAACGTGTATGGCCAGCCAAGAGCACCAGCCAGCAGGATTTTGAGGCTGCCGCATGTGGGCCATGTAAGCATTGTGACCAAAAATACATTATTGTATTAAGATTCACTAACAGGAACAGAGTGTGTAGTACTTTTCTGCTCTAGTTGGCTCTGGCTAGGGCTTCCTTGAAGACAGCACTCATTTCTGGGCGGATTGTTTCAATAAGAACAGACAACTGGAAGGTGGAGGGGGGATTCAGTACTTGAAACAGGAACTCTTCTTCCTCCTTCTCCACTTGTCTTGGGGCAAAGACTTACCCTATTGTACTCTGGAGAGCACCATATTGCATACATCATCCCAGGTCTTTAGCTCTCAGTAGTATTAGAATGGTAAATCGTTCGTTCTTCCTCCAGCCTTTGACTCCCTTTGCCCTCGCAACTGTCAGTCATGTCAAGAGACTGGTGATTGGTTGAGGTACGTTGACATTATTCTTTGTGATCCAATGGCTCTCTTAATAGCCTTGATAAATGTTTACAGTAATGAAAATTCTACAAATTCCCAAGACAGCATGTTCCACTATCCTCAGCTGTGTTTTCAGTAGATCGTTTTTCCTTCCCTATTTAAGGAACCAGGCTAATTTAAATCTAGGCTGCTGCGAAAAAAGAACAATGGAGTAGTGCTGACAAGTGTTGCGGCCAGATTTTCAAATACTTCTTGGAATTTTGCAGGTGGCTCTTTCACTCCGGCACATCTCTCATCGCAGTAGCAGAAACATAAGCTATTTTTATGAGGAAATAGCTTGGTAGAATAAGAAAAGGATGTCTTACTCAGGGAGACAAAGGCTATGTACACACCATATATTTAAAACACATCTCCCCTCCCCACCCCAAAAGAGAATCCTGGGAATCATAGTTTATCCTTCCATTTGGGTCAAAATTAAGGGAGAGAAGAATAACAGTGACCTCATTGTGGGAGTTTACTATAGATCCCCAAGCCAAACGGAGGACATAGACGATGCCTTCCTGGAACAGATGGCCAAGCATGCAAAAGGAAGGGAGATAGTAGTAATGGGGGACTTCAATTACCTGGATATTTGTTGGATGTCAAACTCAGCCAAGAGCATAAGGTCAAACAGATTCCTCACTGGCCTTGCAGACAACTTCATTGTCCAGAAAGTGGGAGAAGCAACAAGAGGAACAGCCATTTTAGATCTGGTCCTAACCAATGTTGATGACCTGGTTAGTGGGGTAGAAGTGGAAGGATCATTAGGCGCGAGTGATCATGCTCTTCTGAAGTTTACTATACAGCGGAAAGGAGCAGCCAAGCATACTAGGATTCAATTTCTTGACTGTAAGAAAGCCGACTTCATAAAACTTAGGGAAGTGCTGGGTGAGATCCCATGGACAGTAATACTAAAAGGAAAGGGAGTTCATGATGGCTGGGAGTTTGTTAAGAGGGAGATACTAAAAGCACAACGTCAGGCAATACCAATGAGATGGAAACATGGAAGGTGCCTAAAGAAGCCAGGGTGGCTATCTAAAGAACTTTTAACTGAGTTAAGATTAAAAAAGGATGTGTACAAAAATGGAAAAGGGGAAACCACCAAAGAGGAATTCAAACAAATAGCCAGCACGTGTAGACACAAAGTCAGAAAAGCCAAAGCACAGAATGAACTCAGGCTTGCTAGAGAGGTTAAAAGCAACAAAAAAGGCTTTTATGGGTATGTCCGTAGCAAAAGGAAGAACAAAGAAACAGTGGGGTCACTCAGAGGAGAAGATGGTGAAATGCAAACAGGGGACACAGAAAGGGCTGAACTCCTCAATGCCTTCTTTGCCTCAGTCTTCTCTGATAATGAAAACAATGCCCGACCTGAAGAATTTGGAGCAAATGATTCAGCAGAGGAAACACAGCCCAGAATAACTAAGGAGATAGTACAAGAATACTTGGCTAGTTTAGATGTATTCAAGTCTCCAGGGCCAGATGAACTGCATCCAAGAGTATTAAAAGAACTGGCAGATGTGATCTCAGAACCACTGGCAGTCATCTTTGAGAATTCCTGGAGAACAGGCGAAGTCCCGGCAGACTGGAGGAGGGCAAATGTTGTCCCTATTTTCAAAAAGGGGAAAAGAGAGGACCCAAATAATTACCGCCCAGTCAGTCTGACATCAATACCAGGGAAGATTCTGGAGCAGATCATTAAGCAAACAGTCTGTGAGCACCTAGAAAGGAATGCTGTGATCACCAATAGTCAGCATGGATTTCTGAAAAATAAGTCATGTCAGACTAACCTGATCTTGTTTTTGACAGAATTACAAGCCTGGTAGATGAAGGGAACGCAGTGGATGTAGCCTACCTTGATTTCAGCAAGGCATTTGACAAGGTGCCTCATGATATTCTTGTAAAGAAGCTGGTAAAATGCGGTCTTGACTATGCTACCACTCAGTGGATTTGTAACTGGCTGACTGACCGAACCCAAAGGGTGCTCATCAATGGTTCCTCTTCATCCTGGAGAAGAGTGACTAGTGGGGTGCCACAGGGTTCTGTCTTGGGCCGGTCTTATTCAACATCTTTATCAACGACTTGGATGATGGACTCAAGGGCATCCTGATCAAATTTACAGATGACACCAAATTGGGAGGGGTGGCTAACACCCTAGAGGACAGGATCACACTTCAAAACGACCTTGACAGATTAGAGAACTGGGCCAAAACAAACAAGATGAATTTTAACAGGGAGAAATGTAAAGTATTGCACTTGGGCAAAAAAAATAGAGGCACAAATACAAGATGGGTGACACCTGGCTTGAGAGCAGTACATGTGAAAAGGATCTAGGAGTCTTGGTTGACCACAAACTTGACATGAGCCAACAGTGTGACGCGGCAGCTAAAAGCCAATGCAATTCTGGGCTGCATCAACAGGAGTATAGCATCTAGATCAAGGGAAGTAATAGTGCCACTGTATTCTGCTCTGGTCAGACCTCACCTGGAGTACTGTGTCCAGTTCTGGGCACCACAGTTCAAGAAGGACACTGACAAACTGGAACGTGTCCAGAGGAGGGCAACCACAATGGTCAAAGGCCTGGAAACGATGCCTTATGAGGAACGGCTAAGGGAGCTGGGCATGTTTAGCCTGGAGAAGAGGAGGTTAAGGGGTGATATGATAGCCATGTTCAAATATATAAAAGGATGTCACATAGAGGAGGGAGAAAGGTTGTTTTCTGCTGCTCCAGAGAAGCGGACACGGAAGCCGTGCCTTGGTTTTCGAACTTTTTGGAAGTCGAATGGACTTCTGGAACGGATTACGTTTGAGAACCAAGGTACCACCATACTGAAATGTGCCGTGAAGATGGAGATGGAGAAATAAAAAGTGTGCCCATTTTGGATGCTGTTTTCTGACACTTATCTTTAGCCTCCTGTTATAGTTCTTGAATCTTACAAATACTGCATGCATTGTGCAGGGGGAAAGCTGCTGGCAGGTTACATAGGACAAGTATCCCCATTTATCGATATTCTGTAAATACAGTTGATAACCTGCTGGGTCACTCAAACCAAAGGTCCATCTAGAAAACCACCCTGCTTCTCACAGTGGCCAACCTAGCTGCGTCCAGGAAGCCCACAAAACAAATTGAGAATGAAAACCCTCTGGCTGTGACTGGTTTTCGGTGGGCTGGTGCCTCTTATCCTGGAGATTCATGACAGCTGTTATGACAAATAGCCAGTGTTTATCAAACTGGATTTTTTAAAAAATAAAAGTTTGGTTCTCTAGTTTTTCCACTTTTTTTGTAAAATACACCGTTTTATTCCTCTGATAATTGCTTCACTGTTGCTGTTATAATATTGCTATATTGTTTATTATTTTTATTTTGTAGGTGATAAGTTGGAATGTTTTATAATGAAATTTTATCTTTTAATAAGTTTTGAGCCACCTTGCTAATATCGAAAGGCGGCTTACAAATACTGAAATAAATCTGCTTAGCAGGAAGATTATTCCATTTGTCTTTTTCTCACAAGCCACCCTCCCCCTTTTCCTTTGGCTCTGATCTGTTTAATGAGGGTCAGGAGGTGTAAAGCCTCATTATCTTACTCCATTGGATGTCAGTGTGTGTGTTATGTGGCCGAGTGCCAGGATCTTAATTAGGGAATTTACAAAGATAGAGGCCGGATGCCACTTCTTCAAAACTGCTTGCAGCCTTGCAGCAAGAAGGAATGGGTTTGATTAACTCATTACAAAATTGGTTTATTTTGTTAAAAATAAAAATAAAAAGACCAGCAAATTCAGCCCAGATCAAAACGCCAACCTTCTGTTTTTAAGGCACCCGGAGACAGTATAAATAAATATCAGTAATAAGCATCTGTGTCTCTTTGGATTGACAGCTATTTCCCAACCCCAAGCCTCTGTGTTTTGGGAGGTCTCCAGCGTTCCCTCAAGTGAATCCAAATTTCAGAAGAAGTGGGCATTGTGCCTGATGGTGTACTTCCTACGAGGGGATGCCTCTGGCTTTGGCACTTTATGCAGATTGCTTGTCAAGTATGCAGGGGCTCCCCATCCTCCCTTAAAGTGCATATTGTAGCATTGAACTGGGGAATGCAAGAGTGCATTGATTATGGGGGCAGTCCTTACTGTTTTGGAGTGGTGTTTGATATCAAATATGTCTTAGGAAACTCTGGGTATGGTTCAACTAATGAATCCTATGAGCATAACAGGGCTCCCCCCTCCCCTGGCACCCCCAAAATTGGCTGTGGGGTGTCAGGAGAACACTCTGAATAGCTTGCAGGGGGAGGAGAGAGCGGTTATTCCATCACGCCCTGTCAAACACTGTCCCATCAAAAGTCAAGGAAATAAGCAATTATCTGACTTTTAGAAGACATCTGAAAGCAGCCTTGTTCTGGGAATTTTTTAATGTTTGATGTTGTGTTGGAAGCTGCCCAGATTGGCTGGGCGAACCCAGTCAGATGGGTGGCATACTAATTAATTGATTGATTGATTGATTGATTGATTATTAGGCAAGCTGAAATGCGTATCCTGATGGCACAATCAACATACCATGCCATTGGATTCCTTCTTGTGTCCCAGCCTTTGTGGGATTATAAGAATTTTTAGATTAGCTGCACACTTCATATGGCAATTGTGTCTGCTGCAGATGTATTGGTGTTATCCCAGTATTTCTTGCTGTGAACATGTTGTGAATGTTATTTTATTTAATAGTAATTGATTTTTCTTAATCCCACCTTTTAGAAAGATTGCCTTTTGAATGATAAACATGCATCCTTAAACAGTGGCGCGTGTTTATTGGAAGCCTGCAGTCCAGTCAGGGCTCCTGAGCATGTTTTTTTAATGGGTATTACAATACAATATAAGTTTATTGTTTTAGCCAAAGGCCATGACAAACCCGCAGCAACGTTACCAATAAAACAATACACACCATTCATCCATAATATGAGCCAACACCCATGATGTAAGAGAGAGGTTTCCAAAGACATCCACAAACTCAAATCCAGCTTGATTTCAAATCAAACCACTAAATCACAACAATTTATAGCAATTTTATCTAATCCCCTTTCTCTGTTTTTATTTGTTATTATTTTATTATTTTTGCAGCCAGGGTACAGGGTGTTACAAAGCTGTTATTGTCACTCAGTGGAAACCAAACCACTTCTGCCAGGGTGTACCTGCTTGCTTGTGTGAACAAAGGTTTCAGAAAGAAATTTCTTGGGTCTGTATGGAAAGGCCCCATTGGGAAAGGTTATCTAGAAAACAAAATCATCTGCATACATCGTGATTGAGACATTTCTGTTCCTAATTACTGGAGAGGGGGAAGTTTCCATTGGCTAAATATAAAATAATTGGCTAATATAAAAGTTGAAAAAAGTGGTAGCCAGAATGCAACCTTGCTTCATTCGTGACAGTTTAAAAGCATGAGTCATACCACCATTTAAACCTACACTGACCCTCATTTATGTGTTGCTGCATAGTTCTTGGATCAGTAGCAGAACTCTGCAATCAACGTTGGCAATTTGAAATTTCTCCCAATCTAATTCTGATAATAGAGTCGAATGCAGCAGAAAGACCTTTAAAGCCCTAAACGGCCTCAGTCCAGTATACCTGAAGGAGCGTCTCCACCCCCATCGTTTTGCCCGGACGCTGAGGTCCAGCGCCGAGGGCCTTCTGGTGGTTCCCTCGCTGCGAGAAGCCAAGTTACAGGGAACCAGGCAGAGGGCTTTCTCGGTAGTGGCACCGGCCCTGTGGAACGCCCTCCCACCAGATGTCAAAGAGAAGAACAACTACCAGACTTTTAAAAGACTTCTGAAGGCAGCCCTATTTAGGGAAGCTTTTAATGTTTAATAGACTATTGTATTTTAATATTCTGTTGAAAGCCGCCCAGAGTGGCTGGGGAAACCCAGCCAGATGGGCAGGGTATAACAGGGTATAAATAATAAATTATTATTATTATTATTATTATTATTATTATTATTATTATCAATAAAGGCCACATAAATATTCTGATTGTTCTTAGTATGTTTTCTAGATGACCTTTGGGTCCCTTCCAACTCTTAAGATTCTATGATCCTTAGAATACAGTTCAGGGTAAAACACTGTGTCCTCTGAACTCAGCTGGTTATTCAGGTGTAATGTTGTTACTTTGTAACCAGTCTGATCATTTTTGAAGGAGATACTGTGCATATAGCTTTGAGGAGATGTCTTACTGGCTGATAGTTTTGTGGATGATTCCTACCGTTAAAAGTGAATAATGAAGAAGAGACTGTAATGTGGTTGATAACATTTCCACCCTATTTGTTCAAATAAGTATACTGACCCTTAGAAATGTCTACAGGACTCCCATGAAGGATATATAAATTATGTCGGGATACAAATTCTAACAATTTCAGGCCCTGTGCCTTATATTTCTTGCCAAAGAATAATGAAGTCTAAGCCTAAAGATAGCAAGAGATCCTCTGCAGTAGCTCCAATTTGGGCATTAAAATCCACACAAAGAAGTAAATGCTGTGAGGAATTTATGACTGATCTGTTCCAGCAGGGATGTTAAATCTGACCAAAGTTTGGTGGTCAGTGACAGACAATTAGTAGGGGGAAGGTAGATGAAAAGAAAGATTCCTGATTTAGTTTTGATTTGTATTGGCAAAATAGCATCATTTTGAATTCCAAAATCTGCTATCCAAACTTGCCCTGCTAAATCAAGCTATATAAAGGAACTTAAGCCCCCACATCATTGTCCCTTTTTAAATTTCTTAACAGCTGGCTGTCTAAAAGAGTTAAAACCCTGTAAGGGGGAGGGGGAGGGTTAAGTTCATGAGGCCAAGTCTCTTTCAAACCTATTATATCAAATTGCTGGGACATACAAATAATATCCTTCTCGGCCTTCTTATTTATCCCAACCCACAGGTACCAGGAAAGAGTGTTAAGACCTTTTCTGGATGTTTTCTAATCAGTTATGGCATCTTAAAGGAGAGCTAAAGGCATCATAGCTTGCTTTTCTATAATTACCCCTAGGCCTGGTCTTATCTTGAGCATTTGTTAATGGAGAATCCTTTTGATTTCTGGAAAATAGATTGCAAGCAGGGTAGGAACACAAGTTAGCATAGATTCATAGAATTGCAGAGTTGGAAGGGACTCAGAGGGTCTTCTAGTCCAACTCCCCATTTAATGCAGGAATCTCAACACACAGTCCTCCCCCAATAAATCTGTTTTCATCTCTCGCCCTGCTCCAAAATGGTGGTCATCTCCAATGCTTGGGAGAATCATCATGATGTCTACTTTCCATATTCTTCTCCTTTATTTCCCATTTAGGGACTAATGCTACAGTTCTCTACTCTTTTACTTGGGAGACAGCCCTATGGAATGAATTGCTCTGAGTAGGTTTGCATAGGATAGTTTTGTTCGTGACCCATTCATTCTTTGGCTGAAGCTGCCAGGAAAAGAATATTGCAGGAAGAAGCATCTGCCGTGATCCCCTCCTTGCCCCTCCCGTTCCTCCACTCGTTTCTAGTCTGCCTTGTCTTTTCTAAGCATTCCTTACTGGGAGCAAATGCTTTCCATCTACGCCAGGGTTCAGGTGTTTAGCAGTTTCAAAGAGCACTCTGTGGAGAGCATCCTCTGGGGGATCTTGCAGAAGCCTTAATGTTTATCAAAGTCTGTGACTTTTGTAGAGATATGAGATCCTTGGGAAGTTCCATCCTCAGCAACCCTGAGAATAAATGGTAATTCTTGCCCAAATGCTCCGATTACTCCAACCCTCCCTGTCCATTTCTCTCTCTCCTGACTCTCCCACTGCCCCTTATCTACAGCAAGAGTATTACTACTGTAGTAAGAAATATGCCCCTGAATTGCCATGTATTCAGCGTTCAGTCTCATGCACCTCTAAAGTGTGCATTGGCCACTGCTGGGGTTGCATCTGCCCATATTCTTCTCTTCTGCACAAATATTCAGTTATGTCATCTGGACAACTATCAAAGCTTTAATGCTGAAAGGTGGGCTTTCCCTGAGCTAACTTGCTCACCTCAGAAATCTCAAAATCCAAAATGGATCTGAAGTGCAGGATAAAATTTGCAATGGTGGTTCCCATTCTTCCTTTTTTTGTCACAGCTCAAACAGTAAGGTGTTCTGTTTGCAGCCTCTATGGACTCTATAAGGCCTGTCATTAGAACAAGATCTGGGTGTGTGGAATTGGTAATGCGCTGGGATAAACTGAAGCTCAATTCTGACAAGATGGGGGATGCTGCTGATTGGTAGTATGACATGTGGTATGTTGTACTCTCTCTTAAAGATCTGGTTTGTGAGTGGATCATCTGCAAATTCTCCTAAGACAAAAAGATAGTTTACCCACAATTATTGACACTCTGGCAATGTCCTGTTTAGACTATTGCCATTCATTGTCCACAAGGCTACCCTTGAAGACCATTTGGAAACTGGAGGTTGTACAAAACAAATATGGTGGGTAGACCACCAATTTGGATCTTGTCAGTCTTAAAACACATGGATTGGTTTCTGGTCCATTTCGAGGCCAAATTATTGTGCTAGACCAAGATGCCTCAAGTAGAGTCTCTTGCCTTATGAACCCTCCTGAATATTAATATTCTTCTCAGAAGGGCCTTCTTCGGGTCTTACTGCCATTTGAAGAGAAGTAGGTGGTGACTTGTGCTATAGGGTATTTTCTGTTATAATACCTTATCTTTGAAATGCTCTCCCTATATAGAGACTTGCCTGACACTGGCTTTGCTTTCTTTTTAGCACTAGGCAAATGCATTTTAATTTACTCCAGCTTCTTAGTGTGCCTTAGTCTCAACTGATGGTTTTATCTGGTTCACAACCACCCGCTGTTCTGTTTTCATTGTCTTTTTGTTGAAAGGTGTCATTTTTATTGATGGATGTTGTTTTAAATGACTGAATGAAAACTCTTTTGTGAGGTTTGCCTAAAAAGCACTATAGAAATGCTGAAATAAAGAGAGGTGCTTAACCTGTTCTTCTGCTGCTTTGCCAGGAGAGAGAGAGACAGCTTTGCTAGGAGGTGGGAGCTGCATCTTGCTTCTGTGTGAACCGTTTCTGATTTTGGCCAAAGACGGGGTACATATCCCAGGATGCATCTGCTCTCAAAATAGGCAAATGTGCAGAAGAGTGATTGAACACATTCAAGGAGGATAGACCAGTTGAGATTATTAGCCATGTTGGCTTCATAGTTTCAGAGACTCTTTGGCACTCAGTACTAGTTGCTGGGACGCGGGTGGTGCTGTGGGTAAAACCTCAGTGCCTAGGACTTGCTGATCGTATGGTCGGCGGTTCGAATCCCCGTGGCGGGGTGAGCTCCTGTCTTTCGGTCCCAGCTCCTGCCCACCTAGCAGTTCAAAAGCACCCCTAAGTGCAAGTAGATAAATAGGTACCGCTTTATAGCGGGAAGGTAAACGGCGTTTCCGTGTGCGGCGCTGGTGCTGGCTCACCAGTGCAGCTTCGTCACGCTGGCCACGTGACCCGGAAGTGTCTTCGGACGGTGCCGGCTCCTGGCCTCTTGAGCGAGATGAGCGCACAACCCTAGAGTCGGTCACGACTGGCCCGTACGGGCAGGGGTACCTTTACCTTTTACTAGTTGCTGGAAGGCAACAACAGGGAGGGAGCTACTACCCTCAAGCCCTGCTTGTGAGAGTGATATAGTATAGGATACTGACCTACATGGACCATTGGTTTGACCCTACAGGGCTTTTCTAATGTTATCTGGGCAGGTGTGGGGAACCTTTGGCCCTCCAGATATTGTCTAACTACAACTCCCATCAGCTCCAGCAAACATGGCCAGTCACCAGGAATGATGTGAGATGTAGTTCAGCAACCCCTGGCAAGCCAAAGGTTTCCCATACCTGTTTTTGGGGCTGTGTTTTTAAGGTGCTTTTGCTGTAGACAGACTAATAATACACTGCACTTCAATTTTTCAAAGTTCTTCCCATAGATAATGTCAATAATCCTTATAACACATATGAAAGGCAGGCCAATACTATTTTCCTCATACCAATCTGCTTCTTCTGCCATAAATTGGTCCCTTGCATCCCGGTTCCTCCCTTCTTCCCTCTGCCTTGCCCGAGGCTGATGCTGCCTGCTTTCCTTGAGCAGAGTGTGAGGATTGCTAATTAGCCCAGAATTGAGCCATAAAGTGGCTAATCAGGGGATCAGTAGAATTGATTTCCCAGTGCGACTCTTCGAAGGGACGCCTTTCCCTCTTTCCCCGCCCTGGGATGAGCAACCAGAGTTGGTGCAGGAGTGGGAAAGGTCTCCCCATCCTCTGTATTGAGCACATCTCAGTGGGCTACTGGGAAGAGCTGCTCCAGATGGGCACGTGGCCTCTCTTAGCCAGGCTTCCTACTATTTGTGCGCAACACCATGCACACTGGAAAGGGGTATTGGGAAGGGAGCATGTACTGATTGACAAGCTAATGGGGAAATCATGTCAAGCATCAGTACAAGCTCTCCTTGCAATTCCCCTTTATGGGGAGGGGCCCATAGCTTGGAGAGCTGGCTTTGCATGCAGATATCTCCTGTTCAATTCCTGGCAACTCCAATTTAAAACATGTCAGGTTTCAGGGCTGGGAAAGACCTCGTTGCCTGAGACCTGGGGGAGCAGCTGCCATTCTGAGTAGACAGCACTGGCTTAGATGGGTCCCCTGGTTTGACAGCATGAAAAGTTGCTTCCTATGTTCAGCAAAGAGCACATTGTTTCTGTCAAATACTAATGGAATCTCTTTCCTGATGCTTTACCTGTAGGGTGGCAAAACAGATTTCCCCTGGGCTCAGAATGAGATGCGGGGGGGGGGGGGGAATTCCCCAAGGCACTTTTCCCTTAAGGGGCCTCCTTTGTTCAGACCTCATTCTTCCCATACTCTTAAATCCTTCATCACCTGTTCCCTTGCACTTCAGCTGCTCCCTCTCCCTCTCTTGTCTCTCCACTTTACTGGAAAATAAATTAGCAGACTAATTAGATGACTATCTTAAGCAGCCAGCAGTTGCTTCCTGCCGCAACTCCAGCTGAATGCAAGATGATCACGGCAGTTAGAAGTATCCGCTTGGGACTCGGAATTGCCCAAGTTAATCTGCCTGCCTCACCTGGGGCAAGTCACTGGGCCACTTTCCATTTTCTGGAAGACATGGCTGCATTAAGATATAAATAGCCTCAAATGTGCCTTATTTTCTGGAGAAAATTCAAGGAGTTGTACATCTACATTCCAAAGGTTTGCTCCCATTGCCTTCCCCCCCCTAAGTGTTGGCTATGAATGTTCATTTCCTCATCTTAAGCCAGTGGGTGTGATGTTAAATCTTAACATGGAAAGTAGCTCTTTTAAGTAGCTCCTTCCTTGGAGGTTTTTAAGCAGAGGTTGGGTGGCCATCTGTCATGGATGCTTTAGCTGAGATTCCTGCATTGCAGGGGGTTGGACTAGATGGCCCTCAGGGTCCCTTCCAACTCTACAATTCTATGATCTCCATCCAGATATGAGTGTGTGTGTGTGTGTGTGTGTGTGTGTGTGTTTGCTTCTGAAGTGCAACGAGAGTACTCATTTTGCTAAAAAGAGAGGAATTGAGCAGCAGACATTTGTGTCCCAATCTGTACTGGTGGCAAATGAATACTCTTGCCCTGATTCTGCTCTAGTCACACACAACTCATGGTCCATGGAAAAGAATGTTTATTTCTCATCTATGTCAAACGTCAGGCCAGCCTGGATGATCATCCCAATGCAGACCCAGATATGCACTGCCATCAGTTCTTGTTGTTGTTTAGTCCTTTAGTCATGTCCGACTCTTCATGACCCCATGAACCTGAGCACGCCAGGCACTCCTGTCTTCCACTGCCTCCCACAGTTTGCTCAGACTCATCGGTAGCTATGAGAACACCGTCCCACCATCTTGTCCTCTGTCGTCCCCTTCTCCTTGTGCCCTCCATCTTTCCCAACATCAGGGTCTTTTCCAGGGAGTCTTCTCTTCTCATGAGGTGGCCAAAGTATGGGAGCCTCAGCGCCATCAGTTCTGTCTTTGTGCAAACCTGCTTCTTTATGCCTTGTTCCCCCTTGCTGGATTGGGATCTGTTCTTGCTAGATAAGGAATGGTGTCTTCTGTTTTTCTTACAGAGCAATTATCAGTGTAATACAAAGCATCACTTAGTGTAACTTTTTCTTTTAAAGCTACAGATGACATTTTAATGCCAATCTCAGGTTGAGTTTTATTGGGAATTGGGCATCTTAAGTGACCTTTTGCGAACCTGTCCCTTGATACTGCAATTTTTGGAATATTTTGCTAAGGGGGGGCACTTTTAATAATTAGCATGAGAGCCACATGTTTCTTGCCCCTTTATGCCGTATTGATCCCGGCATTGGAGACCCACCATAAAGCAAAACTTACCCTGCTGTTCAGGTATCCTCTAAGTGTCTCTCTGCCACATTTGTAAAAGGAGGATTTTGCGGTTCCTGTTACTGGAGAGTAACCTCATGTGCCAGTTAGTGTCTCTAAAGCCCTGATCGGCAACCAACTTCATTGCAGGCCCATTTGCAGGAAGGGATGCTGAGTAGAGCTTCACCACCAGATTGCTGGCTGAGGTTCCCTTCAGATCTAATACAACCTATTTTAAAACAGCTGCACAGTTCAATTCCAGGCCCAATTCAAGGAGCTTACGTTATATTGGAAGCCCTGAACAACTCAGGCTCAAATACCTGAAAAGACTACTTCCTTCCCTACACACCCTCTTGGGTGTCAAGATTGGCAGAGGGTGTCTGCTTGGCACTGTGGGTGGTGTGGCAGCCCAGGAGAGGGCATTCTCTGCAGCAGCCCCTAAGTTGGGGGATTTTCTCTTCCCACAAAGGTGTGTCCCACAAAGCACCTTCAAGATACAGCTTTTGGTGAATGCTGAAGGTGAACCTCTTTGCCCTGCTTTTGACACTACAGATGTGTGTTTTTAGGGGGCGAGTAGCAACCAAGAGGCTCTGCCTGTTGCTTTAGCAGCCTGGGAATACAATCTGCAGCTGTCTCTCCTGCTTCTTTCTGTTGGAGGGTGGGACAGCTGAAACATTTTTCAAGTCTCCAGTCAAACCCAAGGTGGGCATTTTGAGCGGTTGGTGAAGAGTCTAGTCATTCATTCTTGGTGTTGTTTTATGTGTGTTTCAGATAGATACCCTGGAGGAGAAGCTGACCCAGTGCAGAGAGAACTTGGAAGAGTTGGATTTTAAGCTACGGAGAGAAGAACTGACTCCTGAGGGAAGGTACTAGTGGGAATTCAAAGAGCTCATTCATACATCATGGAACTGCAAGTGTCTGTTGCTCATGCAAACCACTGGTGGGCGAAGTTTGCTGATTGCAAACAGCTCTGGACAGAGCAGAGATTTAATGAGATCCCCCAGCTACAGTTTGCTCTGAAAAGGAGACAATTTTGAACAAACTGAAGCCTGCCCTTTGCTGCTTTTTGTTTGTGGTGTAGCCTGTGCAGATGCACTCTGAGCCTCAATATGCTCTTAATTTATCACCTTTCCTTGATAAATTCTTTTTGGACCACCCAGAGAATCTTGGGCCAGAAGGAGGGGGATGGCAGCAAACAAGAGGAGGGACTGGCTAGTTTGGATGCTTATGAACAAATTGCTAAGAGGTTGGCTCCATTTCTTTCTGATCCTCAAAGCCCCCAATGCAATTTTGCCAGCCTTTTATCTTCTACAGTAGCCATTCAACAGCTGCTTTAGAATTGGCTAGATTTCTCCCCACCCTGGCTGGTGTCTCTCTCTCTTCCTCCTTTGACGTACTTCTAAGAGTCCTTCTCTGCATGCCCTTCCCAACATGAACACATTCTGTGCTCTTCCCTTAACTCGCTCTGCAGTCTACTTTGGCTCTATTTACACCCTGTCTCATGCTTTGCTCTCGGGTGGGGTGGGGTGGAACAAACCCTATTAGGCCCCCTGCCTTCCCCAACTACACCACAGAGCTTGCTCGGAACCAGCAGCCAATTTGCTGGCGTCTCTTTATTTCTAGCCACACAGTGGCTGCTGCATGTCTTCTCCGCTGTTATTGGAACCGTACTGTTGCTGCAGGTGCTACTTTCAGGCAATTTGTTTTGTTCTTGTGCTTTAAACTATGGATTAATTAATCATGTTGTGCAGCTAACAATGCAAAGCTGTAGATTTGTTCCCCTTCTTAAAAGATGTGCTGTGGAAAAGCAGTGCAGCTGTTCAGTAAGGGCTTCTACTAGATTCAGGCAAGATGACCTAATGTGGGGAAACAGATGCGCTTATGTCCCTTGAACATTCAACCACATGCAAGACTCTGCAATTTTCTGCTCAGAAGTGGCAGATTGGAAACTTCGTCTGGGATGAAGCAGTCAGGATTTCTGACTGAGATGAGTGGACTTGGAAAGAAAGGGCAATAATATTTCCTTGAGAGAGATCCTCCTCTGAGGATGTATTTATTTTCTAATGAGGAAATGTGTGTATTTAAGCACTCTTTTGGGAGGCAACCAGGAGTTGCATGCTGTTGAGTAGCTGGAATGGCATGGAAGCAAGTGGGGAGGCTAAATTCTGAATCCAGTGCAGAAATGCAGCTCTCTGTCCCTCCTCTGTCAGCAGGCTAGTTACTTTTGTGGGGTTATTTACAAAAGGCTGATTTAAGCTCCCCCAGTTTGTTAGAGCCCTGTGGAAGGGAGCTGACTTGAGGTTAAGCACAGGCAGCAGATAAGGTAAACCAGTATCTGCACTATACTGTAGATCAGTGTTTCTCAACCTTGGGTCCCCAGCTGTTGTTGGACTACAACTCCCATCATCCCTAGCTAGCAGAACCAGTGGTATCTATTCTATGGCAGATCTCTTTGTGATTTGTCACGGGTCGGCAAGGGTTTCCGCCTCTCAACGATTCAACAGTAGCAAAACCTAAAAAGCTTTCCCACTGGAATTTGATTGCTGAAAAACAACAATTGGAGAACAATCAGTAAGAAGGATTTATGAGCTTCCTTCTTTTACTGATCACAAATTCCTGATCTGACCAGGTACTTTATACCTAGCATAAGCCTGCCTGTCTAAGCTACCAGTGGCACGTACAGGTTCTAGCAGAAATAAAGTAGATCCCACAAGCCTGAAGTCTGCCCACCCTTGAGACCTGCAGATGGGGGGAGTCACATGATAGAAGTCCCTGCATTTAAAACAAGCAAAACAAGCTAGGCTAGAGCCTTCCTCCCTGCCATGTCAGTTTTTGCATGGAGAGCCAGTGTGGTGTAATGGTTAAGAGTGTTGGACTATGACCTGGGAGAGCAGGGTTTGAATTCCCAGTCAGCCCTCAACTCAAGTTACAGGGAACCAGGCAGAGGGCCTTCTCAGTAGTGGCACCCACCCTATGGAATGCCCTCCCACCAGCCATCTGAAGGCAGCCCTGTTTAGGGAAGCTTTTAATGTTTAATAGGTTATTGTATTTATTGTATTTTAGTGTTCTGTTGGAAGCCGCCCAGAGTGGCTGGGGAAACCCAGCCAGATGGGTGGGGTATAAATAATAAATAATAATTTATTATTATTATTATTATTATTTTATTACTATGTGACCCTGGGGCCAGTCACCATCTCTTAGCCTAACCTACCTCACAGGGTTGCTGTGAGGATGAACGGGGGTGGGGTGGGGAACCATGCACACCACTCTGAGTTCCTTGGAAGAAAAGGTGGTATGTAAATGTAATAAATGTAATAAAAATAATCATATGAGTGGTGCCCACCTGCAGTGATACAGTCCAGACACAGTTTGTGATAACTACAGAGGCCTTAAAGTCTAGGTGCCAGAGTACCCTCTCAGCCAGCCGTGGGGAAGATTTTATTTCACTGCACAACTTTCAGAATATCTAATAATCATTCTCACATATTTGCAGAAAGTCACTGGAAAGAGAGAGAAATCTGCTAGCAACCAAAGCTGAAAATTATGGTAAGGAATGAGTAACTTTAGAAACGGCTTTCCCCAAAGACATACCATTAATTCACAGGCTCACGAGAGGGAGGAGCTGTGAAACTAAAGTAATTCATTCAACTGCCCATACGCTCATGGAAAACTGTTTTTTAATGCAGACATCATAAATGCCTTCCAAAACAGAGTTCAAGCACTCCTTGCTAGAATTTATGTATTAGAATTCTGCAGTAAAACCCCTAATTTTTGCAAGAATATACATTTCCATTTAAACAGTGTAAATTAAGGATGTTGACTATTTCAGCTTGAAAAGGTAAAATGAGAGCAGAAAAGCAATGGATAAATAAAAATAGGGCAAGTGTATCATAAAACAGGTTGGGGTTGAGGTGGAGAATGGCTGCAGATAAATGATCTTTGCTTGCCTAGGGTTACCTAGCAAATGCATGGCCGAGATTAGATTTGAAGCAGGTACTTCCTGTCTCCTAGCTCAGACACTCCCAACCCACTACACTGCTCCAGGGGAAAAGTAACTCTAAACTCAAGTGTAGCTTGGACCTTTTGCAGTTGCCCAGAACAGGTGTTGTTCCTCTTAACTTTAGTGTTTCCTGTTCACTGAATGCCACTAATGCATTTAGCCTCTTTCCCAAGGTGATTTCAATTTTTAGAATTTGCTGAACGTATCACACACAAATACTCTTAAAAAATCTCCATCATTCAAAGAGAGAATTTCCCTGAAATGGAGCCTTATAAAGCCAAGGTTATTAATTAACCCTCTTTCAGACACAGTAAGGCCAAATCCTACACATCCTGAAAGAAATCCTGCTTTTTACTAATAGGAATGCAAAACAATTTGTCAGATCGCGACATTTCTCTTGTTCATTGAGAGAGCCGATAGCTTTGTTAACCATTTTGCTGGCTTGGCTGATATATGATGTAATTCTTCAGGCCTTGATTTGTTTGGTGTACAAAAGAGGAAGCAATTTTGCAACTGCTAGACTTCCAAGTTCTGGGTGCCCCCTGGTGAGAAAATAAAGCTTGCTTGCACTCCCATTAAATACGTTCTGCATCAAATGCAGAGTAGTCTCTTGATAAGATGGCCCTTAAGGAGTCGCTTTTGTGGGATCTCTGAAGATGGGTGGGAATGTACATGCACCAGAAATAATGGGGGACGACAACAGGGGGGCAGAGTTTGGATAAAGCCTTTGGTCAAGGAGGCTCTGGCCATTTAGCAGCACAGTGACTGTTCAATTCAGACTGTGGTTGTAAACCCTGCCTCATGTAGGCCCATGGTCCAGCATCTTGGGGCAAAAAGGAAATGACATGGATAGCTGCAAGGAAAGGCTAACTGTGTTAACAGTCTAATTGTGAGAAACAAAGATTGCCATCCCCACTTAAAAGCCCTGGCACCAAGGAATATGGTTATTGGTTGCTGGGAAAGGAACCAAAGTATCTTCCTTCCCTTATTTGCCCCCACAGCAGGAAAACTCAATTCCCTGAACACCCAGCCCTTAGTATTCCATGATTGCATTTCCTCAAGTAGTGCATACATCGTACTTGAAATTGCTGCATGTATGATATCATGGCGACAGCAAGTGGCTATTGGCCATATCAGCACTGGGGCTGAGTGACATACTTCCTTCCTATAGGTTTTTTTCCCCCAATTTGATTTTTAAAAATGTCTAGCTTCTTGGCTAGAGATGGAGGGTTTCTGACTGTACTTCTAGGGCCTTTTAAAATACAAGAAAGCAAAACCCTAGTACGGCAACCTCCTTCGCACTTCTGCTATGCCATGTTGCAAACTTTGCTCTTAGTTGTCTCAAAGAAAGGGTGCAGAGAGGGAGCCCTCCTTGCAGCAAGACTCCTGCTTCCCTTCCATTAGTCCATGCTACTATGGCTGAGAACTACTTCAAAGCTCACTCTCTCTGCTTGTGGTCAGGAAAGCCCCTGATAATTGCTTCATTAGCCCACTATCTATCCTTCGCTCTTTAGGTTGTGCTGCCACCTGCTGGCTTGTTGTGAATCTCATTTGCTCCAGAGATCTCGCCCACCCTCTGGATTTGAAAATAACCTCAGGACCAGGTCTATCAGAAAGCCACTTCACACATTTCACTGCACAAAGTTGTACATCTAAAGGTAGCATGCAAGTAAACTTTTTAAGGGAGCTGTACTTGGCTGCAGTTATTCCCTTTTTATATTTTAATGGAAACCTTATAAACAGGTGAAATGGGTCTGTGGTGTTAGAAAGGACGCAATGAGATCATGTGGCCCAGCTTCCAGGACCAAGTTGTTCCACTATTATCCATGATAGATTCCTGAGAGACTCTTAGAAAACCTCAGAGGAAAGACATTTCACCACCTCCCTGCCACAGAACACAACTGGAAAATTCCTCCCAATGTCTGATCTAAAATATTTCTCTGCCTTCCTGATGTAGTTGATGCTGTTTCTAAATAGCCAGCATGCACGGTTGGTCAGTGAAGGGAGCAGTGCCCCATAAGAGCACCAGAGATGCAGTGAGAACTAGCTTCCAGTCAAGGGCTGAAGAACTTTCTGCCCCATTTTAATGCAATGGGCTCATCTCAGTTAAAGCTGTCTCCCTGAGGAGCTAGCAAATACAAAGGGACATCCGCCTGAGCTGTCGTATTAACACCTGAAACTTCCCATTAAAATTATACTCCTCTGGCAGTCGCACGCCGAGCTGCGCTCTGACCTCTGCCGCCGCTGCAGTCAGCGACAATGATTCTGTTGTCAAATAAGCAGTCGCTATGGTCTAACCTCTCGCAGAAATTACAAAAGCGCCGAAATTGCCTCTGAAGAGGCTTGATTGCTGTGTAGCAGCCCAAGGTTGGTGTAGCAAGGCAGCTGCGGCACAGCTATTGAGTAGGCTCTCAATTAAACTGGAGCTAGCTTTCTTTATGTTACACTCACACCCCACCTTTCCTCCAAGGAATTTAGGGCAGAATACTTCATCCTCACAACCACCCCACGAGGCAGTGCTAGGCTGAGACATTGCCTGGACCCTCAGGTCCGGGGAATGGCTAAGATGGGAACAGTCGCATAGAAGCTGGCAAGCAACATAAATTCCCCTGGAACCCTCCACCTTCTTTAACCAAACAGCTGGGGCCACAGATGGGCAAAGCCAGAGACAACACTGGGAGAAGCAGTGAATGCAACTCCTACCTTTGCACAGTAGGTTACACTCTGGCCACACAAAATTCACACCACACACATCACCATCCAGGCAGTAAGGCAGCTCAAAGCAGCATTCCAGCTAAGACATTGGAGCAGGATCAGCGAGAGGCACAGTCTGACTAGAGCGACATGAGTGAGAGGGTTGCATCCAGTCCCTCAGGCCACAGTTTCTCATCCCATAATTCAGACTAGTCATATAGTTAGGCAGAGAGGCACTTTCCTGCCTCGACTAGTAATTCCTTTTGAAGCAGCAGGTTTCCACTGGCTCAATACGTTCAATGACACAGAGGTGGACTGAAGTAAAATGTTTGTACGTGTCAGTAAAGCCAGCTCATATGTCGCCATGTAATTGTTTTAGGACTACATAGCAAGCATTTTGAGTTACACAGAGCTCTTCTGCAAGCAGGTTTATGAAAACTAGGCTTAAAACTCAAGGCTTCATAAGAACCTTAAGCAGGACTCTAAAAAGATTTGTGGACCTCCTTTAAGAACCTTGAGTAGGAATATAAAGATTTGTGAATATCCTTTAAGCTCCTTATCCTACCTCCTAAGCAGCTGGACTAAGAAAAAGCTACATTTCAACCACCTGGGATCTGAATTCAATGAGCATGCTGCTGAGACATAACTTTTATTCTCACAAACCAAAGCAATCCCGCCATCATAATTCCTTTTGCAATCATTCAATGGGTTAAATGAGAGCACCACATTTGGTGGTTGTGCAAGAACTGCTTTCCTTTTTGTGCTCTCCAGTTATCCGTAACAGGATTAAGCTGAAGCCACAGGCTGATTGCAAAAGTCAGGTTGATGCAGCAGGTTGAGGGATATTTCATACACCTTGAGTTTCCCCCTCTAAAAGAGAGATTATTTTATTCAACCTTTGCAAAATTTACGAAAACTTCAGGCAGAGAGATAAAATGAAAGCTCAGGCAGTGCTTTATAACAAGGCCTCTAGACTCTGCCATGCCCCTCATCCAGGCTTGTTCTTCTTCTATGTCAGGCCCTGTAATACACTGCTTCTGTTTGTAAGAGTTATCCATCTGCAAGTAAGGCATGCAGCTGAGAGAGGGAGAGCACATCTACCTATAATGGAGAAACGCAACCACATTCTAAAAAAATATATAAATGTTTAAGGCAATAGCTTAAAGAACATTAGAAGGCTTAAACACTGCCAGTTCCACAGTAGAGGCACTAAAAGAAATGGAACAGGCCTGTCTTAGATGAGCGGCTGTCTGGGAGAGGTCTAAAATCCAGTTTTTATCAGGCTCGCTAATGTGGCGAGACACTAGAGCAAGAAAACTTGATTTCCCCCAAACAGAGGTTGTGGGTAATTTTGTGACGAAAGTAGCACCTGTGTTTTTCTCTTTTCAGAGAAAGAACTGAAAGCACTTCGCCATGAAAACCGCAAGAATGCAGCCCTCTCAGTGGCCCTCGTGCTGCTGCTTGTCGTTATTTACACTTGCTGGACGATGTAGCAGATTCTGCCGAGATCCCCGCATGACGTGACTGTGATAACCTCTTCTTTCCCTCACCAGACTGTCTCGAGGGCGTGATCGGCTTTCCAAGCCAGTGCTCTCTAGACACCTCCAAATCATAATGGCCTCGGCAGTCCCTGCTGTTGAAGTATGAGGAAAATTTTGGAGAAGAGTATGGTTGGAGCCGTCCCGTTATTCTGTGGTGAATAATCAGTAATGCTGCCATTTCCTGTTCTTAAGAAGCCACCTGTGTGTAATCGGTCCCTCAGATTGTTTCAGTAGCTCAAGCATTTTGAAAATGAAACTTTTGCCACTGCAAAGCTTTTCTCCCAGTCCCCGCGTTCAATAGACACCAAGCCTCTCCCTCTCTTCCTATTTCCATGGTCCTCAACGCCTTCCTTTCCCACTGAGCAGCATAGGTGGAGCATCTGGGAATAGTACAGGGCAGAAGAATTTCCTGGGGTTGGCAAAGGGCAAATAAAACTAATTCCACAATTTGAATAAATGCCATCCTCCCGCTTGGAAGAGGATCTATCTTCTGCCTCTTTGCTGTGCCTAGGAAATAATTGCACCAAGAATGAAGCCTGTGTTGGTTTTTATGTTTATAATAATGGGACTCGTGAAATGGCCCATCTTCCACTGATCAAAATGAGCTTGATAATAAATCCTGATACTGTCTGTATGTTGGGCGCACGTTGCCAGGCGGAGCTGAAAAGAGCTACAGTCTCATGGAAACCAACAGCGTATTGTCCATGGCTTATGTTAAGCTGTATTAATACTCAGAGTCTCTCTCTTACTATTTCTTTACAAAGTGTTCAAGCCAGAGCAGTTTTACCCTCCCTTCCTTAGGCCACTTTGTATACACAGCAGAGCTCTGGGAAATTCATCTAAGCCAAGAACACAGCACATTTCTGAATCAGAAGGATTGTATTGGCGATGCACAGACAAAAAGGGAAGAGGAACAAACACAAATGGTACACAGCTTCACAGAACACATTGTGTAAACATTCCTTTCAGCAAGACATTTTTTACCACCTTCCCCCTTGGGCTGGTATGAGAACAGGCAACAACAGCAGGTTGCATTATCCAGGCCCAGTCTTTCTAATAGCCCTCCATGATCTGAACTTATCAAGAGTCCATTCCCCAATACTGGAATTAAGCTGTTATAATGTTCATTAGTGTCAGGCATGCAGCCTTTAACAGATCTTGAAATGACTTGGGAGGGCTGGGCTCCCCAGCTAGTGTACTTCGCAATGGAAGAATCTTGACCCCACAAGAGGCCATTAGATCTTTTATTAACACCATTTACTAGCCCTACGATAACAGAAATTAGCTGTAACGCAGGTGAATTAAGTGAGGATAGACATTTCTGAAATCATTCTACCCCAGTATTCATACTTTCCCTACCAATTGCCCTCAAATAATATAGACTAGCATCAGAGGAAGCCAGGTCTTATAATAAAATCTTTCTGAAATATTCTATGCCAGCAGGCAAGGAGGTTCTGAGCTAGAATACCCACTGTTAATTACATGTCTCATTAGTCTCGTCTGCTGTGTCATATTAGGCGCAGGGGAGAAGGCAGCTCAAAACACACCATGCTGTTCTACAAAACAAGTACTTTCAGAAACCAACGCCATGAAGTTCAAATTAGAGGAGTCAGAGGTTATTTATTCACCTTTGTCCCTTCCCACTTGAAACAAAATGGGTCAAGCACTGCCCTACGCTCTACCCAGAGGATGATCCCGTATCAGGAAGGCAGTTTTGATTTGAAATTTGCCCTTTTCCTGCCACAATTGCCCTGAAAAAGCAGAACCTTGGTTTGGCACCACCCCTTGGCGCCAGCTGATGTCCCTCCAGTATATGGAGTGGCCTCCTCCTCATGCCTGATCAACAGAGACTTCAACCGCTGTGCAAAGAGGACAGCTTGCAACTCCCGTTGCCGTATTCCAGTAAAGGAACCTCGAAACAAGTTCCAGTGATGCAAAGTCTTGATCAAGCTAGACAACTGCTTAAGCTACTGCTATAAATAAAGTATGAATGTATGTGAACCTTGTGACTGAAGAACAGCAGGCTTGAAGGCCATGCCTAATAAAAGCACAAAAACGGTCACAAGATTTAGGTTCTGCTTATAAGGAGGTTTATAAAGGGTTGTGTGGAGTGGTGGTGCCTTGCCTAGTACCTCCCCACAGCGGACTTGGGTGTCCCTTGTTAATGTCCTGTTCTGGGTGCTTTGCTATCAGGGCAGAGACTCGGATGATGCCTTCAATTGCAGGAAGCTTCACAGATTTCTTAAGGCACAATCTAGGCCACCCCTTAAGTCGACGCTGTCCCTTTTTGCCAACATGTGCAAATACTTCCATGCCTTCACTGCCTCCATAGTCTTTTGCAGTGTATTAATGACTGGCTCCCATTAGAAAACGCAGCAAAGGTTTTCCTTCCATCTCAAGCAAAGTCGCAACACGGGGAAGCACCATCGTGCCCTTTCAAGCTGGTCTTTTGTTCTCAGCTCACAAGAGCTTAAGTGCCAAAATACAGGCCAGAAAAGCAAAGGTTACTTTTCATTGTCATTGCAGGAAAGGAAAAGAAAGAAGATCCTCTGTGCCTTCATTACAGACGGAATTTTTGATCTAAAAGTAAAAATGATTTCTGGTGCTTATTTTAATAATTAAAAAGGCCAAGGGAAAGTGACCTATTTAGAAGAGGGCTGGCTGTCACCCTATCAAGTCCAGATGGTTCAACCAAACCACATGCTTCTTGGAGGCCACCAATTCTCTAAATTCCAAATCTTCCCAACTCGCTGAACTCAGTGAAAAAAACTAGGCATGCCTCAAGGATTTCAAAATGGAACTGCTTGGGGTGACCCATTTGCATTACTGAAAGTGGAGAGTGGGAAAACACAACAAACTTACTTTGCATAGAAGCATGAAATCCAGCTTTCAACATAGTCACAAGTCACTGTCGGCAGTAACTACCCCTGAACCATTACAATCAATACCTCCCATTTGCCCAGTTTTCGCCCCTTGAGCATCCAGAACTCCCTAGGCATGAGCCACAAGCCCAAGGAAGTAAGTGCTGCAAGGGCCAAACTTCCCAGTGAATTCACACCAGGCTCCTAAAGCAGAGAGGCACCATAAAGGACAAATTGAGGCCTTTGAAAACCCGCTCTTCCCTCCAGCTACATTGTCTCCCACTCTTACAAGCACGACCGAGGAGCTGTGCGCATCCTCTTGCTCGCTGTGCCATCTGCTACGTGGAGGCCAGGTGGTCGTCGCACCGGTGGGGAAAGCCCTAGAAAGAGATGGTGGGGATCAATCCGGAAGAATGTCCTCTGCTCCAGGAATCTTACCTCTGTGGTACTTGCAGGATAAACGGCCCGGAGCAGATATTTATGTACAGAGTTAGTTTGCAGTCGGAAGCCATTTCCCATTTGTTTTGCACTGATTCCCCTACCACCCGACCAGGCTTCCTTGACCATAGTTTTCCTCCATGGCTCACTGCAAGCAGCTGGAAGAAACTTGATTCTAATCAGCTGCTGAAGATTCCAACCCAGGCTCATTTCCTGTCCCCCAGGATCGCGTGAGGAGCTGGTCGTAGGGCGAGTGGAGTCTGATGAAGGATAAGACAGCGTCTTTGGATAGCTTCTCCGAATTGTCCCTTTTTTGAGAGTCGTGCACTCTGACACCTTCACCCCACTCCCAGAAGAGGCGACTGAAGTAGCAAATTCTGTGGACAAAGAAGGCAGAAATCAGCACAGGGAGTTGGACCCAGGCAGTTGCAAACAGTTGCATATAGAAGGCCCTCAGTTCTATCTCTAGTTAAAAGAGCCCTGGATTCCAGGCAAGGACCTCTGTTTGTATCACTGGAATAGCAGCAAGCTGAGACACAGAATTGCTCAGGTTAACTGATCTGGACTTAGAATAAGGCAGTGCTTTCAATTAACTTTCATAAGGCACAAAAAGGTTCCTTTTAAAGGAATGTAGCAGAGTGCATTAAAAAGAAAACCAGAAGGATCTCCAAGAAACCCAGATTATGTACTGAATAATCTCCAGGGATTTTTCAGACTGACTGCATAGCAAGCTCAAATGCTGTGCACAGCTTTATACAAATTGGCACGTAACTTCTAGTTGTTACATTCTGTTGCAAAATTTCCTATATTTGGGTCTCCAAGCATGATTCATTTGTGCCTTTGCTACAACTGAGGGTTAAGTATGGGTGAAGAAAAAGGAAGAAAGCAGCAAAATAACTGTTCATCTGAACTGTAGCTCTTTCCTCCCTCCCTATGTTTGTGCGTTTGTGTGTCTGACCATACATAAGGTAAGCACAGTGTAGAAGAGTTTGCTTCACCTTCAATGGCAAGAACCATTCTGAGGAACTGGTGGTGAAGTCCCATCTCTTGAGCCTGCATGGCCAGAGGGTCCAGTGCCAAAGAAGGGATGGGTAGGGTGTTTGTTTGGGTTTTTTTTTTAATGTGGGGGGCACAACAGAATGATGTAGCCCCAGGTGTGGTCAGTACCTTCCTTCACTTCTGGAAGTCCTATTAGAAGCCTGATCTTCAGCCAATCTTGGCCATTTGTGCAATGGGGCTTCCCTCCCCTCCCGCTACATGCCCCCTAAATTGGCTCAAGGGGAGTGTCAGGAGGAAACCCCCCCCCCCAAACAGCACAAAGGGGGAGCAGAGAGCGGGTCTTTCTACCCAGAAAACTGGAATACTTGCACAGACAAAATGATGGGAGGAGAACAACACTGAATTCCACCTTCAAACACCCCACAAAGTCTAACCTTCAGCTTCCACGGAATAGATACGGCTGATAAGATACTTCAGGTGTAAAAGGGCCTCATATACGTGTTTTGTCTGTGCTGATGATGTTCGCATTACAGCAGAATCGGCACAAGAGAGAGGAGGGATCTTTTGCCAGCTCTCAAGTGGGAATATGAATCTCAAGCTGAACATGCAGCCTCCAAGTATCAAAAGCCTGTGTCCGCTGGTCATGTGGCCAAAAAAACCCCCTGTTTGCTCCCTCTACTCTGATGCCTTAAGAGAAAGCCTAATCGATAATTTCTGCAGGACCCACCAATTAAAGGACTTGCAGACTGCAGACACAGACACCACAGCCAGGTGTACAAAAGGTTGTTTTAACAGAAACAGCCTTATTTTTGCCTCAAGTCAAAGCACTGACTAGAAGGGGAAAATCAATGCCTTTGGTGTCTGAAAGCGGGGGAACCCAACACACAGAGAGCCCAAAAAAAATTTAGACTTCTGAGGGGGTGAGGAAAATGAAGTACCCTTAGCAGAATCTATAAAAGAACTTACAGGAGACTTCTGAAGAGTCCAGCAACCAGAATGGAAACCGCAGGAGCTGCAGCAACTCTGACTGCTCAGCAAAACTTGACATTTTAGATAAATAAGTTTTGTACATTCTGATCTTTTTAAAAAATCCTCTTGGAGCAGCCTCATTGATCAGGTCTCTATTCCTGCCTGAGCTCAGGTTCTCCTTGTTTAACAGTGTTGTCATACTGGAGAAAAAGCAAGTAGCTAATTGCCGGAGACAAAGCGGCCTTCGAGTCCAACAATTACTGGCATTTAATATTCACAGCCTATTTAGTTGCACTGTTCTGATATTAGCATTGTGACAAGAAAATATATCAGTGCCTAATTACAACCGTATTAGAGTTCACAAATGATAATGCAAAACATCCATTATCAAAGTCACACGTAAGCCTCTTCCTTCCCACTGTTTTCAGAGCCAAAGTTATGCTTTCTGCAGAAAATATGCAACATGAGGAAGGGAAAGGAAAGAATTCCTGAGTTTCTGAAAGAAAGTGAGATGCTGCTTACTGCCTGCTTAGCATTTGACAAAAAAAAGTTCAAAGGGCTCCCACAGTTTCTCTAAAACTATTCAGTGCAAGAGAGGTGGAAAACTAGAAGCAACTCAGCAGGAGTTCCCAGGGGTTAGACACTCTCAGGCCCGAGAACTAGGCTGGCTTTTTCTTAGGGTAAACAGAACTCCTGAGAATGAGTCTCTCATTGTCTACATAGGTAAAGTGACCCCTGACCATTAGGTCCAGTCGTGGCCGACTCTGGGGTTGCGGCGCTCATCTCGCTTTACTGGCTGAGGGAGCCGGCGTACAGCTTCCAGGTCATGTGGCCAGCATGACTAAGCTGCTTCTGGCGAACCAGAGCAGCGCACGGAAATGCTGTTTACCTTCCCGCAGGAGGAAGACACCTATTTCTCTACTTGCACTTTGATGTGCTTTCGAACTGCTAGGTTGGCAGGAGCAGGGACCGAGCAACGGGAGCTCACCCCATCACGGGGATTCGAACTGCCGACCTTCTGATCGGCAAGCCCTAGGCTCTGTGGTTTAACCCACAGCGCAACCCGCGTCCCTCCATTGTCTACATGTTTAAAAAGCTGTAAGCACTTCTGCTAACCCTGTTTGGATAAGTAACAATTCTTCTGTGTTTTATGTAGTACACATCATAGATTCAGCTTTACAACTAAGGACTTCTAATCCTGTGGGCAGGAATATAGCCTCCTTTATAAATGGGGGGGGGGGGTGCAGTTTATGGAGGGCTGAAATAGCATGCTTACATCAACGAGATGGGACACTAAGGGGGCAGGCAGGGCACCGAAGGAGACTGCTATACTAAGATGAGTAAAGGTGAAAACTTATTCCAGAAAACGAGAGAAGAAATAAGCTTTTAGAAGTGTGTGTGTGTGTGTGTGTGTGTGTGTGTGTTTGGGGTGGGGGAAAGAATCACAAAGATACAGAGCAGCAAAAGGGTAGGCAGAAGGAATAGAAATGGACAAACATTTTGGCCCTCTGGTGAGCATTCTTGTGCAAGCTGAGTTCACAGGAGAAAGGACTGGGGGTGTGTGTGTGCTAATTTCTGTCCTTTCCTGCTATGCCTCTGCAGAAGACACCTTGTTTGTTTGTTTGTATACTGCCCTATGCCCACAGGTCTCATCCTTCTTGCCCATCCTGCAGAAACTCAGCTGCAAAGCAGATACTCTTCTTTTCCAAGTTCTCTGCATGTGCCGCAGGAAATGGGAAAGGTTTGGGGTTCACTAGCAACTGCATATAATGGCTTAGATAGAAAGCCATCCAAACACCTGAAGCCTTGGTAAAAGTAATAAGGAGAGCCTTAAAGACAGAGGAAAGCAGTATGAAAGAGCTAGAGATTAAAGAACTTCAAAGTAAGAGGGGTCTACATTTAATACAAAAAACACCCACAAAACAAAACAAAAGCAAACAGAACGGAACAGAACAGAACAGAACAGAAGAAAGGGGAAGCATGGCTGAAGCAAGCAGCAGAATTTGTAACCATCTAATGGCTGAAGGTGGAAGACAAGAATGCCAATGAGAAGAAGACAGCTACAGCAGATTCAAGGATTCTGGAGTAAGCAAGGGTTATTTCATTCTTGCTCCTGTCTGACTGCTGTGAGGTCCCAGAATTCAGAACCTGACAGGGCATAGAACAGAAGCGTAGGTGAACCATACATCTCTGCTTTTGGTGACAGATACTCAAGGAGTAGGTTCTGAATTAAGTGCAGGCATGTATGGTTCACCACTTCCTCAAAAGCCTTAGTGCAGTGCTGCCTTTTCTTAAGTCTCCTAGTCTCCTGATCTCTTAAGTCTTCCTGTATCTCAAAGCCTTTAAAGTGAGAATGTTTCCATATTATAAAGTTTAAGCTGTAGTTCTATTAAGGGGCCCAAGAGCAAACCAAGAAATCTTAGCATCCTTTCAAAGATCCCCAGAGTTGTCTGGGGGAAACTATGATACATCAAGCAGTTTCAGGCCACTGTAATTCTGTGGTATTTAGAAGATCAAAAGCTTTCAGGGAGACCTATTCCTGACACAGACTCCAGACCTAGCCAAGTATACCAACTGTGGCATGCAGTCTAATACATGCTGGGTTACCTTGCCACCTCCCAAAGCCAACTATTAAAGAGTACAATGACTTGTAAATCATGGTCCAGAACCCTCCCAAAGTTTCCTTAGATAATAGAGCAAAGCTTGCGGTGGTAACTTCTGTGGACATTTACAGGTCAACACTACACAGTTTAATGATGCTGGAGAGAGATCTATGCACTACAAAAGCAACATGTGCTGGTATGATCCCCCTCGCTGCTTCTAGATAAACTGGCAGTATTTTCTGGATGATACTCACTGAAATGGTGCAACAGATTCTTGAGGCAGTTCATACGTTGATTTATGTGTTGTCTTGTTGTAGAAAAATTTCCTATTAGAATTTTTGCTAACTGCCATGGTCCACGGATCTGTGGGGGGGGAAACGAGATCAGATTAAAAAGAGAAGAATAACTGGACTACTGTAGAGTATTGCATGTGAGGCTGTCCTTAAGAGATGGTTCAGAAGCTGCAAGTGGTGCAGAATGCAGTGGCCAGAGTGCTGGTGGGCTCTGCTGGCTAAGCACATAGCACACCAATTCTTAAAAGACCTGCACTGGTTGCCATTGTGCTTCCAAGGCAAGGTCAAGGTGATCATGTTGACAAACAAAGCCCCAAATGACTTGGGCCCGAATATCTAAATCAGGCATAGGCAAACTCGGCCCTCCAGATATTTTGGGACTACAACTCCCATCATCCCTAGCTAAGAGGACCAGTGGTCAGGGATGATGGGAGTTGTAGTCCCAAAACATCTGGAGGGCCGAATTTGCCTATCCCTGATCTAAATGAAATGCCTCCACCCATATAGCACTGCCCAGGTCTGCAGAGGAGTTTTTGCTAGCAGTTCTACTACCTTTGTGAAGTCTATGGGGCAGCAGTGTCTGAGAGGGTCTTAAAAGACCCTTACGAGAAGAAAAAACTTGCCAATAAACTTTTTTTTTGTACACCAAGGCACCTCATTTCTAAGGCACATCTGGAAAATTAAGGATATGTCCTGAAGGCATATGAGGCTACCACCTTTCTGAAGCTAGGTAGGGTCCAAGTCAGGTCAAGATTTTTTGTACTTCTGCCAATCTTGGGATTCCCCCAAGAATGCTTATGCCTTCCACTTGGTTTTCAGTGACCCTGGCTTAGCTACAATCCTGCTGGTACTCATTAGCTGAATACACTGTAGGAATGATGGGGCAGGAAAGGCAGCCTCATGCGCCAGGTAATGGACAGAGGACAAGGGAACAGGTAGTTGCCCTGTCCTTGAGTTCTCATCCAGTTACTGGGTACCCTACTCATTTCAATCCTGAGTGGTGGCAGGAAAAGCAATGTATTGGAAGAGAAGCTGCTTCTGTAGTATTTATCATGGATGGCTTTTAAGGAAGAAAAGCACAGGGGGCATATGAAAGGAGAAAACTACTTCAGCAATCTTCTGCAAGCATTTTGCACTGCTTTTTCTGCAAAAAAATAATACCTCAAGATCTTCCCCAGCTTCCAACGTTCCCCTGCACAATGCTACACTCTGCTAGGAGAATCAGGATCCAAGACAGAATGGGAGAGGCAACTAACAAAATAGAGGAATGTACTCTCTCAGTTTTTTAAAAGCAAAAAATGGTCCATGTAATTGTTTTGACCAAAGCAGAGATGCATATTTCAGAGCTTGACTTTGGCCATCATAGCAAGGAGTCCCTGAACAGAGAAGGACATACCACTGACAGTCCGAACGATGTACAATCCTGTGGGAACAAAGTGTCTGTCGTCACGGCCAGTGTAGGACAGCCGTGGGGTTCCGCCTGAGCTCTTGATGATCTTCATCTCTAACCTACGCCACCAAACAACCAGGAGACAGGGTGTTCATACCCAAAGTAACAAAAAATGCACAAAGCACAGGTCTCAGCAATGTGGCAAAAGGCTGGACGCTGGGACTTGGTCCAGGAGGTGCAGTTCAAATCCCTAGCCAAGCATAAACTCCACTGTGGTCAAGTTACCAACACAAATTCTTCTCTCTGTTAAAAGTATAATTGTGACATAATTTAGAGGGGTGTTGTGAGGATGAACAAGACAAGAAGAAGGTTGTCGGCCAACAAAAAAATTGTGGTTGCCAGGATCATGCCCCGCCCCCAAGGGGAGCTGGTTTGCTGGTGATCTCATGCTGAGCCTCCAAATCAAAGACGCATCTGGGACACATCTCCTTGCTGAGTGCTCTGAACACCCAACACTCTAAACAACTCCCAGGTGTCCTCCAAACTTTGGGGATGCAAAGGGAAAAGGGCAGTTCTCCCCCCTGCAGCTCCACAGTTGGGTGGAAGCCTGGGGTTCCTCACACTCGCCAGAGGCCTGCTGAACACTTTTCATGATGAACAAAATTGTGGAACCTGTTAAAAGGCTACCAAGGGACTCTGAATATTAGAGAGAGAGAGAAATGGTTTAGAAGGTTCATCTGAGAGCTTTGTAAAGTACTAAGGCAAAGAATCTACGGATAGATTCAGGGCTTAAAATCTGGTCGTTTTAGCACCATCTATGGATTCCATTGTGCAATATATGAATGTGCTGATCTTTAAAAGCAGCCGGTATTTCTCCCACCAGCCAGCCACACAAGCAAGCCTCTTCTATGTCACAAGGGAGAAATGGGATGGATCTCTGCAGGGCTGGAAAACACAGTGTTGGAGGCTTGGCCATAAAAAACCTAACTAACTTCCTTCCGCTAGCCAATAAACATAGGTTCCTTTTGGATAGGCTGATAGATCCTACCAGTAATGCAGAATTAACAATATTCTCTTTAAAAAAACAACTGAGAAAGTCCAAATAATAACAAAATAAAGGCTGCAAATCCAGGATTTCTGAGGACTTACCTTAGAAAAATCTTTTCCATATCCTCTAGCCTGTATACCTCCTTCACTCTGTGGAGAAAAGTCCATGAGTGGAATAATATGTTGGCCACAACATCTAACTGTAGGTTGAGTTCCTACAAGCTCTTCAAAACTGCTGATGACTCTGCTTTTAAAAAAACTTACTCCCCAGGTGCTCTCATCAAGACTCCTAAAAATCTTAGACTTTCTATAAAAGGAAGTTTCTAGCCCTCATGATCGAAAGTAGAATACTGTAATAAAGAAAAAAAACTTATCAAAGATCATGACTTCTAATCACAGAACTCTACTGATCTGAGCACTTCATGTCAGCAGTACCACCAGCCTTCTTGCTGAATTTAGATGGCTGGACAACTCGCTTGAGAAATAGGAGGTGTAACCCTGCTATTTTGTTTCAGCATCAGAAAAACACAGAATGAAATATTACACAGGTCCTATACAACAAACTTGATTCTGAAAGGGTGCTGTTGACTGGCAAGCTTTATGCAGGTTAAATTCGTTATCCAAAACAAAATTATTAAAACTGAAGAGGCACAACCACGCTTTAGTAAAGTGTATGTTTCCAAGATGATCCATGGTGCTGCTCTCTCTTGTGCCCTGATTTCTTTGCCCTCCCCTCCTGTCTTCATATAAGTTACAAACTAGACCCAGAAAGAGAACCACATCGTTTGGTCTCTGATTCTTCTGTCAAGGAGCTAAACCAGTTTATTTCAAGGATAAGCTCTTCACATATCAAATTGATCTGAAATGGTCTTTCATAGGAAAGCATCCTCCCACAATCACTCTTGCTGGCTTCCTAACGTACAACTTAATGTGAAAATCCATCATGGCACAAACCACCTACAAAGTATTTTTAATTACAGCCCCAGAAGCCAGCAAGAATCCAAAAGGCCGCACTCACCGGATGGGGTTCATATCTGGCCGGCTAGGTTTAGAGACGGCTTTTACAAATTTCTCTGCTAGCTGAATTCTGCAACCAAAAAATAAGGATTTCTTTAGTTTAGCTTTCCTCAGAAATGGATTAAAGTCTTATGCAATGGGGAGGCTACTCAAGGTAGTAGCATAACCAATCTAAAGATTGACTGATTTAATAGTTTGGCCCATTAAGAACCAGATGCCTACGGGAAGCCCCAAAATAGGACAAACTATGAGTAAAATGTGGCTAGGAAGGCATCTGAGGGCTGTTGGCTTTTTCTCATGAAAAAGGATCACTTCCATACTAGTATATTCCCAAATGCTAAGATTTGCTTGCTTGCTGCTAATGGAGTAGTCTTCTCTGCCACAGGGTTGCATTGGCTAACTGAGTGGAGATCAAGAAAAGGCATACTGCATTCAGAAGTTTGCTCTTTCAAAATTTCTCAAGTGTCTATTTGGGGTTATTCTGTTGAACAGCCAAGACTCTAGGTTAAGAACCCACCTCTCACACACACCCTGCACCCATCAAACTATATACACAAGTAATTTCCCGAACTCTGCTTACCGCTGATTGAAATGTTGTTCTCGGACATCACTACCATTTATCACCAGGGCATCCAGGATGTGGATGGCATTAATTTTTCGCTGTGCTTTTCCCTAGGGAGAGGAAAATTGGCACCTCACAAAGTGCTGCTGTATTCTGAGTGTGTTGCAAAGAATACCATCTGCATGCGCAACAGCTTCCCACCTCACTGACTGCTTCAGAAGTTATACTAAAAAAAAAAATGCCTCTTTGGCTGCATGTCACGATAAGCTTGAAATAAACTATAGTCCACAGGAAACCAGGGCACACGGCTCCGCCATGTTGGCTTTGCTCCACCCTGAGCCAGGAAACAAACCACAAGCACTTTTGGTTTGCTTCTCCCAAACAAACTATGAGCAGTAAGCCAAGGTGGCTTCCACTTATGGTTTGCTTCAAGAACAAACTGAGTGCTGGTTCCAGGCTCATTTCTGGTAAACCATAGTTTATTTCAAACTATGGCTTATCATGACATGTGCATTGGGCTGTTACCAGGTTCTCCCACCCCAAATATACAGTTCCATAAAGGATACCACACATGCTTAAGTCTATACTGTTAAAATTCACTTCTAAGATTTTTTTTTTTTAAAATATTTTATTAAGGATTTTCTTGTTTTACAGAAGTGTAGTGCCTCGTATTTTTTTCTTTCCATGTAACATTTTTACAAATCCATTTCATTTGTTGAGGCATTAGGGGGAGAAGAAAAAAAAAAAGAAAAAAGAAAGGGGGGGTGGAGAGAGGGAAGATGGATGGGGGTGGGGTTGGGTGGCGGTGTTTCTATTATGTTTAATGTATGTAGAGTTTGGTGTCAGCGTTGCTTGTGTTGTTCACTTGTGTTCCTTTGGTGGTGAGAGAGGTTGGGGTTGGCCTAGGGTGTGATTGTTTGCTTGTGATTGGCTGTGGTGATCTTTGTTTTCGTGTGTGAGTGAGGTGGGTGGGTGTTTTGGATCAGGTTAGCCATATTGATTTGTATGCTGTTGGTGGATTATTGTCATTGTCCTGTTGGGCTGTGTATGTGATAAAGGGAGCCATACCGGGTGAAGGCGTCTTCTTCTGTTTGTCCCCGTGTCAGTTTCAGTTTATTAGTTAATTTTTCTAGTAGGGCTGTTTCCCATACTATTTGGTACCATTGGTCCATGCTTACTCCTGACAGGTCTCTCCAGTGTCTGGTTATGGTGTTTCTGGCTGCTGAGAGCAGGTGGGTTATGAGTTCTTTGTGGTGTAAATGGGCATTGTTGTCTTGGAAGATGTTTAGTAGGGCCAATTCTGGGGTGATGTCTATTACTTGCTTAGTTATTTTACATATTTCTTGTATGGCTGTTGTCCAGAATAGTTGGATTTTGGGACACTCCCACCACATGTGGAGGTATGTGCCTGTGGAGGTGCACCCTCTCCAGCATTTTGGTGAGGTTCCTGGGTGTATTAGCGCTAGTTTCCTTGGTGTTAGGTACCACCTGTAGGTGAGTTTCAGTGTGAGTTCTTTTCTTTTCGTTGATATGGATTTAAAGGGGGTTTAGACCACATTCTTGTCCATTGAGTGGGGTTAATCTCATAGCCTATGTCATTCTCCCATTGTTTTTTGATTGCGTCTAGGGATTTGCGGGATTATGGAGTAGTATTTTGTATATTGCGGATACCGTCCCTTTACCGTTTCCCTTTGTTGTTAGGAGGAGGTTTTCGAAGGTTGTCAGGGGCCTAGTTGCTGCTGATTTTACTGTTGGGTTGTTTAAGAGGGCATGTAGTTGGTGTTGTGTTAACCAGGGCATTTGGGTGTCTTCTAGTTTGTCTTGTATTTCTTGTGTTGACAAGGGTTTGTTATTTTTATAAAAGTCTATTAGGCGATATAAGCCTTTGGTTCGCCAGGTTTTTATCTTGAGGTTTTGTGCTGCATGGTGGAATAATGGGTGGTACGCCAGGGGGATTAGTGGGGATGGGGTTGGGGATAGTTTGCCTATTTGTGTTTTCCATGCTTTGAGCATGGTCTGTGTGTACCTGTTAAGTGTTGTGGGAATTTTCTTTAGTTTGTTTGGGAGGAGTGGGTATGTTGTGGTGCAGGTGTTTTCAATTGTGTCCTCTCTAGGTGTACCCATTGTTTTGTCTCATCTTCTAGTATATATGGGATTATATGGCGTATTTGGTTGGCATTGTAATATGCTTCTATGTTGGGGATTCCCCATCCTCCTTCTGAGGTGGGGAGGTGCAGGTATTTGGGGCTTATTCTTGGTTTTTATGTGAGAAGATGAAAGAGTGTAGTTTTCTCTGCCAACTGCGAAGTTGGGTTGAGGGGATCCAGATTGGGAGGGTTTGGAATAGGTAGGTTAGTTTTGGGAGTGTGATCATTTTGATCATGGCTATTTTGTCTGAGAGAGTGAAATTCATGTTATTCCATCTCTTTAGGTCTTTGTTAATTTGTCGCCACAGGGGCTTGTAGTTGTGGAGGTACAATTTATTGAGGTTTCTGGTTATTTGTACCCCTAGGTATCTGAACTTGGTGTGGCAAAGTTTTATTTTGGTGACCTTCGTGAGTTCTTTTTGGGTGTGAGGAGGGGTGTTGAAGCACATAGCTTCTGACTTTGTAAAATTTACCTGTAGGCCCGACACCATTGCAAATGTGTTGAGTTCTCTGATTAGGGAGGTTGCTGTGCTTATGGGGTCTGGTGTTGTGACCATTAGGTCATCTGCAAAGAGCCCTAATTTATAGGTTCTGCCTTTTATTTCCACTCCCTTGATGTCTGTGGCTGCTCGGATGCGGATTGCTAGGGGTTCCAGAGCCAGGATAAATAAGAAGGGACAGTGGGCATCCTTGTTTCGTGCCTCTTTGGATAGCTATAGTGTTAGAATCCATATTGTTAGTTCTGCATTTTGCTGAGGCTTGGGAGTATATTTGTTTGAGGATTTGTAGGAAGTTGGGGCCGAATTTCATGTTAGTTAGTACTGCTAGTATGTATTTCCACTCCAAGCAATCAAAGGCTTTGAGGATGTCTAGGGACATAATTGTCAATGGGAGTTTGGTTGCCTTGCTGTGTTCGATCAGGTTCAGTAGTTTCCTGATGGGGTCTGTTATATTGCGGCCAGGGACAAAGCCAGTCTGGTCTGGGGCTATTAACTTGTGTAGGAAGATTTTTAGGCGGTTGGCCAAGATTGATGTGAATATCTTGTAGTCTTGGTTTATTAATGAGATTGGGCGGTATGATTCTACTTTGAGGCTGTCTTTTAGTGGTTTTGGGATGGGCTTTCCTTCACTGTGCAGCTAACTTGTCATGAGACAGGTGTTTACATTCCACAGTCTGTACTGTTGGAGTTTCTCACGGGAAAGGGAGACTGGATGTGACGTACACTGGTTTCCTGTTTTTTCACTGTGTGATTCTCTCCAAGCTGTCGAGGAGAGAGGATGCATTTTTCTGCTTTGGCAGAGGCAAGATGTCTTTCTGTAATATACCAGCTTTGAACTGTAAATAAAGCTATATAGAGTATGCAGCACGTATTCTCATCCTTCCGCTGGCCACGACAGACTCTGCTTTAAATCAACACGTGGTTATGGACTCCAGGAGTCGAATCGGAGTGCCGGCAGAGGATCGGAATGCAGAGGGACGGATCGGAAAGGAATCTGCTCTGCGCGTAGAAGTGATTGATGAGGTATGTGCTACTGCTCCGGGCAGCCTGCCAGCTTCAAGATAATGGCTTTATGGCTGGACTTTGAACTTTTAAAGCCGGTTTTGCCGGGAATAGGCAAAGGCTCCCAGGCACAAGTCACTATGCTGGGGAAATCGAAAGTAACTTTTAAGTGTGCCTTTGTAATGAAGCAGCTGCAGCAGTGACGCAGCAAGATTTAAAGCAGCATATGACGCTGAAGGCTAATGCCAGAGTCATGATGGCCCTTCAGGATGCTTGTGGGATTCCTAAGCTCAACAAGAAAAATTACAGCGACTGGGTTCAGTATGCAGAGGCAATTCTGCGGAAAGAGGGTTTGTTTGAGGTGATTACAGAAACCCCCCCAGTTCCAGTTACAGATGCATGGGAAGCTAAGGATTCCAAAGCAAGGGGAACTCTTACATTGATAGTATCCCCAGAAGAGCTCTGTCTATTGCGTGATAAGACCTCAGCCAGAGAAATTTGGGACGCTCTGAGAGAGGCTCACTTAAGGACAGAAGCTGGATCCACTATGTTTTATTTTAACAAGCTGCATAATATGGCTCTTGCTGAAGGTGGAGATGTGCGTTTACATCTGATGCAGATGCAAAATCTGAGACATGAGCTGCAACAGAGAGGACTCAACTTTCCAGAGGCTGTGTATTCTTTCATGATACTACAATCTTTGGGTTCAGGTTGGGAGTCTGTTGCAACCCAGATTGCTGTGCAACCAACTGCTCAGCTGACAGTGGACTTTGTTACTGCCGTGATTTTAAATGAAGCAGATCGCCGGGGTGCTAGCTGCATGGGCAAGGGAGAGTCTTCACAGACGTCATCCCATAGTGCAGTGGAACCACCAGATGGCGCCAAAGCTTTGAAGGCAGTGAAATGCTACACGTGTGGACGTCTAGGCCATATGAAGAGGGAATGCAGACATCCCAGGGCCAAGACAGAGCAGCGCAGCGAAAGCTCATCGCGCGGAAAAGGCCGAGGCAAAGGCAAAGGTCCGGTGTCTAGGACAACGCAGCACAAGGCTATGGTTTCACGCTTCACTCCAAAGGTTGCAGAGGTCCAGAAGACGTCTAGATCTTTCTTCGTTGTTGATTCAGCGGCCACCCACCACATGTGCAACGATAAGAAACTGTTTGTGTCTTTTACACCGCAGGAAGGTGCGATTCACCAGGCGGATGACCACACTATTCCCAGTAAAGGCTACGGAACTGTTGTTCTTCACAGTTTGGACTTATCGATACAGAATGTGCTTTACGTGCCAGACGCCAAACATAATCTGCTCAGCGTTGGACAGCTGAATGAGCGGAACATTGACGTTTCCTTCAAGAACAAGAAGTGCATCATCACAAAGAAAAATGATTATGTATTGCATGCAGAATATGTTGATCGTTTGTTTGTTTTGTATTATGATGATGTGGTGCAGGATGACACTTGTTGCATTGCAGGTTCTAACAAAAGTTTGCATGCAGAATGTATTCACGATTTTCATCGAAAATTTGGTCATTTGCATTTTGAGGCAGTATCTAAAATGCCTGCCTTGGTTGAAGGTATGACTATTAAACCCTGCAGGTACCACATGAAGTGCAAAGCATGCGCAGCAAACAAGGTGAAAATGGCTGCGAAAGGTAAGGTGTCTAGTAGGAAAGCTACAGAACCATACCAGGTTGTTCATGCTGATTTGGTTGGACCACTAGCGCCCTCTTTGGGTGGAAATAGATACTTCATGGTTCTCATTGATGCATTTTCTAGATATATTTTTGTGTACAATCTCAAGCAGAAATCGGAGGCTTTTCCTAGGTTCAAGGAATTCTGTGCTTGGTTGGAAAATGTGCATGGTAAGAAGATAAAGACTCTTTTCAGTGATCGCGGGGGGGAATTCACTTCTCAGCAGTTTGAAGCTTTTCTGACTGAGAAAGGAATTCAACACGATTTGTCTAGTCCTCGCTCGCCATGGCAGAATGGACTTGCGGAACGGGCAAATCAGACATTGCTTCAAGGATTAAAAACCTTGCTGCATGATGCCAATCTTCCAGAGAGTTATTGGGCCGAATCTCTCTCGTGTTTTGTTTACAGTTACAATCGCAGGCTATCTTCAGCGATTGGTTGTACCTCTATGAGAAGATGTTTGGCAAGAAGCCATACATCAAACACATGAAGATTTTTGGTTCTGACATGTGGGTTCGCTCACCACAAAACTCCAAGTTAGACAAGCGTGGATTGCATGGTATCTTTCTAGGTTATCAGAAAGGGTCTTACAGAATAATGATGACTGACTCTAAGACAATTAAGCTCACGAGAAGTGTTGAGTACAATGCAAAGTGGGGGAGAATGTGGGAATTTTCCAATGTTATCCTGATGACGGTGATGAGACTGAGGATAGTCAAAAGCAACCACAACAACCCACACCCACTGATGAAGGTTCTGAGTCTGAATCTGAAACTGAATCGGGTGATTCAGAGGATTTCAAGAGTGCGAAAGCCTCTATGCGACCCTCTGAAAGCTCTGATCAAGAATTGGAGGAACCATTGTTCACAATAGGTCGTTTTTCTCCTAAGAAGGAAGAGGAGAGTGTTGAAGACTTAAGGCTAATTCGTAGGTCACAGAGAGCCACAAAAGGCAAACCTCCAAAGAGATTTGCTGATGAGTTTGCTAAGATAGCAGTAACAGCTGTTAAAAGCTCCAAGAAGGTATTTGAACCTTCAAGTTTCCAAGAAATCCAGGGTTTGGATTCAAAGGAAGCTGAGCCATGGTTAAATGCCATGAAGGCTGAGCTTGATTCCTTAGAAAGGAACAAAACATGGGAGCTAGTTCCAGTAGTTCCAGGAATGAAACTGCTTGGAAGCAAATGGGTCTTCAAAGCGAAGACAGATCAAAATGGCAAGATAGTCAGACACAAAGCCAGATTGGTAGCCAGAGGTTTTGCACAGGTACCAGGTGAAGACTATCACGAGACCTATTCACCCACAGTGAGATATGAAAGCATTAGGCTTATGCTTAAGCTAGCTGCAGAGGAAAATCTACACATTAGTCACCATGATATTAATACAGCTTTTCTGTACGGATCTCTAGATGAATCACTTTATATGCTTCCACCTGATGGCGTACAGGTAAAACAGGGATTTGTTTGTGCTCTGAAGAAATCCCTTTATGGTCTCAAACAAAGTGCACGGTGTTGGCACACAAAACTCACTGAAGTATTGTTTTCTCTAGGTTTTCAGCAAGGGAAAGCTGATCCATGTGTATTTGTCAAAGAGGAGGGGCAAAAGAAACTGTACTGTTTGTTTTATGTTGATGATTTATTATTCTTTTGGAAAGATGTCGCAATGTACAATAACGCCCTAGCTCAACTGAAAGAGCACTTTGACATGAAAGATCTTGGTGAGGTAAACAACTACCTATCTCTGGAAATAGAGAGAGATCAAGATGGTAACATTCTAGTACACCAGTCACGGAAAATTGCTGATGTGTTAAGCAAACTAAATCTGATGGATGCTAACCCTGTAGACACACCGATGACAACAGGTTATCAGGTAGATGACACTGAAGAAGCATTTTCTGACACTACACTGTACAGGAGTGTGCTAGGCAAGCTAAACTTCATTGCCAGATGTTCAAGACCAGACATTGCTGTTAGCTGTAATTTGCTAAGCAGACAAGTCAACAATCCTAGTGTCAAGGATTGAAAGTTCTGAAACGCATAGCGCGGTATTTGAAAGGCACTATGCATTACAGACTGAGATTTAACAATCAGAAGTCTGGTGGTCTTGAGATATTTGCAGATGCAAGTTTTGGAAGTGACACTACAGACAGGAAAAGTACGTCTGGAGTTTGCTACATGTACAATCAGAGTCTGTTTGATTGGTCATGCAAGAAGCAAACAACAGTTAGCTTAAGTACTTGTGAAGCCGAACTGAATGCACTGTCTTATTCACTTAAGGATTGTGAATGGTTAGTACAATTGTGCAAAGATATGAAAATTCCTGTCAAATGTCCAATCCAGGTTTACCAGGACAACAAAGCATGTTTGGCTTTGCTGAAGTCTGAAGGTTGTAAGCAAAGCACAAAGCACTTACAATTAAAGTTGCAGCATGCTAGGGAATGTATTCAGAAGGGACTCGTAACGGTGTCCTATATGCCAGGTAATGAAATTCCTGCTGATGTATTGTCCAAGATTGTATCAAGGGATCAACACTGTACCTATGTGCAGAAGTTGGGTTTGTACTGATATTGTACGAACACGCTGCCCAGTGATGTTCACAGAAAGGGGGAGGATGTTGGTTTCTGCTTTCCTTCACTGTGCAGCTAACTTGTCATGAGACAGGTGTTTACATTCCACAGTCTGTACTGTTGGAGTTTCTCACGGGAAAGGGAGACTGGATGTGACGTACACTGGTTTCCTGTTTTTTTCACTGTGTGATTCTCTCCAAGCTGTCGAGGAGAGAGGATGCATTTTTCTCTGCTTTGGCAGAGGCAAGATGTCTTTCTGTAATATACCAGCTTTGAACTGTAAATAAAGCTATATAGAGTATGCAGCACGTATTCTCATCCTTCCGCTGGCCACGACAGACTCTGCTTTAAATCAACAGTTGGGGCCGAATTTCATGTTAGTTAGTACTGCTAGTATGTATTTCCACTCCAAGCAATCAAAGGCTTTGAGGATGTCTAGGGACATAATTGTCAATGGGAGTTTGGTTGCCTTGCTGTGTTCGATCAGGTTCAGTAGTTTCCTGATGGGGTCTGTTATATTGCGGCCAGGGACAAAGCCAGTCTGGTCTGGGGCTATTAACTTGTGTAGGAAGATTTTTAGGCGGTTGGCCAAGATTGATGTGAATATCTTGTAGTCTTGGTTTATTAATGAGATTGGGCGGTATGATTCTACTTTGAGGCTGTCTTTTAGTGGTTTTGGGATGGAGACTATTTTGGAGTGGGTCCAGGTTTTGGGGATGGGGCCCCCCTTTTATGATGTCGTTGAATAGGCGGGTCATGTAGGGCATCAAGGGTTCTTTGAATTTCTTATAGAATTCTGCTGTGAAGCCGTCTGGGCCTGGGGCTTTGTGTGGTCACTTCTAAGATGTTTTAAAATTGTTCCCAAATACTGGGTAAGACACCACTAAGTTGTGACTTTGTGGGGAGGTAACTGGAGAGCAAACCAGGGCAATGGATTGTGGGACTGTCGCTTCTGGATCTTGAACTCATAGCTCACCCGTTGACAGATAAAACCCATTGGCATGCTGCCTTAGGGGGTGGGGGAAAGTCAGGAATCTATGGATCAAATCAACCTTCCAAAAGAATGACGTAACTGCTTAGCTGGTGGAGATCAGGGGTGTTTCTAGGCCAGCACTCCCAACAGTGGCTAGCCAGGTAACCTTGCAAAGCTCACAAGCAGGGAGTAATGGGAGAAAACACCCTTACATTTGTTCTCCGCGTTAAGTAAGCATGCACATATTGTGGCAGATCATGGAAATTCCATTCTTAACTGTCACGGAAAGCTCTATCTCCCATTTAACTCATTTAATCCTTTTAAAAAGCCATCTCTACAAGTTGCCAGCGCCACATCCTGCAGTAGGAAATCCTTTAATTTAAGCACCGTGTGAAGAAATAGTACCCTTTGGCTGTCCCAATCCTATTGCTAAATCAATTCCACAGCATGAATCTGGATTTGAGTGTTTCAGAGATGGCAATTTCTCTCTAAACAGTTCATTATTTTACAAAGTCTCTTACGTTCTCCCGCCCTAAAAGTCTGAAAACTGTTGAACACACATAAAACCCAACAAAGCCGGCAACAGCCAACCACCACCCAAAATGTTCCTTCAACTAAGCCTGACTGGATCTGAACAAATGGACTGTGTCAGAAGCTATGGAAAGATCACACAAGAGCACAGCAAGCATATTGCAATAGCTTACAAAGAGAAGGTAGCTTTGTGCCAAAGGGAATATGTGGCTGAGCAAGGTAAATCTCCCTTTCTCTGTCTCACTAGGTGAACCCTGAACTGTGAATTAGGCTTTAAGCAGATTAAAATTCCATTATTTTAGGTTTTCCGAAACAGTGTCAAAGAGTGCATAATGGAATTGAAAACACTAGCATTTTTATGAGGATAAATTGTAACAAGCTTGATGGAAGTGGGAAATTTGGTCCCACGGTAGTTGTAACCCACAGTGCTTTGTTCTCTTTTATGATTTTGATATTGTTCAGATTCTACTGTTGATCGTATTCACTGAAGTTCATTTTGCACTTCATACTGTTTCTAACACATCTTTTTTTTAAGTATAAAAAGTCAGAATTTCAGCACATTGTTTTTATTCTTGAACTGTTTTATCCTGTTCTTATTAGATGAAACTGATTTTACTAATTTGGACAATTTTTATCATTTTGTGTATGATTTATTGCTTTATCACTTGTTTGCCACCTTGGGGTTCCTCTGGGAGAAAGGGCAGGAGAGATTGATTGATTGATTGATTGATAGGAAAAATTGTGTCAATGCCTTGATTTACCCAGACTGAATTTTTAACTTATTTTATAAGGATTGGTGTTCCAATTACTGGTAGTTAAATTTTGTCTGCTGCTTGTGCACTAGTCTCAGGAATGCTTACATTTTTTCATTCGCAAATATCCTCTGCAGAAAATCATTTATCCCTTGAATAAATTATCTTCTCTAAACTTTGTGATTAGTGACTAAAAATAATAACAATCCCACAGCAATATTTGTTCTCCAAGCTTGGTAAATTGGTAAGAAAATGATAGATCCACTTCTGGAGAGGAGAGCTTTGGCTGGAGTATATGCATGTGTGCAAGTGATCCTACCTTAGAAGAGCAAGCCACAAAAGGCCCTTAAATGCCAACAATCCATACCAAAAGCCCTAGTGATGAGTCTGTCAGGCCTTTCCCCCTTGTAATATGAGTTTTAAATTGCTAGTAGAAGAAAATTAGCCCCTTCAGAAGAAAAATCAGCCTCTTACCTCTCCTTTCAGCTCATGAACTATCTCCACAGACAGAAGAGTGTCCCGTGGTAATTCTGTTTTCAAGTCCAGTTTGGTCCAGCGATCTGATGTGCGACCAGCCCAAGTGTATATCTGAGACTTCTGCATGTAAACAAACAGGAAGGCAGTAAGATTAGGGACCAAAGGAGTTCACAGAGGAGGCCACAGTCTCTTGGAGTTAGTACCAGGCCAGCAGAGAGAGATTGCCACAGTGGAATGTACTTTATAACGAAGCATCTAAAAAGGTTGTCAGCGGAAGAAGAAAATCTTAAATTTTATCTCTTCTAGTATTTTAACTTTTGTATGTTTTAAAGTAGATTTCTTAGTTTTTCTGGATTTTACTTTTTTATCTTTTGTAAATTGCTTTAAGGTCTTTTACAATCAAACAGTGTACAAATTTTATTAAATAAATAAATAAATGAGTAAACAGTTATTCAGGTTGTTTAGCAAGCTTCTCTTTTAGCCTCACAAGCGAGGGACTTAATTTCACTGAAGAAATTAAGAAATCATGTTATCAGAACATGGTAAGATCATGTAGTTGGTGAATTTATAAAACAAGGTAAAGCTTACTATAAAAATTGGCTTGTAACGTATCAGTGAGATACTAGCAAAGGTAATCCACAGACCAAACAACCACCATGGCGATTTAAGCCAGGATCTAAAACAAGACCATTCCTGCAGATAAACAGGAGCAACGCATGGGTGAATGAAATTGCAAACCAAGCACCAACTTGCTTCAAATACACAGGGTTGTTGTTTTTCTCCTGCTGAAACTCATTGTTACATTTCATTATTACCACTTACCCCTAGGGCTAGAAGAAACTTCTGCTCACTTCCTGACACCATGCACCTGTAATCCAGCACAGGTCGGATTTTCTCCAAGGTTTTTGAGTTGAGAGGTGTTGGTTTGTAACTGAAGATCTCCATGTCAGCACCCTAAAAACAAAAAAGAGGAGGGAATTGTTATCCCAGAAAAGGCTATCACAATGACTAGAACTAAGGAAGTCGTTTCCATGCTCCATATACGGCATATCTCCACCACTGTCCAGCCAGGACACTGAGTCCAGCTTCGAGGGCCTTCTGGCAGTTCCCTCATTGCAAGAAGTGAAGTTACAGGGAACCAGGCAGAGGGCCTTCTTGGTAGTGGCACCCACCCTGTGAAACACCCTCCCATCAGATGTCAAAGAGATGAACAACTACACGACTTTCCGGAGACACTCGAAGATTATTGGGAAGTTTTTAATACCTGATGTTTCTGTGTATTTTTCTGTGCCCAGACTGGCTAGGGCAACCCACTCAGGTGGGAGGGATACAAATAATAAATTACTATTACTGATGTAGTGACATTTTCTGCCTCCAGCAGCCAGTTGTCAAAATAACTGCACAATGCTGCATCTGATCACAAATATACTGTCTGCAAAACTGATTGTTTGAACCAGAGAGTTTATAAGAAGATACATACGTTTAGGGAAGGGCCAAAGCAGATATACCTCTCTGTAATAGCCAGCTCCAAACTTATGACGATACACTTCACCTTTTGCTATTAACAGCAACCAATACAAGAAGCTTTGCAGGGAGTGTTTTCCCCATCTTTGCTTTCTGCTGTCTCATGATAAAGAGCATTAATTTAATCTGAGCATACAGAACAAACAGCAACTGGAAGTCTCACCTGAATTAGCTCAAAGAACTTGGACTTGGGATCAGAAGAGGATGGAGCAACTCGGGCCTGGTCTGGAATCTAGAGCAACCCAAGAGCCAATGAGTCAACAAGGATTTGGTTCACACATTACATTTATTCCATCATTGCTTCTAATTATTTGCTGTTCATCAGGCATAGAATAAAGGGGACATATGGAGAAGCAAAAAGAAAGCCAAGGCAGATGCACATTAAAATATTAACTTATTTTGTAAAAGACAGAAGAGCTTGAGTTTCCCTGAGCTACTGATGGATCAAAATTAACTTGTACTCGGGCTATTTTTGTCCTCTTACTCACAATCTCTCTGCCTCTCATGAATGGAAGAACCCAACGCATTGTTTTTGAAGTATTGCTACAGCTTTTCAACATGCCTGCAAAACACCCAGTAAACTTTGGCAATTGATTTCAATAGGAACAATGGGAGCAGCAGTTCCTTTTCAAATAAAAAGAAAAAAGTACTCTTTTGCACAATAGATAATTAGCCGACAAAATATGTTGCCATAAAAATCCCCACAACCCAACTTTCATGCAGGGATGACAGGTTGCAGCTGAAGAGTCAGAGCTCCATAGTGGAGCCTGCTGGCATGCAGAAATTCCCAGCTTCAATTCCTGGCAGCTCTGGGAAGGGCTGTGAAAGACACGCTGTCTGAAATTCTGGTGTGCCACAGACAAGCAGTGAGTTAGATGGGTCAATGGTCTGAGTTGGCATTAGGCAGCTTCTTGTGTTCCTGTTTAGTTTCCTTCTTCTCGGCTCTGAGTGATGAAGTATATGTTTATCCAGTGGTCCCACCTAGAGCAAGGGTGAGAAACTTGTGGTCCTCCAGCTGTTGTTGGACTCCACTGCCCATCAGGCCCAGTCATTGGTCAGGGAGGATAGAAGCTATAATCCAACAACTCCAGGAGGACCCTAAGTTTTCCACCCATTTGCTACAGAGTAGTTTCCATGAATGCTGAAAGTGAAGTCCTTTTAATGTTTGGGGAGAAATTGCTCTTGTCTAAAAGGATCAATGTTTATTTATGTTAGGGTCCTATGGCGTATCCTGAGTAGCAACTCATACACATGCCAAAATACGACTTCTTCTTTTGGCCAATTAACCAAAAACAGCACTGCACCATGATTCCCTACTCACAATCACTAACTTCATTTCGAACAATATACCTAAAGCATGTACTAACAGTTCAATCAACTGATCAGACTGTGACTACAAACGGGGATATTGAAGCAGTCTTAAGAGTTGGCTAATACTAAGTGGCATTGCTCTTTTTGGTTACTTTGGGTATGACATTCCCTTTTCGTCCACACACACAATGACATTTACTCCCTCAGCCTCTAAACATTTTAAGCCAAAGAGATATTTCTCAGATAATAGGAATGGGATGCATACTAAAAAGCAAGTGCCGTTACCTAAAGATTCATCATACATTGTGTTTCAGTCTACGCTTTTGTTTTTAGGTAATTGTGAATGGCTTTTAAAATAGAGTTTGCACAGGCTACACTTGAGAGAATTCTTTTCTTTAAAAGTAGGTATGGATTTATTAAATTTAACAAGTTTACAGCTAAACAGCTATTTTCTTTTAATCAACTTGTTACTCCAATAGCCATTCACATGTTACTAAGAGAAAGACACACAGAGAAAGAAGGTTTTCCTTCTTCCAGTAGAAAAATGCTATGATCAGTAATAATAGGTGGCATCATCTCATGAAATATGGGGATTTTGTTTTATTACATTTGTATGCTGCCCCTTAACATGACGCTATCGATCAGGCAGCTTATAACAAGTGCAATGAAGTATGAGAAGAGACACAATTATTCCATCCTGATAGCAGAATTACAGCAGAATTATTTTTAACAGCAGTCAACTTCTTAAGAGCCTCAACTGCCTGTTGCAATGCATCAAACCCAAATACGAACCAACGGTTTACAAGCAAAATTTTATGTGTAAACCTATCTGTTTATTTCATTTTACTATACAAATCTTATGTCATGGAAATATCAATTTGAAATAAAATCCAAGCGATAGAAGTTTGAACTTCATTAGTTGCACACTTCTAACCCAAAAAATAAGGGTGGCCAAGAGAGAAAGAATTCATTCTGAGACCGTATGTGCTATGATACCTCAAAGACCACTGTATTTTTCAGTGTAAAAAGCATGGCCTGCAGCTTTGTCATTTATTTAATTGGTCAATGCAATTTAGTAGAATGATCAGAAATCATGTTCTAGGCCAAAGAGACTTGCTGTCCAAGACGACCTACTGTGGTGTGTAAGTCAGGAACAGGCATTTAAAATATGGATGCTATAGAAGGCAGTTTGCATTCATCATGAATGTCTCAAGTAAGTTATACTTGCATTCACAATTAACTTAGTACTAATTTTTCTGTCACTGAAGATTTTTAGTTTAGCAACAATCCCACCCTTTGGGAAATGATTTTTTAAAAATCTCTTTCTCCAACCATCACTCTCTAAATACACAGAATTATATATAAACAATATATACAGTCCCTAACATGCCCTGTGGTTTTTTAAGGGAAGATAATCCTCTTCAACAGAGAATACAGAGACTTCTATACACATTAAAAAAGGAGAACTACAAAACTATAGTTTGCTGTTCTGTGGTTTTACTCACCCCCCAGAGCCGGAGGCATTCCTTTCGGATGTCAGCCTGTCGTGGTTCATTCAAGGTCCTAGAAGAATTTGTGATGGTTCTTCTGAATTTTCCAGTAAAAAGGATAATTCAGCTTGCCCCCCCCCAAAAGATGGATTCTTCTTTTCAATTTACATAGTGATTTATGCACCATAAGAACAAAAACAAGGTGAAGAAGACCCTCAAATAAACTTCTGAAATGCTGCTCTAGACCCCAGAAATTACAGATCTATAAAAGAATACCGCAAACCACAAACTTGACTCACTGACTTGAATGACATTCCCTGGAATGGAGTCACTTTCATGCAAGTCTCTCCCATGCCCCACCACCAAATGAAAGCTGTAACATCTCAAACAGTACAAACAACAAACCTGAATTACAGTTCGGCCCTCACCCAAGAGCACCTTTAAATATAAATATACTTACGTGTCTTGAACAAAGGCACGGATTTTGGCCAGTGCTTTGATCTGAACAGCGCAGAGTCTGGAAGAGAAAGCAGGTCCCAGCTTTAGAATGCGTTATCTACTAAATTGACAAAGTAGCTATCTGAAGGTCTTGTGAATCAGAATGCGCATGAAAAATAACCAACAGACAGAATGACCAGTTTCAATACAATACAGTAACTGGCCATGTTGCAATGGTAGTGCCAGGGAATTGAGGAATATTTTCACTCTTCCTTCACAAAAGGAGGTTGGGTTTTGTTTGTTGTTGTTGTTGTTTATGTTAACCTATGACTATTCTTATCTGTGCAGAAAGTAAGTTTTATTATTATTGCTGCTTTTCAGGTTAAAAAGAAGAGAATAATGACTGGTCAGGATAATACAGAAATGCAACAAGTGAATCAAGTACACTAAAAAACATAAATTAGCAAGATTTCTTACCATCAACTGATAATACCAGTTTTATATTATCACTGCAGAGTAGAGAAAGCCACGAAACTACAATATACAAAGCAGGAGTGGGAAATCTAGATGTGCCATTAATCATGCATCTACAATTAATGGTGCCTAATTGTCATTTGAAAACAAAGGACTGGATACGAGTTATACAGTGTGTCATTCACTTTGTCTTGTGAACTAATCCACAATATATGGACTTTGCAGAGGAAGAATTATTGGAAGCAGACAGCTTAGGAAAAGTGACTAGCAGAACCCTGCAATTTCTTCTCACTGCCCTTCAACTCACCTTTCATTTGATCGGATTATGTAATCATGGAAATCATGGTCACCATTGATTACTTCCAAAGGGACAACGAGGTTTACATCCTGGTCTGTGTTGCGTAGCTGATTGAGTTTGATGTTCACCGAGAAAAGATAGTCTCTCACATCATCAATTCCAGATTTCAATCCTCGGCATACCACATACCTGCAGGGTGAGACAGACTATTTGCTCATTAACTATAATGACCTTCTGATGCATTGTGCCAAACGGTAAGATGAAATAAATACAGCTTGCAGAAAACCCTTTCTGCTTTTGCAAGAGGTGATGACAACCTTTATTGGTTATCATATATTTTATTACTTCCACTAGTGCAAAACACTTTCCCAATTCCATCTTGTTTTATTCCTATTTTAAGGACAAGAAAATTAGAGATATTGACTTGCCCCAGATGAGCTGCAGTACCTTAGGCCACAATCCTGCAATTAACTGGGAATGTGCTTTAGAAACATTTTATTGTGATCTGGGCTTCTTTTGGCAATGGCCCCAGAGGCATCAAATTCACTGAAAAGAAGGTATATATACAAGTGATTTCTGGTCATTATGATCTGTCTGATGAAATTTTACTTCAAAAGTATTTGCAAAAGGTAGGAGGCAAAAAGAAACTTCAAGCACAGGCATTAACAAATATAATAGCATGAAGGAGTACAAGTGATCCTCTCATTACAAAATTTAATTGCCTCCCATTTAGCAGTTTGATCTGCCAGCAAATGTTTAGCAAAACAATCTGAATGTGATATAGCACCTAAACTCTCATAGAGTTTGTAGCAAAGCTGCAGCTACTTCAAACCCCTTTTTATCAGAGCCGCAGTGTTCAAAGGTACCTTCCACCTTCCACAATGCTCAGGTCTCACCTTTCAGAATTGGCAGGGCGACTCGTCACAGGTTTGAAGATTGACACGCGCTCAAAGCAGCAGTAGAGCAAGTATACTAGGCCAACGCTGAATGGCGTGAACAGATCAAAGGTTTTGCAGACAAAGTGCCCTCCTGGAGCAGAAAAAGCAAATTGAAGCTACACCTTACAAAGGAGAAACACACACTACTTTATTATTAATCATATTTGTATCCCACCCTTCCTCCAAGGCACTGAGGGTGGTGCACATGGGGTTATGACATGTTATCCTCACATGCACCTGTGAGGGAGATTAGGCTGAAAAACAGTACCTTCTACACAATGAACATAATGGCTGAGCCGAGATCTAGATGGGTGCCTCCCCAATCTGTCCCACACACTGTCTGTAGCACACATGGTTTATGACAGCAGCCATTCTTGTCCATAGATGATATGGAGGACCATGCTGTGGAAATCTCACAAGATATTCTCTTGGGTACTTAACAATCACATTTTCAAAAGCCATTCAACCCTTTCACCTCCATTTATCACTTCTCCCCTAATTCCCCAGAAAGGGAAGAGGTTGGACAGAAGGGATTCCAGCAAAGTCCTCTGCCTGCTGCCTTCAGAACGTTTCCATGGTAAGCTGGTAATTCCCAGGGCCAACATAAAGTTCTCCATTGCCTCGCTATGAGAATTTCATATTCTGCAAATACCAGGAGATGCCAAGGGTTTCCAAATCCAAATCTTATTTTAAAAACAGTGATCCATAATTATAGAAGAGGAACAGAAGGACCAACACATACAAAAACAAAGAGTCTGGTCTCTTACAAAATACTGCACAAGGTGGGAGGTGGAGGTAAGAGAGTCTAGAATAGTTAACACTAAAGCCACAAGGGGCAGAAGGGGAAATACAGAGACGGGGGGGGGGGGGGAGCGTGTGGAGAAGCACCTGTTCGTACGACAGAGAGTGCTGTGAGGAACTGGCAAAGAGTCAGCTGCTTGCTTAGAATCTCTTGGATGTTTTCCTGACCCTCAACAGAGAAACCCTGAAACACACAGCAAACAGCAAACCTTAATGCAAATCACATTTTATGTAACTGAAACCCAGTATCACATTTCATGAAACGGAAAACTTAAATTCAATTCCCCCTTCCCTTTTTGGAGAGCATGACAAGTCACTGCCTGCCCACTGAACTGCATGCAGCCTTCTCCCTCCCTGGGCTTAACGTGCGCTTTTGCCTTTCCATAATCTGTCAGGGAAGAGGAAGCTTGCTTCTCACTTTCAGTAAAGAAGTAACTGAGGTAATAGTCAGTAAGGATGGAGTGGGGAGTGAGCAGAGAATTGGTGGAAGTAGTCCTCCTTAGTCCCACACTCAGGAGGGTGGGGGATCATCTTCATGGCACTGTGCCTCATTAAAGAGTCTGTTCCTCCTCTGCATCATCCTTCTCTTCACACCTATCAGTTCTAGGAAGTGCTCATCACACAAGGAGCCACTGTCATTGTCTGTCACACAGTGTACACACACATACACACAGAGAGTGTTATTCAACTAGAAGGAACAAGGATGCACTCGCAGAGGGTAGCAGCAGCTTTCATGCTGTACACTGAGTGCTCAGATATGCTGGTGAGGGACATCAGCAACAAATCTATGTTGTGATGTTCTATGAACCACCACATTTGTTGATTTTATTTGTACTGAAATGAAACCATTAATCAAAACTGATCCATTATCTATATCCAGAGGTAATCTAGTCAGTCTCTCTCTCTCTCTCTCTCTCTCTCTCTCTCTGTGTGTGTGTGTGTGTGTGTGTGTATGCTCTCTGAATCTTCACATCACATTTATAACAAGCTAAATGTCACATCACAATGCACAAAGCTAGGTCCCTCTCTTAGCTCAGGGAACAAAGGGAAAAGAGAAGGAACATACCCCATCAGCCATCAAGAAATGTACCCCCTTGCGATCTGTATTGTCCAGCACAAAATTCTGGAAGGCAGTGATGTTCTCGGGACGGGTGATGTCTCCATCTCCCTCAATTCCTTCTTCACCTGTGAGCAAGGAAAGCAAGGAATTTGCTCTCGTCTGCTGTGTATTATTGTTATTACATACCACAGAATCATTTCCAAAGGTTTCTCATTATTTCATTTTAAAAACTTATGACTACACTTCCGCATAAAGTGATCTGAGAAGTTTTGTAAAAGAAGTGCCACTTCTCTCGCCTCTCGTGATGTTGGTATTCCTTGCTATCCTTGGTAGTTTCCACACTTGATTACATCCTTTGTTTAAAAAAATGGGACACAGTGGCAACAATCTGTGTATCCTGCCTGTCTGTCTCTAAGATCAAATGGCAATCAACTTTCAAAACATATACAACTTCTGTAAGTACTGATAGAGCTGTCCCCAAAATGTTTCCCATTTAAAAATGCACATGCATTCAAAACTCTTTAAGTCTTTCACTTGACACTGAAGATGAACGATGAGGGGGTGGGGAGAAGGTTGCCATAAATACATGCTTATACATACCATAGTAAGGCTCGAAGAGTTCACTAGAAGCAGCAAAGAAATCCTCCAATTTGAAATCATTTGGTCCTTTTAAGGTCATGCCAAAACCTTTTGCATGCCACTTCTTCCTCCAGAGGACATACTCTGAGAAGCCCCCAGGGCCAGCACATACATCAGCAAAGTACAGGAGCTCTGCATCACGATCTCTGATCAGAGGTTTCTGCCAAAATGGATAAGGGATGAGACTCAAAGCACCTCAACAGAAGCAACCGACTAACCAAAGCAACAACTGCATTGCCGTACTGTATCCCTGACTGCCGGGGCACTTAAAAAAACAAAACAAAACAAAACAAACCCAACTATTTTAGTAAAACTCTGAAGGACTTTTCCACCCAATTCCCCCATTCACAGAAGACACTGAAGATTTAGAGATATAGAGAAACCTTTACCCCTCGAGAATCCTTTGGGTTTGTAAACATGTGGTCGAAGACGTAGTCTAGGTTTGCCATCTTCATTGCTGCTCTGTAAATGCAAGAGGGAAACTTGTTAAGAGTCTGCCCTTGCTGACTCAAGGGCTGCAAATCTGAGATCCTCCATTGACCTGTTTAGGAAGAAGACTCCACGGATCATCTCATAGGGGTTGGACCTTGTACGAGCTCGGCGCATTTCCTCTCCATCCAGCTCATCAAACACACTCTGGAAAAAGAGGAAACAAGTCTAATTTGACAAGGAGGTCAAATTATAGTTAAGTAATATCAAATTACAGGAACCTAGCTATAGGGGAATAGCAATGAGCTCAAAATTCTCTAGCTGGAGGTATTAAGATGCAATAACTTAGGCAGCACCACTACAACCTTTTGAAGCCAGTAAGAAACAAAGGCCTGTCAAGTGAGATTTAAAACACTGAGTCTGAGAATTAAATTCTGGCCTCGAAATTAACACCTTCTATTGCATGGATGAAGTGTCTAGGTCACTTGACCCCCAATGTCTCAAAACAATCAACTCGCAGAGCGTCCAGATCTTAGCTATACTCCCGTTCTCTTCCACGGAGTGGCTCTGTCCCCAACAGACAAAACTCACCTTGCACTGAAGCATATTCTGTAGGAGTTCTTCTCCACAGAAATGTGTTTCATCATCAATCACCAGTTTTTTCTAGAGAATAAAATATGGAGGAAATTAATAAACAAAGATAACATCTTCCTCTTTATTAAGACAATGTGGCAAGACACCTTTCATGAAAACATGCAAATCTAACAACAATAAAATAGTTTGGGGCATCTGCTCTCAGGTGGGAACTCTGACCTACTCCTTGTGTGCCGGATAAACATCACTTTTTCAGTATGAGAAATAGGACTGAGGGACTGGAACTGTAGACACCTGCCTTCATCAACAGTTTCCCACATGTGATTCTTTTTCAAACTTTGAAAAGAAATAGTTTAAAGAATCATGGGCTAAATGGAATACCTATCTGATTTGGGGCCATACTTGCTGATCAAGCTAGTGATGCACATGGAAATGGCTTCAGACAGGAGCCTAATTTCTTATAGAGCTTTGCTTTTAAAACACTGAGAGGTGACGTTTAGCAAATATCGCTATGCGTGAACCCACTCCAGACTTTTTGAGTTGACATCAGATAGCCAAACTTGATAACTAGGTGCCATCATCACATACTGGCTACGTGATCTCCACTTCATAGGCTCATGTAGCCTGCAAGAACCACTCGCTATTTAAAACAAAAAGCAAGTACTTGTTGCCAAAGCTGCTGCTGAAAGGGATGCAAAAAAGGGATGCTAGGAAGGGGGCTTCTGAAGAATATTTTGGTGGTCTGAAAAATCTCTTGGGAGCATGGAAAACATTCACCCAGTTTTAATTTTAAAAAACTGTGCAAAAAGGCAACTTAATGAAACTCTGCATATAGGAAACAGGTTTGGTGTGACGTGCTCAAGGCTACCAATGAATTTATTTGATATTTAAGATCAAAGCCTTGTTGCTTGGGTCCAAGCCCAATGCACTCTTAACAAAGGCTCATAGCACTTTTTGTAAGGGTCAGAAGCAAGGCTGATCAATAATCAGTCTGTTTCACTGCAACAGGAAACAGTATACAAGTACATATTGGGAGTATGCATCTATTTCTACTTCAGTTTTCAATCTAAGAACAGTTAGATATCTACTCACCAGGCAGACTAATAAACATGGCATTTTGCAGCCTGAAGGAAAGTGGGGAAGCTAGCTTTGTATAAACACCCTTAAGAATCACTGTGGTACATCAAACACTTGCCACTATATATCATTAATAAAAATGGCTGGTATCCAAGGAAAAGAAAAATCCTGTCACTGCTATTATTTACACTTCTGGCTAGGCTGCAGCCTTTCAAACTATATCACTGGTGAGCAGCAATATTCTGTGCCAGGCAGACAGAGAACACTGTACAAAATGAGAGCATCACTACAGAAAATGCGGCTTCCTGCTGTTGTGATTAAACAGCTTGTCAAGGTACTCAAGCTCTCACAAATGCAGCAATTACAAGGATGAAGCTTATTCGCACTGCAATCTGATACTGAAGAACAGAGGGAGTAGCCCTTGAATACCCAAGTATGTTAATTTGCTCCCTTCACATGGAAGTATGGACTCAGGTTGAGAACACAGAGCTCAGCAAGATAATGAGTGTAAACACACCAATCTAGGACCCAGGCCCACATCACCCAGCAAAACATTTTTAGTACAGAAAATGGAAGAGCTGGACTGTTCAAAGGTCCTTCTCAAGAGATGGTTGTTGTTGGTCAAGTAATAAATTATTATTATTAGAGATAAACAACAATATGACATTCTGTAGACATTTGAAGGCAGCCCTGTATCAGGAAGATTTGAATGTCCAATATATTGTGTGTTCTTTATATTCTGTTGAAAGCCTCCCAGAGTGGCTGGGGCAACCCAGTCAGATGAACGGGGTATAAGTAGTAAATTCTTATATAAACTATTATAGTTCGGAAATGAATGTTAGCCAAAACATTGGGTGAACATGGGCAGTCACTTTCTCTTAAGTCTAACACTACCTGACAGGGTCAACATGAGAATAAAATAGAAGAGGAACCATATACCCCACCCTCAACTCTTTGGAGAAGGACAAAACAAAAATGCAATAAATAAATTGTAAATAGAAATTCAATTATATAGGAGTTCATTGTGGACCAAGCACTAAAATAAAATGTTTGGAGCTCATCTGTAATTTTAATAAAAAATATTGAGAAAGTCAAAATCATCTAATTATATTTTCATTGGCATTTATTAAATGTATTTTTTTACTTCAGTTGGCTTCCCTAATATTAATTATATTTTAAAATGTTTACTCAATATTTTGGTTATTCTGACCCGGTCTTAATGTGTTTGTGTCAGGGAAAGGGCATCGCTCAAACTGCATTACACTCTTGCATGCAGAATGGCACCTCTGGACTTGGTACCCAGCCTCTCTGAATTCTTAATTGGTGTAGCCCTTAACTCTCTTCCCCATGCTTCATACCTTGCCTATAGTCATCCAATCCTTCATTTCCTCAGCATCTGGAATTTCAGTGGTACATTCTGGGAACCAGTCCACTTGCTCATAAGCGCTAGCCTGTGAACATAAGAAAAGATCAGTAAAAAAGAAGACTGTGTATGCTGCAGCAAAATTTAACTCCCTTAATACCTGGAAGTAAACCAGAAGCTCAACACAATCTTTTAAGGCTGAAATTCAAATAATGTCTTTAAGAGAACCATAGTGTTTTCATAACACATGGGCAGGCAAAATGTTGATTTGGCAAATAAGAATAAGAAAGTTGAAATAGATTACCAGACATAAGGACTTCCACTTGTACATCAGGGCTTTCTCCCCTCTCCCCCCCCCCCCCACTCTGGGCTCTGGGGGGCAGGGTGGGGTCGACGCCGGGGGAAGAGAGGGGGTAATAATTCCATCTGGCAAGCTAAAATTATTGTGCTGATGGAACGATCAGAAGTGCAAAAGGCTGAGTTCCTCCCAAAGGTTAGCACCATTTGCCTTCAAACCAAGGGTTACTTTGCCACGAACTTCACCTGAGTCAGTGGCCAAAAGACCTCTCCACAATGCCTAACAGATAAGTGGAAAGCACAAAAAACATGTGGAAGGAACAAAATGTGCACATAATTACCTCTGGCTCATCCTGCCAGTTGATGTTGACTTCTCCGTCAAATCCTTTCAGAGTCAGCCCCAGACCTCGTCTTCCTTTCTGTTTGGAGGCCTCAACGATCTCTTGTCTCCCCTGGCCATATTTTCCAAGACCTTCACCTTCTCGAAAACCCATTTTGGCCTGCAAGCCAATGCAGAATAAGCTCCTTAGTAACGTCTAACAACAAATTTATGCACTACCTTCTGTGCTTAGGCTGAGGACTAGCAGAATAAATAAATAAATCAGGCCATCTTAGGCTCCTGTGATTAAAAAGTATTGAGTGCACTTAATGAATCTCTCAGAAGACTTCTGGACTCTCCTTCAAGTGTGTTCAACTTAATTAGGATGAAGCTAGATCAACAGAATGAAACATGTAAACACAACAACAAAAATGAACTGCCTTGCTACAAATGAGTAACCTGTGAAGAACTCAATAGCTATTTGCCGTTTATCAAGTTTATCAACCTGTAAGTACTCTGTGCTCTTTGGACAGAAAAGTCTGTAATGAGACTACAGTTGTGATCATGGTCTCTCTCACACATGTCAGAAGCCCAAAGCAGTTCATGTGAACCTCACAACAGTAAACAGATGGGATTCAGTTAGTCACAACCCTTTAGCCAACAGTAGGATTTTCAAACTTGTGTTCCAGGGAACTCTGGGGTTCCTTGAAAGCTTATCAGGTACAACTTAAAGCAGAGGTTGCCAAACAGTGGTCTGTCCACTTCCTTCAGGTGGTCTGCAGCATGCCTGTGAAGAGCAGGTAGACGGCCAGGTTCTAAGGTGAGTGGGATGGACTGGAAGTGATTGGGGGGAGGCATTTGAAAGGAGTGGAGAAGACTAGAGGTTTTAAAGTTTAATCTTGATTTGATTAAAGAGAATGTAGCATCATTACAGGCATCAAAACAGGCAGAAAAATCATTAAGTGGTCCACCAAGACCCTTCGTAATTTTCCTGTGGTCCATTGTGGAGGAAGTTTGAGAACCACTGTCTCAACAAACAGATCAGGTAGGTAGCCTTGTTGGTCTGACGCAGTCAAAATAAATAAATAGAACAAACTTAGTTGGTCTCTAAGGTGCTACTGGACAATATTTTAATTTTTTAATTTATTTCAACAAACAGATCAGTAATGGCAAACAGGTTTCCCTGTAAAACAGCTCACATAAACACCTAGAAGATGGAAGTAGCAGGAGAACTGGGGTACATTCTATGCTACACTCTCAATTAACACAGAGTGATCCTAGGATCCTCTGCTATGCACAGGGATTCTATAGCAGAAATGTGAAGATTCATGACAAGCTGCTATGAAGAGGTTCCTTGAAGACAGAAATTTAAAAACCATAGAAATAAAGCAAATAGAATTATAGATCTTGCTGGTTATATTTTTTCATTGAAAATAAATTTTAAATTCCTTTACACTATTAAACACCTGCTGTGCTCTTACAGATATAATTTAAAGTCAGGAAGGAAAAACAGTACCGACCTGTGTTTGAAAGACTGCAAACCCCAGTTCCTCAACTGTCAATTAAAGAAAGCCAAGGTCTGAAGGGGAGGTCTAGCTTTGTAGCTCAACTCTCTGGAATGTTACACTGTTGGAGAGACAGGATTTTCGTACTGTAGCACTGCCACCCTCTGGAATTCCCTCCCTAGAGAGACCCACCTCAATCCTTGCAACGTTTTAGGAAGCAAGTGAAAATATTTCAGATCAGGCCACCATTTTGACTTCTGATATTTTATTTTGTACTGGTTCTTATTGTTACGATTCACCTATCGTTTGTTACCTTGGGCAGAATATTTTGTAATTAAGTGGATCAACTATTTCTTTGGCAGCATTTATTCTTTTAGAAACATATACGAGCTAGGGATGTTCAACCAGAGTTGTGACATTCCTTGGGGAAATAAGAAGCTGCTTAAACAACTTTACTTCTAGAAACACAAAGAGGAATATAGCACTCACTCAGTTTCTTGTAATATAACTATCAGGAACCGATTCCTCAGCTAATCTACACAAATAATCACACACAAACAATATAAGCTTGGAGGGGCTCATTTATCTCCTAACAACTGCACATATTTCTTTAGGAGAGCTCACCTCACACTGAGAACTGTAGCTCTAGTACAGCTTACAGCAAACCCTCTACCATGCAAGTAATTACTGAATTCTGTGATGGATTTAATTAACTGCTCACTGACAGATAAGAATCAGGCAGGCCTCTGTGAGCCAAGGGCAATACTGATGAGGGCCGAGTTATTTTCATAAAGCCTGAGCACTTCACTCAGAAAAGTTGCATCACAGACAACTGGAGTTCTGAATTTCCTCCCCAATATAATGCTTGTATAATTCTAGAGGCAAGGTTGCTACCTTATTCCCTGGCAGGGTTCCTGTGATTTTAATATCTGTGTGACATACTGAAATTCAACAAGTGGAGATTTCCGTATCATTGAATCACAAGGGTAAGAAAAGCTTCACCTGCTTCTGCCTGCTATGAAGCAGTTCAAGATTACCAGGAAAAAGATGTCAGTTCTAGACTAAGGGACAGGTTGTCCCAAGTTCAATTTCTGCAACCTGTCCAATACAGCTGAAGCTGTTGTTGTTAAAATACTGAAGATTGGAACATTTTATTATAAAGGCAAGATCATTTTTTGTAATATTTGGAAGGTCAGCTCTAAAACCTGCATGACATTTCATTGAAGTTGTGCGCACTTGCCTAGGATGAACTATTCCATATTTCAAAAAAGTTGTTTAAACTATGCACACACAGGAACTCACATGGTACCAAACAGCAACATAACTCCAGTGCTCCAAACAAGGAATTCCATTTGAATCGAATTTATTTTAAAGATTCATTGCGCTAGGAGTCCATCTGAAATTCTGATAGCAGGAAGTAAATAAAAAGAAGGGGGCTACAGAGTATGAACGTTTGGATGTAGTCTGAGAACATAGGTGCACTGAAGTTTTGCTTTTGCTCCTAAGGAAATATAATAATCATGGGTGAAAAGGTTTATAATGCAGATTTCTCTGTCCCAATTCACGCTGTAAATGGCAATACTAAAAGCAAAAGAAGAGTGCTGAAATCACCTCTCTAAAATTCTTAGCATGTAGGAAAACTGAACTTTGGTTCATACCTTTCCCTGAAATGCCTCTTTCCAGAAACTTGCAAAGAGCAGGTAAGGAGACATTTAAGGACAACAAGCATGATGGGGCAGGTAAGTACAACATGGAATGCTAAGCATATATGTTTCAGCATACATGGTGGCTTTGAAGTGCTACTCAAAACAGATTACCATTCCTTGATTTTGAACCAGATATGCGTTCAAATTTTAAAAGTTTCTCCACCACCAACTACAGCCAGAAATAAGCTCTTAAAAATAAATGGTACAACATGAAACTTAAAGGCAAATTATGTAGTTTGCAACGTGACTACGACTATGCAGCCTTCCAGCTTTCCTAACTAACTGAAAGAGCACTCTGAACACATATTTGGCCCAGACATGTTCCAATATAGTTGGGAAAGGGAATCCTACCAAGTGGATCCCACTGACAGTGCTCTTATTTCCCCCGATTCAGTTTCCACAGGATGTTCGCAAGGGTGCTCTGACCTACCATGAGCTTCTGGGACACGCTGTTATACATGGAGTATCGGGAGGATGTGCCCTGTACAAGGGAGTCTGCGCTGAACTTATTGCTGAAAGAGCCAAGGACAGGCCGCCTCTCACTGATCTCACCGTCAGATTCGCTGCTGCTTGTGGTGGAAGACTCTGAAAACCAAACAAAGGAAAGAAACGCTCCGTCTATGCCACAGCATAATCAAGTTATTCATGGAGAAGAACATAGATCTATCTAGCTCAGTACTGTCTACTCTGGCTGGCAGCAGCTCCCCACGGTTTCAGACTTATCTGGAGATAGTGGGGTATGAATCTGGCACTGTTTGCATGTCAAGCATTTGCTCTACCACTAAACTATGGCGCTTGAGCCTTACAGTTTAATTCACTGCTGGAAATCTCTTTAAACTGCCACCAAGTGCTGTAGGAAGCAGACATCCCTCAAACACAATCCTTAGTGTTGCACTGGCTTCATGTGACAAGGAAGGAGATTCCAATTAAACAGCAAGAAAAACTTTCTAGCAGTAAGAGAAGAAGAAGAGTTTGGATTTGATATCCCGCTTTATCACTACCCTAAGGAGTCTCAAAGCGGCTAACATTCTCCTTTCCCTTCCTCCCCCACAACAAACACTCTGTGAGGTGAGTGGGGCTGAGAGACTTCAGAGAAGTGTGACTAGCCCAAGGTCACCCAGCAGCTGCATGTGGAGGAGCGGAGATGCGAACCCGGTTCCCCAGATTAGGAGTCCACCGCTCTTAACCACTACACCACACTGGCTCTGTTCGAAAGCAGAATGGACTCCTTCAGGAGGTGGTGGACTCTCCTTCGTTGGAGGTTTTTAAGTAGAAGTTGGATGGCCATCAGTCATGGAGCTGAGTCAGAAAAGTTGTTTTATAGACTGCAATAACAAATGAAAATTCCACTGACTTGTTTGTACCCTATACAGCCCCCAGTGCCTCTGACCTCACATGGTACTCACAATGGTTTAACTATTCTTCTCTGGAAATTAGCAAGCAGGGTTCTAATGATACCAGTTAGTCCATGACTCCATTCTATGTCCAATGAAAGGTTGATTGCAGCACAACCAAGTTTAGATGTGGACAGGCCCATGTGATGTTACCTCTATAGTTACCTTGAGCTCCATGATTACCAAGTTGCGTTTCATCATCTGATGTGGAGCTGAGGGTCAGACCCAACTCTTCGATCCTTTTCTTCTGCCTCTTTAGGGGACTGCTATATTCAGGTTCTGCTCGTCGCTTCATTTTCTCTGCAAGGAGGAAACAAAATATTTAATTATTAAAATATTTCTATATTGCCTATTATAGGGGCATCACAAGGTGGTGTACAACAATACCAAGAAATACAATACAAATACAATCAAAATGATTACAATGCAATCCGGTGGACAGTAAAAATATTCTTAAAACCCCAGAATGGCTGGTGGTAATAGTCAGAAAAAGTCATAGTAAACAAGAAGGTTTTCACCTTGTGCCAGAACAGTTTCAAACACATTCATAAGTGTGGCATAATTTTAAGGCAGTGGAGTATTCAGGTTTTCAGTCCTTATATAGAAACATTCTCTTAAGAAGAAAACTCTTTCCTCTGTGCACTTTCAAGACCGCTCATATAAAATAGGAGGGAAATCAGGAAAGCAAACAATTTGCTCTCCATTAATTTAAAAAGAATGAAAACACCTGAATAGGCATTTTCATAGCATGTTTTCATTCCACCACTTTCATCATACAGACACACATCCCAGTAGAACACAGTTCTAATTCAGGTTTCACTGATAAACACACAAGAGAAAAAACAGCACAATCCTATTGTTTATTCTCCTTGAGCCTTACTTCCAGGTTACTGACATACAACTGCATCTTAAGATTGCAATCCTAACCACACTTGCTAGTGAGTAAGCCCTATTAAGAGAGTGGGAGATGCTGCCAAATAACCATGCACATGACTGTACAGCATGCTCCGTTGAACTTAGAGGGGCAAATTTATAAGTAAACATGAATAGGACGGAGCTGTAACCATGCAATCCTATACATATCTACTCAGAAGGTTCTACTGAGTCAGCACCAGCTTACTTCTAGGTAAGAGGCTGCAGCCTAAGCTTGTTAAGTTATCACAGTACATAAACAAATAACAAAAGGTGCCCAAAGTATACCACCAGTTTAGCAGGTAGTCCTGAGTTAACAAATTTGTGAAGAACCAGTTTCTAATGCCAGAGCATTCAGAAACCTGGTTATAAATAATGTTATTTATATGAGCTCTCATATATTGCAATAATGTACTGTAGTTGCTAATAAATACATCAAAAGCATTATTTTTTGTTATGGAAGATACACTGATACCACAGCATAATAGGGCTAAATAACACACCACTGAATTTACCACTCCTGGGATCATTAAAACTAGGAGAAGAAACATCAACTATGTGGTACAAATTTTCTTGAGGCAAGTGAGGAACAACAGGGACAGCACTGTGGCTATGCTTATTAACGGTGGTGAACACAACATTGTTCATTTGTACAAATCATAAAACTGAGTAAATTGAATGTTAAACATAAGAGCTGAAAGCTGAAAGTTGTATAGGCATAGTAAAATTTCCAGGATGAAGCCATCCCCTTCCAGTCTCCCTGCAATCAGCACGAGAAACAGCAGGAGTATCAACGGGAAGATTCTCATTTTAGTTCTTCTATGGGCAACATTTTACAGCACAAATCATATACATGCCTACTTAAATCCCATTCAGTTCACTGGGGCTTACTTCAAGGTACGTAGGTATATGATTCGGGCCCATCCATCACTGGGCAATGAGGGATTTTACTGAACAGTAGCACTGAGTCACATTAACTTGGAAATATAAATGAATTATATAAAAGAACACTGCACAATGCTAGAAGATCTCACAATACATTGGGGGACAGTCTCAAATTTTATTCTGAATATGTACACAGTCTTCAATACCCAACAGAAAGTAAAGCACAGTATTGTAACAGATAGTTTCTTCACAATTTCATCCAGTTGATTGGTTTTATAACAAAACCCATTTCTATGACGAAGCCATTAAGTGCTCAACTAGGAATATGATATTTTAATTCAGATGCCAGCTAGTGTACTTATATTTACTAAACCCTATGGGGGTGGGAGAGATGGCCTTAATATAGCCACCACCACAACAAAACAACACTAATTTGCAAAGAGGACTGAGGGCTGGGGGGGGGGGGGGAGAGAATCAGAGGAAAACACCAGAGCAAAGGATGGAGGTGGTTTAGGTAAGGGGAAGAAGTTGGGATTCCAGGTGGAAGCTAAAAGGAGCGTGTGTTTCTGTGCAGAATCCACAGTCTGTGGAGAGCTGCAACCTGACTTCAAGCAGGCTTACCCAGAAGTAAGTCCAAATGAGCTAAAGAGAACTTATTTCCTGGGAAACATGCTTAGCATCTCAGCCTTGGTAAAAGGGGGAAACCGGGAGATGGAGATGAAAAGGGAAGCGAGGGAGTATCCGGACACAGGAGAGACAGAAACCTATCAAGCGATGCCCTCAGGAGGGAAGGTCTCGGCTAGGCTGAGACATAACGGGGAGAGGCAGGAACTGGGGACGGAGAGGGGCAGACAGGGGCGGCAGCCTGGAGTATTCTCGGGAGCTGCAAACAAGTGGAGACAATCGGAAAAGCAGCGTGACAGGGGCGGCGGGGGGCAGAGAAGCAGGGCAAAACGCCCCCCCCCCCCCGAGGCTCGTTCGCTCTCCCAGACCCTCCCGGGAGCCCTTGCTACACTCACACGAGGGGAAGGGGGAGGCTCTGTCTTAGGCCGGAGCGGGAGATGAGGGCAGAGAAGACCGCGAAGGCCGAGCCTCAGCCCCCTCCAGACACGCGCCTGGGCTCGAGAGACAGAGAGAGGAAAGAAGGCCGGATCCCCCCAACTCCTCTCCGCCACAGTTCAGTTTCGTTTCCCGGCAGCTCCGCACTAGGACGGGGCCCTTCCTTCGCGCGCGGCGCAAACTAATGACGCAATGGGGAGGCGAGAAGAAGTCCTAGAGAGGCGCAGGGCCCCCTCGTGGCGGGAGGCTGCAAGAGGGTGTTGAGGGAGCGGGAAGCATCTCAGAGCCTGCACCTCGCGCAATGAATACTGTAGTACAGTACATACAGGGGAGTATTAAGCGAAAACGTAAGCTTCTTGTTCCCCACCTTGCACGATTAAAGTGCAAATTAAAGTTCCCTTTAATTTGACGTTTTAAAGTGCTGTAAATAATAATGCAGCGCATTTGGAATAGTCTACGTGCTTCACACGTAGGTGAGGGATAGCTCACAGTAGACCCATGTCCTAGTAACTAGTTGGCTATTGTGGAAGATCAGCAGCCTTGCTAATTAGCATAAGGAGGAGATTAGTCTACAGAGCTGCATTGCTCAGGGAGATACTCAGACCATAGAAATACAATTGGTAGAGAGGTCTCTGTCTGATGTTCTTTCCCCTCCACTCCTGGGAGGGAAGGAGTAACTGATACAAGAGAATAAACATGACTTCAAACCATATTTCCCCCCAAGACCCATTTATCCTTATTAGAACCCAATAAGGCAGACATATATGCACAAAGTATTTGTTTTTAATGTGATCCCATTGAGATCCCAAGATGAAATTTTGTAGGAAGCTCTTTAAAATATGAATTTTTTTTTTGAATTCTTTAATCATATTGATTTTTTTATATCACTATTTAAAAATTTTCAAAACATTAAATTTTGTAACTTAACTTAAAAGTTTAAAGTAAGTCCATCGTGTGCCATAGCATCTTAAAGCCCATGAAGTTCTGAAGAGATTTGTATTTTTAGTTTTGAATTACTGGGATCTTTTCTTATACTACTTTTAGGAAACAGAAAAATGAAAGCAATATAAAATGGTAAGGTAAATGTCACTGGATCACTTGACATGGAATGCCCCTAAACCAAAAAAAGGAGATGTGCAGAATGCATAAATATGTAACAGATGAAGTCTTTCCAATTTCTGTCCTCCATCTTTTCCCCTGAAAAGTCCAGGTAGGTGACAGAATGGTTAACACCTTGAAACAGTCAAAAACAAATATATACACTACAAGCAAGCTTCACATGGGCATATCAGTGCAAACCAGAGATAGCTAACCTGTGTAGTCCAACAACACCCACTATACCTTGCCCATGGCGGCTGAGTATGATGGGAAGGCCAGAGATTCCCCGTCCCTTGTGTATACCCATGACTTTAAAATACTTGATGCACCAGGAAAGCATTTAAGAATAGGCTTGTCCACAGCAAGAGACAAGTGATAAGGAGAGTGGTATTTAAAAAAATATGACCAGGAGCTTTTTCTACCAACAAATTACTACAGGCAGCAACCATTTTAGACATGCCCAATGTGCATGTTCACATCATCCCCAACCCAGAAGTGACCTGAAAACATCACCAAAAAAGGGGGAGGACGGGGCAGGGGCAGAATGGAGTGTTTGCAGGCATTTTCAATGGTGTTTCACTTAAAACGCATAATCCCCATGTCAACTGGGAGATGCCTTTGATTGAATGCATGGTCTTCTTAAGAGTTGCTTCATCCACTACAGTTTCCCTCAAAAATATCAATTCTATATACACTGCTGCATGTCTCCAGTAAGCACATTCATACACAGTGAACACCCTGTGAAACAGACACTTCGAAGTTGACACATGACTATGCAGATGCAATGTCACGGCAGGGGACGGCAGCTGGGATAGCAGAGCAGAACATCCAGAAAGGTAGCTTCCCTCTTCTGAAACGAGAGCATTTCCAAAATTGCCAAATAACAGAAATCAATGAGAACTAGGTGCACCATCATGTGTAACAAGGTTGATATAGCAATGCAGTTTGCCTCATTTAACCCATTCCAATAACCTTGTTCCAACTGATTCCCAAATTGGTGCTCATGCGCCAAGGTGGTTTTGAGGGAGGAAGTGCTTTCAGATCATGCATTTCTTGGTAAGAAAACACTGCCACTTTATTAGAATTGGGAAGGGGGACCACACATTCTTATTATATAATTTATAACAAAAGTTAACATAGCTTTATGGCCTATGTGCCCCTGCATCTTATTTCATCTGTTTGAAACTACACTACCAACATCTTCAGGGCAAAGTCGCATTAACAAAAAAAATATGGAATTTATGAACTTGCAATAATTTATTGACAATAGTAAACTACTGTGGTGGCTCAGAACTCCTTGCAACGGGGAATGTTAAGTGTCTTTATCCAGTTATAAAAGTGTGATCTTCATTAGCATTAAAGCTAGAATCAATAAAAATAAGGTAGCCAGACTCAATTGGCTAGACACACAGAGCTGGGGAGTACCACACATTCAGAAACACGAAGAAAGGATATTGGCTTATGAAAGCAACTTGAGCAGAAATGACAGGTTTTTTGTTCTTTTATATAAATTGTAACTTTTAAACAAAGAAATAAATAACCACCCCAAGACATATCAAGGAAACAAAAAACAGAAACAGCTGCCAATCCAATTTGCCTGCTAATTTGAAGCCAAAGCCCCTGAAATGGAACCTGAGTTGCTGCAAACTTATAGTGCTGTACCAGCAACATACTGTGAATACTGATAAATATGTAGTGCCACCTTCTGCTCATTCAGAAATGCAACTTCTTCACTCAGCCAAAGCCCTCCTACCACACTCTACACACACACATACACACACACAGAGAGAGAGAAATGCAAAAGCGCTGCTACAGTTTTGACTGTGTCTGCTCAATTTTGGCAACAGAGCTTGAGAGAAAGTGATTAAGATGCTTTTCTGTGAAGCTAGGTATCAAACTCTTTGGGGCTTAGGGCATGGTAAATTTAACCTTGACAATTTCTCCAGACTTATGCAGCTGTAAATATCCTTATTCTCTTTATGAACCCATGAGTCATGTGTAAACAGCTTTCTGACACAAAAAGCAAATATGTACTACATCAGGTTACACTTAAGCAGTTATTTAGCTGATGAGCTGGCACTCTCCAACCTATTAGGAGGGAAGCAGTTAAATTTAAGTTTGGTGGTACATTGTCAACTCCAAGAATTTTCATAGCAAGAACAGAAACATGGGTTTAGTCACCTAGTATTAAAAATGAGTTTGAGCCTAACAGTTTTCAATCATACTCTTCAGAGATGAGGACATCGCACATTCACTTAAGAAAAGAACAGGACCCTGCCAAGCCCTTTTAATCCACAATTCAAATTCCAGTCTCTTCATTGTTCCAAGTGTCCAATCCTTTCTCCCAGAAAGCATCCAGAGCAGGCTCCAAACAACTGCAAGGGTACGGTGCAGGTATTTCAGATAACATGGTGGCTGTCAGAGTCTCCCTCATAGTCATCACTTTCAAAGCTGCTTAATGACATGATGGACTGCACAGATGTAAGGCTACTGCTCTCGCTGTCTAATGTTGAGGTAATGCTGCTGCTCTCGCTGTCTGAGGACGTGCTGAGAGTACTGCTCTCACTTTCTGACGCTGGGTTCTCTGCAACAACCTGCTTCCCTGCAATTAAAATACACAGATAAAAAAAGAAAAGCAAAAGTGATTTGAGGCAAGTGCAGGAATACCCAACCAAAGGATTTAAGTTTGGGAGTATATTTGTTTTTCAATGGTGCAGGAAAAATACATTTAAAAGTACAGTATAGGCAAAGGGTAATGAGGACTAAGGGGGAGTGGGCTTTGCTTTCAGTACTCAAGGGTAAAACTTTTATATTCTGCACAGCTCTGGTCTTTCATACCGAATACTGTCTCTTCCCTTGGACCAATGCCCACTCTTCTCTCAAGGAAGTACACAACTGTCTCAAACACAATGCTTAAAAGCACAGAGAGGGTTAGAGAAGAGGAAGAAAGAGAAACAAAGGAGACACAATGTCTCAACATAAAATCAATACAGAGGTGGAGCAATGCAAGGTGTCTCTGTCTAAGCCACTGATGGCCAAACTTTGCCCTCCAGCTGTTTTGGGACTACAACTCCCATCATCCCTAGCTAACAGAACCAGTTGTCAGGGATGATGGGAATTGTAGTCCCAAAACAGCTGAAGGGCAAAGTTTGACCATCACTGGGACTCTAAGATGAACTCTAGACTGCTTGACTGCTTGTAGCAGACATGCCATCCTCACTTGCAACATAACAGTTAATTAGTTGGTCCTAGGGAGGTGGTCCCCAAATTCCAACCCCCAACCACCTGAAATGGTCTTTTCTGCCTGTTGTAGCAATTATAATGTGCTGTGCTAGAGGCTACATGATATTAATTGGGTTTTTATTGCTTCTTTTATTTCTTATATATTGCATTTTATTTAATTGTATTACAATTTGAATTCCATAGAAGTCAAATTGTAATACAACCCAATGCAAGATAATAAACAAAAGGAGCAATAAAAATACAATTAAAAATCAATACGAATATTTCATATAACGGATGTACTCTCGCCCATCTTCAACCACAAATCCACAGACCCACTGCAGACCACCTGAATGAAGCTTCCAGGTAGTCCATGGACCCCATTTGGGATCCCCTGTCCTAGAGCATAGTCTGAAGTTATATAATAATAATAATAATAATAATAATAATAATAATAATAATACCTTTATTGTCCATGTACAACCTGTATACAATGAAATTAACTGAGCCTCCCTCCCCCCAACTCAGTCCCATTGCACTCTGTGTGCTTGTCGCACAACACACCAACCCCGAAAGTCTGCTGCACTATATTATTTTCCGTTCAGCAGCCTAACAGCCCACAGATAGAAACTGTTTTTTAGCCTGTTGGTACGACTGATTATACTTATATTTCTCCTGCCTGAGGGTAGAAGATTAAAGAGGTGCTGGCCGGGATGTGAATCGTCCCTGAGAATTTTTCTCGCTCTCCTAAGGCAACGATCCCTTGCGATATCATCTAGCGGGCTCAGGGGACAGCCCATGATATCATGTGCTGTGTTCACCACCCTCTGTAAAGACTTTCTGTCCGTGGCTGTCAAGCCAACGTACCACACTGTGATACAATATGAGAAGACACTTTCTATTGTGGACTGGTAGAAGGAGGTCATAAATTGTTGTTTAACATTGTTCTTTCGCAAGACCCTGAGGAATGTTGGGCCTTCCTAACCACCTGAGTTATATTGTTTTTCCAAGTGAGGTCTTCACTAAGGTGAACTCCCAGGAATTTAAAGGAGCAAAGCTAGATTCTAGTCAGTGTCTTCTCAGCAGCTGCATGACGGAAAATCGAATGTAAATATAATAAATAATGTAAGTAATGCTAGCATGAAATGAAGAAGGTGGCTGAATTAGAAGATTAACCCAAATTGCAATATCTAAATTTTTCTAAGTTTTTGTATCTTTAGGTGTGGGTGAGTGGATGTACAACAACCTTGCTGTTAGCTTTGAAATGCTGTCTCCAAAACAGCATCTGAAACTGAAAAAGCTTTATTCATGAACAGATATAAAGCAAGGCACAGAAACCTAACTGTAGTTTGCTATCAATATATTTCTAATTAAACACTACACTACGCAGGTGCCAAGGAATGTTCAAATGCCTTAGGAATGGAGGACCCACCTCTCACCTTTTCGCTCTTGGATGAGGGAAAGGTGGCGATGCTTCGTCTCATCATCCAGGTTTTCCACCATCCTATCAATACAATTGTCCAGAACTAGCGATCGTGTCTTGGATAATATCGTCCCTCTACATATTGGACACTCCAGCTTACGCTTCATCCATTCATTGATGCAATAGGAGCAGAAGCTGTGTGCACAGTTGAGAGTGACAGCCTGAAAAGTTCATATTATACATAATACATTAGATTAGGATTTCTATCCTGCTTTATTTACAGAAGCTTCAAGGCAGCTCAGAATGGAAAATAAAATTCAAAATACTAAAAACAATGTAAGAAAATGAACTGTCAGAACTGGATAGCTTGGCTGGTTAGAACATGATGCTGATAACACCAAGGTTACAGGTTCAATCCCTGTATGGGACAGCCGCATATTCCTGCATCTTTCCGCAAGGCCTGCAAGACAGAGTTGTTCCACCAGGCCTTTGGTCAGGGCCCAGCCTGACTCCCTCCTCTGGCAACCTGCACAGAACTTTGCTTAACAGTTGCCATTAATTTGATTTTAATTAATTTTTATAATGAAATGTTTTAGAATGTTGGATTATTTGATTGTTTGATTATTTGATTGTTGTTAGCCGCCCTGAGCCTGGCTTTGGCTGGGGAGGGCGGGATATAAATAAATATTATTATTATTATTATTATTATTATCGCACAGGGTTGGACTAGATGATTCGCAGGGTCCCTTCCAACTATGATTCTATTAAACATCCGCATAAAAGGATAAAAGAGGAAATGAATAAATGGAAACCAGTAATATTGTGTGTGTGTATATAAAAACTAGGAATAACGTATTATTTATTTGTCGCTATAAAGGAAATGAACTTAGACATGTACATTTTTGGAAGCAATTATTCGAAATTGAGATTTTTGGAAATAATCTGTATACTTATTTTTTAAAAGTAGATTGATATTTAACATATTTTAAAGGTATGATAAAATGTAATAATTGTGATGCCAATGGTCTTTTAGTAAGATATTGTAGGATTATTGAAAAGGTTTATTATTATTTTTTATTATTACTATTATTATTACTGTATTATTATTGAATATATATACTGCCCTATACCCAGGGGTCTCAGGGCGGTTTACAGAATAAAATCAAGATATAAAACCACAAAATACCTAATAAAAACAACAACCCAATAGCCCCCCACAAAAGAACACATTTTAAAAGGGCATAGGATGTATTTATATAATAGAATGTGTTGCATTAAATGATATTCTAATATCTGTATTATCTTTTGGAGTTTGTATAGCATGTATAATATTTATTCATTAAATCAAATGTTTATTTAATTATTTTAAAGGAAATTGTGTATATCACACACATATCCCTTCCATGAGCAGGAAGTTTCATGAGCAGACTTCTGCTCACAGAATCATTGGATCCAACCCACAGAAATCCCAGGAATAAAAATTGGGTTCAGCAACTTTCAAACTGATTTGGTGTCAATAAAAGGGGATTAAGATATATGTATACTTACTACTGCTTCTTAAAGTTTTTATCTTTCAAATCTTACCTCAATGAAGTGTTCAGAGCAAATAGTACACTGCAGCTCATTCTCCAGTACATCATTCATGTGGCTCAAGGCCTCTTCCTTTTGTGCTCGTGCCTTCTCCTTCTCTTCCTGTAGCCCAGAAGAAAACGAACCCAAAAACATCAGGTAAACAATGGTAGAAGAATGAGAATGTATTGGGCATGTGAGACATACTTTCCGAAAGGTGAAAACTTTATTAAACTTAAAAATCTGCACAAAACAAAATGCCCCTAAAGTTATATACAGCTAAAACCCTCCACTTCACCACAGTGTAGAAATAAAAGCAAGGTGGTGGGAACCTATGGAAAAGCAGAGAGCAACTTCCTTAAGCTGCAAAGTGTGAGGCTTTGGAGCAAGGTCTAAACTTCGACTGTTGTGTATTTTTCTTCTGTTCATACCTTAGTCTCTTTCAGTTCCCTGTCCTTGGCTTTAATGATCTCTTCAAAATCCTTCTTGCTACGGCTCAGTTCTTCCATCAAAGCACGATGCTGAGAAATAAGATACCAAACACAAATTCTCATTAACATACCAATTAGGCATGCCAGATTCTATTTCGCATCCTGAAAATATGTCAACCCACTGCATGAATACAACTCATTTCCTCTAAATAAACATAATCTGTAAAACATACACATACTTAAAACTTATTTAGATTAGAAAAATGAATAGGCAAAAGGTATGTAAGGATGCTGCTAACTGTACAAAGGTAACCAGATGAACTATACAAAACAAAGTTAAAATAAAATTAATCATAAAATACAATTAACAGCAGTGTATCACACCCAGTTAACCAGATAAGGCCACGCCGACACTGCTTTGAATACTTGCAAAAATAGGAAGCTGTCACCTGAATGACCATAAAATGGGAGACAACTGGCTTTCTACTACAGGTTTCATAGACAGGGTGCCACATCTGAGAGGCCCTTCTATACGGAGTGGCTCCCTAGCCTATTCTTAGTGAGGACACCACAAGCAGAGTCTTGTGCACAAACCTTACAACTCAGGTTGGATGGTTCTGGGGCAGGTGTGCCTTCAAGTATTGGGTCCTAAGCTCTTCAACGTTTTGTTCACTGATACCAACACCTTGAATTGGCCCTAAGAATGTACTCATACATATAACTATAACATCAGGAGCTGAATGAACATTTATAGGCCAGCGGTAATTCCCATGATTGTAGCACCTGGAAATAAGTCTGCCTTTGATCACAAAAGTAGCGACCATCCAGTTTGGGAACCTGTGGGCCTCCACATGTTGGTGAATTACAACTCCAATCCTTGACCACTGACCATGGTGGTTGGGATTGGTGGAGGAGTCTAACAACATCTGGATAGCAACAGGTTTCTACTCCTAGCAAAGAGCTTACCACACATTTCCTAAATGATCCTCATGATAGAAAAAGACCCTCTGGCCCAGGTAACATTTTGTGAAGGTGTGCCAAGAGGGTAGAGAATGTGCTGCAGCAGTGGGATGAACAGTAATAACTTACAAAACGATGGGACCAAGCCAAGAAAAAATCAAATTCAACAAGCCATCATTACAGATTGCTTGTGGTTTTGATACTGTCTTTTCTGTTCTTCCTAATCATCCACTATTTTTGCTACTTGCAGCCAATCAAGCATGTCTCACTGCAAGAGGCAGAACTAAGCATCCTGGCAATTCACCAGTGGGGGTAACATTTGAACATCCTCAAGCGATACAAACATTGGAAATAACCTAACACTGTGCTACGTTACCTGCACTAGAACCTGGGTCAGTTGTTCCTTCAGTCTCCCTTCTCCTTCTTCCTCTTTCGCTCCCTAAACAATAAATAAGAGCCTGTCAGTCAAGTAAAGGAAAGACATATAGAACTAAGAACAACAACATGAAGGATAACAGAAGCTAGTGGAAAAATATGCTAAAAGGAGTCAAACAAGTTTTCTTCCATACAGTTATAAAATAACAATAAAATGGCTGCTGCCTACACAAAACTGAAACCTGAAAAGGAAATCTTCAATTATTTTTATTTTTACAGTATTCCTAATCAGAGACACATACCCCTATACAATACACTATCTCAGGGGTCTGCAACCTTTAAGACAAAAAGAGCCACTTGGACCCGTTTCCGAAGGAAAAAAAAACTGGGAGCCACAAAACTCGTCATTGACTCGTCGGGGCTGCTGATTCTTCTAGACCTGTCAGCAGCCTTCGACATGGTCGATCACGAACTCCTGGACCACCGCCTTGCCAACATGGGGATCCAGGGCACAGTCCTTCAATGGCTGTGCTCGTTTCTCTCTGGTCAGGGACAGAGGGTGGCGCTTGGGGGGGAATTGTCATCGCGCCACTCCTTGGTGTGTGGAGTGCCTCAGGGTGCGATACTCTCCCCGATGCTTTTAACATCTTTATGCGCCCTCGCCCAGCTTGTCCGGAGTTTTGGGCTGGGTTGCCATCAGTATGCCGATGACACCCAACTCTATCTGTTGATGGATGGCCATCCTGACTCGGCCCCAGACACACTTACCAGATGTTTGGAAGCTGTGGCTGGATGGTTACGTGGAAGCTGGTTGAAGTTAAATCCTTCGAAGACAGAGGTCCTCTGGCTGGGACGGGACGATATGGGATTGGGGGGGCAACTCCCATCTCTTGCGGGGGTGCAATTAGTGCCAGCACCGTCCATTAAGAGTTTGGGTGTAATCTTCGATACCTCCCTCTCTATGGAGGCGCAGATTACAGCTATAACAAAGGCGGCATTTTTTCATCTCCGCCAAGCTAAGCAGTTGGCCCCTTATCTCTCTCGCCCTGACCTAGCCACTGTGATCCACGTGACGGTCACCTCCAGACTGGATTATTGTAACTCGCTCTACGTGGGGCTGCCCTTGAGACTGACCCAGAAACTCCAGCGGGTGCAGAATGCCGCGGCGAGACTCCTTATGGGGTCTTCGCTGCGAGATCACATTCATCCGGTACTATACCAGCTGCACTGGCTCCCGGTGGAGTACAGGATCAGGTTTAAGGTGCTGGTTTTAACCTTTAAAGCCCTATACGGCCTAGGACCCTCGTACCTACGGGACCGCCTCTCCTGGTATGCCCCACAGAGGAACCTACGGTCTGCAAATAAAAACATCCTGAAGGTCCCAGGCCTCAGAGAGGTTAGGCTGGCCTCAACTAGAGCCAGGGCTTTCTCGGCTGCGGCTCCAATCTGGTGGAACGCTCTGTCACAAGAGACTAGGACCCTGCGGGACCTGACATCTTTCCGCAAGGCCTGCAAGACAGAGTTGTTCCACCAGGCCTTTGGTCAGGGCCCAGCCTGACTCCCTCCTCTGGCAACCTGCACAGAATTTTGCTCAACGGTTAACATTAATTTGATTTTAATTAATTTTTATAATGAAATGTTTTTAGAATGTTTGATTATTTGATTGTTTGATTATTTGATTGTTGTTAGCTGCCCTGAGCCTGGCTTCGGCTGGGGAGGGCGGGATATAAATATTATTATTTATTATTATTATTATTATTATTATTATTATTATTATTATTAAAATAACTTTTTTGACACTTTTTTATTATTTCTTTGTTTGACCCCTCAGAATTACTCCTCCTCATAGAAATAAACGTTAAATTAACAAGTTACCTTTTTTTGTGTGTGTGTTCTTCACTCCCCTTCAAAACAGTGACCAGCGTCCTTCCCCCCTTTCAATGTAGCGGGCGGGCGGGCGGGAAGGTGACGTTGGGACGGTGCGTGACTAACGCACGCACCGCCCCCATGCGACGTCACAGCCAGTACAGCGCCCGTCACAGTGGGGAGTGTCGGGGCGCACAATGCGCCTCCTCCCCTCGCTAGTATCCGCCCCGGAGCCGCGGCAAAGGTGTAAAAGAGCCACATGCGGCTCCGGAGCCGTGGGTTGCAGACCCCTGCACTATCTAATCATGTAATGCCTAGAGTATCTTCACTTGTTTGTTCTCTCTGCTGTGGTTGTATGGGCAAGGGAGAAGGGCCCTAGCTCAGTGGTAAAGCATCTACTTTAAGTGCAGAAGACCCCAGGTTCAATCCTTGGCATCTCCAGGTAGGGCTTGGAGAGAACCTAATATGAAATCCTAGTGAGCCTCTGCCAGCCAGTGTAGACAAAACTGAGACAGACAGACCATTGGTCTAAATCAGCATAAAGTAGCTCCCAATGTTTCTAACAGGGAAGGAAAATAGCCGGAGCAGTGTCTTCTTTGCTCCCTCCTTGCTAGAATATGTGCTATCACAAGAATGTGAATCATTGATGGCTTTCTCCTTGGTGGAAGAAGCAGTCACCTACAATAACTGTTGCAGGCAGTGGATGTTATAGCTGCTCTACATTGTTGGAAGAGCAGTTTTAAAAGTCCTGCTTGCTGGCTGTAACGTGTAGTCTTTATGGACATTAACAAGGTGAGTTTAAACATTTTTAGAAAGTGTTTCTGAATATTTAAAGTGCAGGTTACTATGATAAAGGTGAGCTCTACTAAACTCATTGGAGCTTTCCAATTAGCAAAAATTGTGTAACATTAGGCCACAGTTAGCGGTGTGTGCTGCTAACACACACTCACACAACTAGAACTGTGTGCTTAGGTGTCTTCACTGCCCTTAATAGCTGCAGAAACTTCTCTCAAACCTGCCACCCTCATAGGCAGACTTGGGGACACAGAGAGGTCTTCTCAGTGGCTGCTCCCAGACTCTGGAACTCCCTGCTTTTGCTATTCTTACTTTATCTGTAAGCCGCCTTGAGTCCCTGTCAGGCAAAAAGGTGGGGAATGAAAGAACAAACGAATGAATGAATGCAGTCCCTATACCGGAAAGGATTGCCGAAAGGACTGAGGCAGCATGGCAGAATGTATGTGACAGTCACAACCCAAGAAGCTGCCCAATTCAATTCTACCTCTTCAAGAACAAGCTTGTTCCTGCACCTCTGACAAAGTTCTGGGGGTGTGGCAGGAAGTCAGTGTAATGGTTCTCCCCTTGATTGTCCCACCAATGGTGCTAAGAGGAACAGACAGGATACACAGCAAACCTACTGCCCCTAAGCTACCATCATGTATACACTATCAATGGTGATGTTTTACCATCACAAGCGCAATACAATACAGATGATACAATGTGATAGAACAAAGCTATTAAACATTTTGATGTAAATAAAAACAATAGATTGCAAGCCACATTTCTTATCCATTCATAATCATTTGTGAGCATCTGCCACAAGCAATAACATGCTTGTTCACTGAAGTAACGTGTGAAGCAGCCATGAATCACTGTGTTTTAGCAGACAACCCTTAATCTAAGGAATAGTTGGCTTTGTCAAAAACAGAAAAGAGATTTCTTTCACACTTAGCAGGAATGTGCAGAGGTGAGTAAAATACTGGAGAATGGTCCTGGAGGTAATTAAAAATATTTTTTCAATTTAGCACGCTTAGAGATCCCATCATATGTTTATTAAATTATTTAAAAGACAGCTTCCTTTGATAACTAAACAATTTGTTATATGTTCATATAGAACTATAAACCTATAAAGAGCTGGAATCATATGTGTAAAAACATGAAAAAAGGTAATCAATGTAAAACAGATTTTTAAAGACAAATTAGTGAACAACTGGTATTGGTGAAGCTTACTGCTTTATTTTTCAAAAATCACAAAATTATAATATGATCATAGTGAGTTAGAATTACAATATATTAAGAGGAAATTAAGTATTACAGATATGGAGAATGTGTTTATTGAACTATGAAATAAAGAGCTGGGATAACACCATGGTTATAATAGCTAGGGCATTAACCATGATCTAGCAATTTAATTGCACACTCAGGCTATATGCACATTGGTGCCTTGAAATACATTGAGGGGTTTTTTCCGGTAGTGTTTCAGGTTGCTTTTTTAGGTTGTTGTTCATGCCAGAGAAGGAGTGGGGATGTCGTCATCTGATGCCCATTACCTAATTTGCTTACCCACACTGAACTCCAATTCACTGAAGCTGTCGCTGAGAGCTGCCTAAGACCTACAGACCTCAGCTTCACCATGGCTTTCATTTTTTAATCAATGGAGGCTGTTTAGAAGAATAGCAAACAAGACTCCAGGATACCTACGGATTGTGGCTAACTTCATGTCTACTCAGGTTCAAAGACCAGCAGTGGGAGCGCACTGGAGCCAGAGAAGGGGTAATGTGTGGACAGCCTACGCTGTGGTTACAAACTACAGTGGTACCTCGGGTTAAGTACTTAATTCGTTCCAGAGGTCCGTTCTTAACCTGAAGCACCACTTTAGCTAATAGAACCTCCTGCTGCTGCCGTGCCGCCGGAGCATGATTTCTGTTCTCATCCTGAAGCAAAAGTTCTTAACATGAAGCACTATTTATGGGTTAGCGGAGTCTGTAACCTGAAGCGTATGTAACCTGAGGTACCACTGTACCAAATGAAGCCGTTTTATACCCTGCTGTGATAAAACTTGTTGGCTTTCTTTCACAGACAGAAGGGGAAGTTCTGTTTTGCCACCCATCCTATTCTTATCCCTTCTCTAGCAGGGGCCATGAGGAATCAAACAGGGACAAAGATAATTAAACACAGTGTATTTCCATTGTTCATTTACTGCTAGACACTTTCCTTAGCGCTACTACTTCATCAGCAGGAATTTCAAGCAGAGTTGCTGATGGAAGAACTAGAAGTATTTTAGGGTCAAAGCAAAGAACAGTATTGTAATCTCTACTGAAGTGACTGTGCAACTAGTAAGGAAGTGAAGCAATATTCTGCTAACTACTGTGCCCATCAGACAACAACAATCCATTCACTTCACATCTTTTTATTGAACCCATAGCTCTAGGAGAGAGAGGCCTTGCACTTCAGTACTGATCTTCTGGTGTCCATCATTCAAATACAGTAGTAGTAGTAGTAGTAGTAGTAATAATAATAATAATAATAATAATAATAATAATTTATTATTTATACCCCGCCCATCTGGCTGGGTTTCCCCAGCCACTCTGGGCGGCTTCCAAAAGAATATTAAAATACTGTGATACATCAAACATTAAAAACTTCCCTAAACTGGGCTGCCTTCAGATGTCTTCTAAAAGTCTGGTAGTTGTTGTTCTCTTTGACATCTGGTGGGAGGGCGTTCCACAGGGCGGGCGCCACTACCAAGAAGGCCCTCTGCCTGGTTCCCTGTAACTTGGCTTCTCGCAGTGAGGGAACCGCCAGAAGGCCCTCGGTGCTGGACCTCAGTAAGCTGTGGCTCACAAGCCAGTAGATGCAGCCATGTTAAAAACACATCAAGTATCCTGAGAGCAACATGTCCATTATTGCTGATCTTGCTATCTTGCCTAGTCTCCCCAAAAGATGCACCATCTGCAGAAATGCAACTCATGTGTCTCACTAATCAATGGGCTTTTTGCAACACAAGAAATTCGAGGAAATTAGGACAGGGAGCAAACAATTCTCTCTTTGCCAATCTCATCATAAAACAACTACAGTGAATTTTAAAATGCTGCGCTTATTTTTAAAAATACAAACTCTACGGTGAAACAGGACCAAGTGTTGACTCCTTCATGCATAGTAGTTTTATACATGTGATAATTTTTGTATGAAATAAGGTATGGTACATGACTGGGCAGCCTAATCAATGTATGAGCACTGAAATAAGTTACCGCAATACACTGTGTACATGATGTTGCACATGCTTTTTCCTTGTCGTCAGATATTTCAGTGTAGGAGAAATGTCATAATTAATCTACCCTGTGCTAATAACTAAACCAGCTGGGATTTTTAAGCAGCTAAACTATAGTTTCAAACAAGTTGGCAACACTGTTGAAAATAGCTCATTAGGCACACTAAATGGAGGACTAAGAAACCTCAGTGCTGAAAATGAAGGTGTGGTGGTTTGGGAGACTATGGCAATGCTAAAAATGCTAACCTTTCCCCCATCCAATCATTCTTGCTTAGGCACAACTTCAACACTTGCAAGTTTTCAAATGGTACATGAGAGTGGGTGGGTGAAGTATCACAGCTGCACCTACCTCCAATTCTTCACAGACGGTCTTCTGCAACTGCTCCACTTGCTGCTGTTGCTGCTCCTGCTCAGTGCATAACTGCTCCCTCAGTTCCTGCAATTCCTGCTCCAAAACCTGGATCTCTACAGGAGCACACTTGTTCATTTGCCTCACATTCAGGACAGCTGTCTGTTTCTCCTGCATCTTGGCTTTTAGCTTTGTCATATCTGCTAGAGTTCTCATTATTTGTTCCAAACCATTCCAAGACTGTGCCAAATTTGGGGCTTTATGGTCCTTAGAAAGAAGTGCTAAACCATGCTCAGGCGGAATGGTGCTACAGTGATTTTTCTTCTTCTCCTTTTTACTGGGCCTTGGAGAAACCAACACTGTTTCCATGTTTTCTGTTGTTTGTCTGGACAGTTCTGTCCTGCCTCCCTCACATTTCCCCAAAGAGTCATTTTCTGAAGACACCCTGTCTCTTTTGGTTCTGGAATTGGAAGGCCCTTCCGCTCCAGATGCCTCAGATTCCTCCAAGCTAATTTTACGCTTAGCCCTCGTGTCTTTCGTTTTCTCTGTCAGCTGGTCATTTTTCAGCGCCAGAAATGGACTGACTTTCTTCCAATCTTCCCTTATTAGTGTATATTCATACTCAGCTGTTTCTCTGTTTTTAAAAGGAACTCCTAATTGGATATAGTCGCCTTCGTGTAAGAGATAGGGCCGTGATGGATCAATGCGTTCACAATTCAGCCAGACACCATTCAGACTCTGGGAAAGATAAATAATAATAAGAGAGAGCTAGGAAAGGTGCTTGTTTTTCTGCACATCAAAAAATAAAACAAACAGACCAGAAAAACAAGCCAGCAAGGAAAACCTGGCACTCCTCAAATAATACTGCAAACAAACAAAAAACAGCGATCCAGCACTAGAGTAGAATTAGCATGAGACACAAGCAGTATTTCCCACTCCAACAGGAAACATCTGAGCCAAGAGCAGATTTTGTATTTTATGTATCCATGCTGATTAAGTGATTTGTCCAGAAAACTAGCAGTGCAATCCTATGCACATCTAATC